CCAGGTGCAGTGAATCTGTTTCGCACCCTCCACGATTGGATGGATGCCCGATACCTGCAGAATCACATCACTTTTGGTACGGACCACAGCGAAGATGCGGAACGTCCCGTGCTGGGCCGATATTGGCGTCGCCTGCCCACAGATGGCCAGATTGGTGTTTATCTGGGCGGTTGGCCTACCTCCTTCCTCCGCGTCGGGTTACAGGAAAACTGGTCCAAAGCTCAGTTTGAAAGGGCTGCGGAACATATCAATCGCTTTGAACAGCAGCTGGTGGATGACGGCGCTCTGGTATTGAAGTATTGGCTGCATCTACCTGATGACATCTTGCGTAAACGTCTTAAAGCAGCCGATGAAAACCCCGAGAAACATTGGGACTTTGCACAGCACGACTGGGAGCTGCTGGAACAGTCTGACGACATATTTATGCAGATAGAAGCCCTTGTGCGACGCACTCACACTTTGGCCACACCCTGGTCGATCATTGAAAGCACCGATCAGTATTACGCCACCCTGACCATTGGCAGGCACATCGCTGATGCACTTGCAGCGCGCCTGGAACACCCCAGGCGCGTCCCGCACCTGACACCATCACCCCCCAGCTTCAGTCCCCAATCTCTGCTTGGTCAAATTGATTTGTCTTTGACGGCGAATGAAGACACCTATGGCGCTGAACTTGCCTCGCTGCAGGCGAATTTGAACCAATTGGCTCATCGGACCCAACAGGCAGGTATCTCCTGCGTGTTTGTCTTTGAGGGGGTAGATGCGGCGGGTAAAGGTGGCGCTATCCGCAGACTGGTTCGGGCCTTGCCGGTTGAGTATGTCCGGGTGATAGCCATCAGCGCGCCTAATGAAGCAGAAAAAGCCCATCATTATCTGTGGAGATTCTGGACCCGTATCCCCAAGCCTGGGCACGACGTGGTGTTCGACCGCAGCTGGTATGGGCGGGTGCTGGTAGAGCGGGTGGAAGGTTTTGCCACGGAATTTGAATGGAGCCGTGCTTATGAAGAGATCAATGAATTTGAAGAAAGTCTGTTTGATGCCGGTATGGTGGTGTGTAAGTTCTGGTTGCAGATAGACGCCGAGGAGCAGCTGAAGCGCTTTGAAGCCCGTGCACTGACACCTTATAAGAAATATAAACTCACAGATGATGACTATCGTAATCGCGAAAAGTGGGATCAATATCAGCTGGCCGCGGACGATATGGTGGCTCGAACAAATACACCCTATGCGCCCTGGCACCTGATCGCAGCTAACGACAAGCGTCATGCGCGTTTGCAGGTGTTGCAGAAGGTCACCGCAGCGCTGGACAAGCGCCTTGAAGCGTTCGATGCAGGTTCAGCCGGTAATGGGGACAAAAAGAACGGCAAGAAGCAGAAGAAATCAAAGTCTTAAGTAGCTGCGGCCAGGTGTGCCGTATCACGGTATAATTCCCGTTTAAGAATTTTCGAAGAGCCCGGTATGACAACAGAGTCGAAAACCATCCTGCTTGCTGGCGACGGTACCACCCGTGCAGAGCAGCGCCTGGATATGAGTAATCGCCATGGTCTGATCGCTGGGGCCACAGGTACGGGTAAAACCGTGACACTGCAGGTCCTCGCGGAAGGGTTTGCGCGCGCTGGCGTGCCAGTGTTCGCAGTAGATGTAAAAGGTGATCTGTCGGGCATCTCGCAGCCCGGGCGCCCACACAAAGAAATTGATCGTCGCGTCAATCTTCTTGGCTTGTCTGACTATAAAGCCAGCCCGCACCCCACTTTGTTCTGGGATATTTTTGGTGAGCGTGGTCACCCTGTCCGCACCACCATTTCAGAAATGGGTCCGGATATTCTGGCAGCTTTGCTGGATCTGAACGAAACGCAAACCGGCATTTTGTACGCCTGTTTTGCGATCGCGGACGATGAAGGCCTGTTGCTGCTGGACCTGAAAGATCTGCGCAGCCTGCTTGCGTTCATGAGTGACAATGCCAAAGCGCTACGTGGCGAATACGGCAATATTTCTTCTGCCTCTGTAGGCGCGATTCAACGACGTCTACTGGTGCTTGAGGCTCAGGGTGGAGAGCGTTTGTTTGGCGAGCCGGCCATTGCTCTGAAAGATCTGATGCAGAAAGACTTCTCCGGCATCGGTGTCATCAGTCTGTTGGATGCTGAACGGTTGGTACGCGAGTCGCCCAAGCTGTACGCAGCGTTCCTGTTGTGGCTGCTGTCTGAATTGTTTGAAGAGCTGCCGGAAGCAGGAGATCTGGAACAACCCAAAATAGTGCTGTTTTTCGATGAAGCGCATCTGTTGTTCAAAGACATGCCCAAAGGCCTGCTTGAAAAAGTTGAACAGGTCTTTCGACTGATTCGCTCCAAAGCTGTGGGTATTTATCTCATTACCCAATCGCCGTTGGATGTGCCTGAAAATGTGCTCGGCCAGATGGGCATGAAAATCCAGCACGCCTTGCGCGCGTTTACCCCTAAAGACCAGCGTGCAATTCGCGCGGTTGCAGCAGGTTTTCGTAATGACACAGGCGTCGACGTGGTGGGCACTATTACAAATCTGGGGCTGGGCGAAGCACTGGTTTCCAGTCTGAATGAAGATGGTGCACCTACCTCGGTGGTGGCTGGTACCGTACCGCCGCCCCAGGCTCAGATCGGCCCGATAGAAGATGCCACGCGGGCAAAAGCCATAGCAGACTCGCCCATGTCGGGACGCTACGAAACGGAGATAGATCGGGACTCGGCGTTTGAACTGTTAGCAGAGCGAACCGAAGCCGCGGTCGAGCGCGCCGAGCGCGAGGCGGCACAGGAAGCTGCGGAAGAAGCAAAGCAGGCGCAGGAAAAAGCAGCGCAAAAAGAGGCGGAACAGAAAGCCAGGCAAGAGGCCCGTGAACAACGTGCGCGATCTGGCGGCTCACGCCGGCAAAGTGCTGGGGAAGCGTTTATTAAAAGCACGCTGCGCAGTGTCGGGCGCTCATTGGGGTCACGCCTGGTGCGCGGTATTCTCGGTTCGCTCCGTAAGTAGACACTTGCAGATTGTTACGCGCTTTTTACAGTCGCCTCGCGCTCAAGTCTTACACTAGCGGAAATTGTTGCAGGAGTGGTTGGATAGCATGAATATAGGCCGCTTGTTGCACAATGCCCCGGAAATGGTGCACCAGTGCGCCCTTGAATTTAGCATGATGAGGAGACATCACAATGACTGACATAACTGTCATCGAAGGCATAGGTCCAGCCTATGCAGAAAAGCTGGCATCAGCTGGCGTTAACAGCTGCGAAGAGTTGCTGGAAAAAGGCGCGACCAAAGCGGGCCGCAACGCCATTATCGAAGCGTCAGGGATGAGTGCAACTCTAATCCTGAAGTTTGTTAACCATGCAGACCTGTGCCGGGTCAAAGGCGTTGGTGGTGAATACGCGGAGCTGTTGGAAGCCTCTGGTGTTGATACCGTGCCTGAATTGGCGCAGCGTAACGCTGAAAACCTGGCGGCTAAAATGGCTGAAGTGAACGAAGAGAAAAAACTCGTCCGCTCACTGCCTTCTGCAAAAACTGTAAGCGGTTGGGTAGACCAGGCCAAAGAATTGCCTCGAGTGATTACTCACTAGACAGCAAACCTCGAGCGCCGGCAGTAGCCGGCGCTTTGATGTGCAGGACCCCAACCAAACAGATTCCCGAGTTTTATTGCTGGCTGAAGAGCGCCAGGCACTACTTGTCCGCCTTGCCATGGCCGCGCGCGCCCAGCGGTGTATTGATGTGCAGTACTACATCTGGGCAGGTGACGGGGTTGGCATTGCCGTCATAAAGCAGCTGTTGCTTGCCGCACAACGTGGTGTGCACGTTCGTTTGCTGGTTGATGATATCCATTTCATGGGCTATGACCGCAGGGTGTTAGCCCTGAACGCATACGACAACGTTGAAATCCGCGCGTTTAATCCCTTCCGCTATCGTTTCAGATACTCACCATTACGTAGCATCGCTGAAGTCTTGTCAGGGGCCAGCCGCCTGAATCACAGAATGCATAACAAGGTTTTTGCAGTCGACGGCAATGCGGCCATTGTTGGTGGACGTAACCTCTCAAATGAATATTTTGGCGCGCATCCCGAATTCAATTTCAGAGACATAGATCTGCTGGTTGAAGGCCACGCTGTTGAAGATATCAGTCGCAGCTTTGATGAGTTCTGGGACAGCCGCTGGTCAGTGCCTCTGCAGGAGTTGCATAAACACCGTATCAAGCCGCTGATCATGTCTGATCTGTTAGCAGATTTGTCGCCTTGGGATAAACGCGTATTTGAGCTTGCGGATGATTTGCCAATAGACGAAGCGTTCGAAGTGCTTGCTGATAGCATGCGCTCCTGTCCGGTGGAGGTGCTTGCAGATACACCTTCCAAGCTTGAGCCGAGTGGCGATTATGCGTCTCCGGTGCGACAGAAGCTGTTTGCATTGTCGGCCCAGGCTCAATTCCAGATCCTGGTGGAAAACGGCTATTTTATACCCTCCGGTGATGGTGTCGAACGCCTCGCTCAACAGGTTGAGCGGGGTGTTGATGTTGAAGTTGTGACAAATTCTCTGGCTTCTAACGATACTGGTTTGTCTCACGCTGGATACCGGCGTTACCGTCATGCGCTGTTACGCTCTGGCGTGAAGCTGTTTGAACTGCGCGTTGATGCGCACTTAGGACAGGAGTTTGAACTGAGTGAGAGCAAGCAGACCGCAACGGGTCTGCACAGTAAAGTGGCAGCGTTGGATCGAGAGGTTGCCTTTGTCGGGTCTTATAATCTTGATCCACGATCAGCTTTTATAAATACAGAAATCGGCGTTGTCGTTTATGACCAGCATATAGCTGCTCAATTGGCTGATGAAATACAGCAGGTGGCATCTCCGCAGAACAGTTGGTGTTTGGGTTTGACCTTGAAGGATGATCTGTTCTGGCAACATGCCAGTCAACACAGGGCCCGTGAGCCGAGGGCAAAGTGGACTAAAACCCTTATTGCCCTGGTATTTTCCTGGTTACCCGTGGAGCGCCACCTCTAACGCTGTGCTTCCATATGGCCGTCCAGGTCAGCTTCTTCGCAGAATGCTTCAAACTGCGCCTTAAGGCTGTGCACTTTAACGTCTGCCGGTACTTCAGCGACCAGACTCACACTGAAAATAGGCGTGCCTGTATGTGCGGCAGGTCGCGTGTCGGTGTGCATGTCACGGATGTTGATCTGGCGCGCTGAGAAGAATTGTGCAACCGCGTAAACAATACCTGGATGGTCAAGCGCCATCACAGTAGCCACATAGGGGCGCACAGACTGGTTGGGCGGCCTGGATTCTGTGTCGCGGTAAATGTATGCCAGGTTGTTGCCAGCACAGAGTGTCTCAAGCTGCTGTTTGAATTGCGCCAGTTTGTCCGGTTCACCCTGCAACGCCATGAGCACCGCAAATTCGCCACCCAATACGGTCATGCGGCTGTCTTCAACGTTGAGGTCGAGCGCGCTGGCCAGCGCGGTGATGTCACTGACAAGACCTGGACGATCATGTCCGATAGTGGAAATTACTGCTCGGCTCATAACCCTGGCTCGCTGATCTTGTTGCGCACATAAGCGGCCAGGTCAGCGCAGGCGATACGCTCCTGGTCCATGGTATCGCGGTCTCGCACGGTAACGGTGTCGTCCTCTTCTATCGTCTGGAAGTCGACTGTCACGCACATCGGTGTGCCCACTTCGTCGTGGCGGCGATAGCCTTTGCCAATGTTACCGGTGTCTTCATAAAGGATTCTGCCCAGACCCAGCGCCTGTAATTCCCGCTTCAGGCCTTTGGCTTTGGCCACAATACCCTCGTGATTGCGTTTCAGAGGCAGAATGGCAACTTTGATTGGCGCAAGGTGTGGTTTAAACGCCATGACGGTGCGTTCGGAGCCATTTTCCAACGTTTCGACCCGATAGGCTTCATTCATTACAGCCAGTACGCCCCGATCAACCCCGGCGGAAGGCTCTATGACAAACGGCACTACCCAGGATTTGGTTTCCAGATTCTGCACCGCGAGTCGCGCGTTGGATTCTTTGTTAGGCGTGACTGCTGAGTGCAGGTTCAGGTCGTCCTGGTTCTTGCTGTGCGATCCCAGGTCAAAATCGGTGCGGTTGGCAATGCCCTCAAGCTCCTCAAGTCCATGCGGAAAGCGGTACATAACGTCTACGGTAGCTTTGCTGTAGTGGGCAAGCTCATCTGCGGGCACGTGGTAGAGCTCCAGATTATTTTCATTGACGCCCTGTTGCCCCCACCACTTGAGGCGTTCGGCTACCCAGGTGTCATGCCATTGTTCATCTTCTCCAGGGGCAACAAAAAATTCGAGTTCCATCTGCTCAAACTCACGCACCCGGAAAATGAAGTTGCGCGGTGTGATTTCATTGCGGAACGCTTTGCCGATCTGTGCGATACCAAAAGGCAGTTTAGGCGAGGTGGAATCCATGACGTTTTTGAAATTAGTGAAGATCGCCTGGGCTGTTTCCGGTCGTAAATAGGCAAAAGAACCGCCATCGTCCACCGGTCCGAGTTGGGTTTTAAACATCAGATTGAAAGGCCTTGGCTCTGTAAGGTCGCCTGAACCGCAACCCGGGCAGGTGTTTCCTTCAAGATGATCAGCCCGCCAGCGACTTTTGCAATTACGGCAATCTACCAGTGGATCGGTGAACGTGGCCTCGTGACCTGAGTATTTGAGCGTCAGCGGGTTGGTCAGAATTGCCGCATCAAGGCCTTCTACGTCATCGCGCTCGTAGACCATAGCGCGCCACCATGCGGCTTTCAGGTTGTTTTTCAACTCGACGCCAAGCGGTCCATAGTCGTACACACCCTGCAATCCACCGTAGATATCGCTGGATTGAAATATAAAGCCGCGGCGTTTAGCCAGCGATACCAGTTCTTCCATAGATTTTGCGGTCACAGCAGGTCTTTCTCGAAATTGCTCGGGCGCGAACTATAACCGAAATGTGTTCGCTTTTAAGCTGGCTGTAAGCATCAGCTTACATCTGTGCACATCTACGGCACAGGCAATCGGGCGCGTAACTGCTCTAATAACAGGTAGATAAAAGGGCACAGGTTCGGCACCCAAACGATCGAATCACGACCTGAGCAAAGCCACCATTAGAGAGTACCGTGAGACAAGACGACCACGAAAAAAAATGCCACTTCCGCAGCTCGGACCGGGTGTTCCATATGAATGGATCCTGGTATTTTGCGACCCGGGAGGGCGATCAGGGACCGTTTCAGAGTGAGGTTGACGCTCATGCTGAAATCAGACGATTCATAACAGAAAAAACAGAGCTGGCACATTTTCAGAAGACTCGGGAAGACGAACGTGCCAATGGCGGGCCTATAGCTGCGCAAAAGCTCGAATTGGTCGCTCTGGATGAGCGACCGATGCTGCGACCACAGAGTCATGAAGCTCTGCAGCGAAAGGTGCATATCTAACCCCGCTTCCATTTGCGTAAGCTTTCTGTTTTCCTTGCCGGCTGAAGAATTCAGCTATGGGGAAAAAAGATATGGCAGGGCTTTTTGATCTGACTGGTAAGGTGGCTTTGATCACCGGTTCCAGCAAAGGCATAGGTCGCGCAATTGCGGAAGAGATGGCACGGCAGGGTGCCCAGGTAGTGATCTCCAGTCGTAAGGCGGATGTTTGCCAGGAAGTGGCTGATGCCATCAACACGGAACTTGCAGGGCAGCCCGGTGGCGCTATTGTGATTCCGGCAAATGTGGGCCGCAAAGAAGAGTTACAGCGACTGGTCGACGAAACCCGTGCGCAGTTGGGCAAGATCGATGTACTGGTGTGTAATGCCGCCGTGAATCCTTTCTACGGCTCAATGGCTGATCTGCCTGATGATGCCTTCGACAAAATTCTCAGTGTGAACATTCAATCGAACCATTGGCTTGCGCAGATGGTGGCGCCCGAAATGATAGAACGCGGCGCGGGCTCTATTATTATCGTGTCCAGCGTGGGTGGCTTGAAAGGCAGTCCTGTGCTGGGTGCGTACTGCATATCCAAAGCTGCTGATCTGCAGTTGGTGCGCAACCTTGCGGTTGAGCTTGGTCCACACAACATTACTGTTAACGCGATATCACCGGGCCTGGTGCGGACCGATTTTGCACGGGCGTTATGGGAGAATCCGGAGATTCTCAAAGAACGTACGAAAGGGGACCCGCTGCGACGTATCGGCGAGCCTCAGGAAATTGCCGGCTCAGCAGTCTACCTGGCATCAGCAGCGGGCTCGTTTACCACCGGCCAGAATATTGTGGTCGATGGTGGTTCGACCATTACCTAACAAATATTACTTATTGGAGAAAACATGAACGAATCTACAGCTGGCGGGCGCAAGTGGTGGGCAAGTGCATTACTGGTCGGTGCTGTCATCGGCCTGGTCTGTCTTCCCCTTGGCGCGCTGGGTGCCAAATTGGGCATCTGGGGGTTTCAAGGTGGCTTTATGCTTCTGGCGGTGGGTACCGTGCTGGCGGCTGCAGTTTTTTTTCTTGGCATCATTGCCTTCGCAGTGAGCATTTCGAAAAAGCTGCCGTCCGAGCGTAGTGCGGTTCTGATTGGCGTGTCCATCAGCGTAGTGATTCTGGCGCTGATGGGGTCTCAATTCATGACCGCACAGTCCGTGCCAGCGATTCACAATATTTCAACCGACACACAGGACCCGCCCGCGTTTGACAAAATTGTTGCGCTGCGCGGCGCAGACTCAAATCCTCTGGACTATGACGCAGAAAAGCTTGCCGCCGTTCAGCGCGAAGCTTACCCCCAGGTGCAATCATTGATTACCGAAGTGGCGCCAGGCGAAGTGCTTAATCGGGCGGTGACTGTTCTGCAAGATATGGGACTTGAGATTGTTGACACAAATGCCGCCGCTGGTCGCGTGGAAGCAACAGATACCACCTTCTGGTTTGGTTTCAAAGATGATGTCGTGGTACGCGTGCGTCCGGAAGGCAGCGGTAGCATCGTTGATGTGCGCAGTGTTTCTCGCGTGGGTCAGTCCGATCTGGGTAAAAACGCGGAACGTATCAGTGAAATTCTGGCAGGATTAAAGGCAATCTAGCTCGCCAGTTTTGCCAGTGGGCCTACATTTTGATTTGATCGCCTGACACATGCTGGCAGCGTCAACGTTGCCGTATGTGTCTTGTGGTCCCAGATCCAACTCCTTCATCTTCAAGCCTTTTCCGTAACGAAGTTCTGTTGCCGCAGGCTTCTGGCTTCGGCGTTACTTTGCCCTGGCAGCAGCCCTGGCTGACAGCTCTCTCAATTGCCACAGGTATTGGCTTGTGCCTCGCGCTCGTTTTTTTATCCCAGCTTAACTATGCCGAAAAGATTGCCGTGGCCGGCAAGGTGCAACCGTTGCAAAAGCCTGTTGTTGTTGCTGCTCCCGAAGCGGGTACGGTCGTAGATGTGCTGGTTGCCAATGGGGATATCGTTGTCAAGGGGGCGCGATTGTTCAGCCTGAACCGGGCTGTACATGATCTCAGTGGGCGTTCCGCCAACTTCAGGGTGGCTCAGTCGATACAAGCGCAATTGCGCAGTTTACGTGCCACCCGAGCGGAGTATGTCAAAACCCAGGCTCTGGAAGAGCAACTGTTAAGAGAACAGCTGTCTGCGACTCAGGCTCAACAAGCCAGTGCACGTGGCCAGACGTTTCTGTTGTCTCGGCAGCTAGATATATCCAGCAGACAATTACAGAAAGCACAGCGACTCGCGGGTGATGGTTGGTTGAGTGAGCAGGATCTTGAGCAAAGTCATCAACAGCATTTTCGCGCTGAGGAAGCGCTGCTGTTGGCGCGTCGGGCTGTGGAGGCGCTGACAGCTGATGCTCTGGGACTGGATACGCGCATTACGCTGCAACAGCAGAAATCGTTATTGCGTCAGGCTGAATATGACATGGACGTGCAGCAATTAGAGCTGCAGCTGGTTGCTGTACAGCGTGATGATTTCAGGCTGGTGAAAGCACCCGTTGCGGGGAAGGTAGATGATTTGCTGCTGCAGCCTGGTGAGCGGATCAGTGCAGGCAAGCCTGCCCTCACGCTTGTTCAGCAGAGTGATCAAGCTCAGCAGGTGTTGCTCTCATTACCCTCCACCGCAGCCGGCCGTGTAGCCGTCGATATGCCTGTGCGTTTGCGTTTCAGTGGCTTCCCCTATCAGCGTTTTGGAGTTGGGGCCGGGACTGTGCGTCAGATCAGCAGCGTCGCAGATGCAGCCCAACCGATTTATCGCGTCTGGGTAGACGTTCAGGCATTGCCTGAAGCGATAGGGACGCTGCCGGCAGGTATGTTGGTTGAAGCGGACATTGTGCTGCAGCAGCAGCCACTCTGGCGCTGGTTGCTGCAGCCGGTTATGGCAGCGTGGCGCCGCTTGTGAAGGCGACGCCCATATATCTGCAGGACACGCGTAATGAATGTGGTCTTGCGTGTCTGGCCATGGTGGCACATATCTACAATGCTGACATCGACCTGTACAGCTTGCGACATCAGTTTGCGGGCTCGGTGCAGGCGTTATCACTGCATTCGCTCAGCCGGATGGCTGCGCAACTGGGTTTGCAGGCGAGGGGAATCCGCTGTGAGCCTGATGGCCTGAAACAACTTAAGCGTCCGGCAATATTACATTGGCAGATGGAGCACTTTGTTGTGCTTGTTGCGGTGCGCGCCAGAGGCTGCGTGATCCACGATCCGAATCTGGGGCGGGTGACTTGTTCCTGGCAGGAAGTGAGCGAGAAGTTCACCGGAGTGGCGTTGGAGCTATGGCCTGATGTCGGCGGTATGACCTCACAACCGGTTGCCCACCGTCTGGGCTGGAAACAGCTCTGGACGTTAATGCAGCGTGGCCGTGGACAATTCTATCTATTGGTTTTGCTTACGCTGGCGTTGCAGATTCTGGTTCTGTTGGGGCCCTGGCACGTCCAGTGGACTGTGGATGATGCGCTGCTCAGCGGTGACAAAACACTGATCAGTGTTTTGTGTATGGGGTTTGGGCTGTTGCTGTTATTGCGCGTGGCTGCCCATCTGCTGCGGGGCCTGGTGAGTCTGCGGCTGGGTTTTACGCTGTCGTTTTATCTGGGTGGCTACCTGCTACAGCATCTTCTGCGTCTACCTAACGGTTGGTTTGAATCCCGTCATGTTGGTGACGTGGTTTCCCGCTTTGCGTCGCTGCAACCCGTACGCGACCTGTTTACCCAGGGTTTGGCGGTGATGCTTGTGGATGCGGTCATGGTGGTGCTCAGCCTGTTGATGCTGTTTGTATACGATCCGGCAATAGCGCTGGTTGTATTGGCAACACACAGCTGTTTTCTGCTGTTACAGATGCTGGCGACAGGGCGCTTGCGCCAACAGACCCTTGGGGTGGTAGTTGCGCAAGCGCAGGAACAGTCGCACCTTATCGAAAGTGTCCGCTCTATCTTTAATGTCAAAGCTTACCAGCAGGAAAGTTCTCGTTTAGCCCAGTGGCAGAACCTGCATGCAAAATCGTTAAAACAGGCGTTAGGACTGCAACAGACCCAGTTAGGCCTTGGTGTCGGTGCCATGTTTGTCGGTGGCGCCGAGTTAATCGTAGTGATTTATCTGGCAGCACATGCAGTTCTTGCAGGCAGCTTAACCGTTGGTATGTTGTTTGCGTTTTTAAGTTACCGAAGTCACTTTACTGAGCGGTTGCGAAGCCTGGTTGACCAGTGGCTTAACCTGCGGGCAATGACCTCCCATCTCGAGCGACTTGCAGATATCTGGTTTGCTGCCCCGGAGTTATCAGCTTCTGAAGGCAGCGTGGACCTGGCGCCCGCTATGCGAATCCGGGAGGCAGGTGCGCTGGCTCTGGACGCGGTGGACTTCCGCCACGATGAGTGCAGCGCCTGGTTGTTGCGGGGCGCAAACCTTCAGGTTGCGCCGGGCGAATGGGTTGCCATTGTCGGTGATTCAGGAACCGGTAAAACAACACTGTTGAAATTGTTGATGGGTTTTGTGGCGCCGTGTGCGGGTCAGGTTCTGATAGGGCAAAGCCCGCTGCGCGGTCCAATGGTGCAATCCCTGCGCCATCACAGCGCCTGTGTCATGCAGGGTGATACGTTTTTCAGCGGCAGTATCATGGAAAATATTGCGCTGTTTGAAACCCCGGACCTGCCCCGCGTGTTGGCCTGTCTGGAGGCGGTGGGTATGCGTGAAGTCATTGAGCTGATGCCGCTGAAACATCTCAGTCCGATAGGGGATCTCAGCAGTGGCCTGTCAACCGGTCAGATGCAACGGCTGGTGCTGGCACGAGCATTGTATCGCCAGCCTGATTATCTGTTTCTCGATGAGTGTACGGCAAACCTTGACCAGGCAAGTGTGAGACATATAGGTACGCTGTTAGGCAAGCTCACCTGCAGTCGCGTTGTTGTTACCCATGACTGGGAATTTGCCTCGGCTGCAGATCGGGTTTTTGAACTGCACGAAGGTCAGCTGCATCTGCGTGATGTTAAAAGCGCAGCAACTCAGTCTGCAGGGTAACCAGATCAACAATACCAATCGCATTGTAGCCCTGCATGTGTCCGGCACATTCGCCGGGATTAAATATTGTTGTCTGTTTTCCCCACTGTTCATGTCGATACAGATGGGTATGGCCATGCAGAGCAAGCTCGTGCTCGTGCGCAAGGTGCCCATCGAATTCCAATGGATCATGTACAACAATTATTCGGCGTCCAGCCCAGACGGGTGTAAATGGGGGCTCGTGAAAATCAAAGCCATGTGCGGCAATAGCCGGCTCCAGGGTGTCGCGTTCCTGGTCATTGTTGCCAAAGACGCCGGACATAGGTGCATTCAGGTGAGCAAAAACGCTGATGGTTTTGGCCTGCGTGATATCACCAGTGTGCACCACATGATCAACGTCTGCTGTGTTGAACAGCTCAACGATCCTGGCGACGTTTTTCAGATTGTTGTGGGTATCGCTGACCACGCCAATACGCATGCGGCGGTTCTCGTAGTTTAGATGTGTTTAACAAAACGCCGGACGTGGAGGCCACGTCCGGCGTTGCTTGACTCAAGCGGTTGCTTAAGCTTTTTCTAGAATGTGAATACCACAGGCGGAGCCCAGACCAATCACGTGGGTCATGCCGAAGCGTGCACCTTCAACCTGACGAGCGCCCGCTTCACCGCGCAGGTGCGTGGCGACTTCGTAGATGTTGGCGATGCCGGTTGCACCCAGCGGATGTCCTTTAGAGAGCAGGCCGCCGGAAACATTAACGGGTATGCGACCACCCAGTGCGACCTCACCTTCGTCAATCATGCGTCCTGCTTCACCGTCGCCACACAGGCCAAGGTTCTCGTAGTGCAGAATCTCGGCGGTGGCAAAACAGTCATGCAGTTCAACCAGGTTGATGTCTTCCGGACCAATGCCTGCCATTTCGTAGGCCTCGGCAACCGCTTTGCGGGTGCAGGAATTCACATCCGGCATCACCAGGTCACGTTCCTGCCAGGGATCTGATGCCATGACTGAAGCGCGTATCTTCACTGCGCGACCCATCAGGCCAAGTTCTTTAACTTTTTTCTCCGAGCACAACACAGCGGCGGCGGAGCCGTCCACGTTAACTGAGCACATCAGTTTGGTGTTTGGGTACGAGATCATTTCCGCATTCATCACTGTTTCCAGCGGTGTTTCGATCTGATACATCGCTTTGGGGTTCAACGTGGAATGGTGATGGTTTTTCACCGACACCTTGGCAAACTGCTCAAAGGTAGTGCCATATTTACGCGCATGTTCCATACCCGCTTCTGCAAATACTGCGGGCATGGTGCCTGAACCCAGTAAACCTTCTTTTGAAATGCCGGTGGCGCCGCCAGCACCGCCGAGCAGGCCTTTGCCCATCTGTTCAACGCCTACTGTCAACACACAGTCGTACAAGCCGGCTTTAATAGACGCCCAGCCTTCACGGAATGCGGTTGCGCCGGTTGCACAGGCGTTGGCAACGTTGACGACAGGGATACCTGTCTGGCCAATCTCCTGCAGCATACGCTGGCCTACCATGCCGGAGGCCTGGCCGAGGTTGCCTGAATACAGGGCCTGCATGTCCTGAATGGTGAGTCCACAGTCATCCAGTGCCATAAGTGCGGCTTGAGCACCAATTTGCGGAACGGTTTTGTCCGGAAAGCGACCGAACTTGATCATGTCTACGCCAACAACATATACGTCTGTCATTAGAATCTCCTGTTAGCTAGCTTTGGGTTGGAAGAAGTATGCAAGATAGGCATTGCCGTCACGATCTTTACGTCCGAGGGCGTCGTCAAATATAACGTCGACGGGCATGTCGAATTCGATATTCGCTGGATCCGGCTCCACGCCGATCAGGTTGCCTTTGATGGCGGTGCCGTCATCCAGGTCGACAATGGCGCTGATATAGGGCACTTCGATGCCTGGAAATGAGCGGTGCACAATCGAGTAGGAATACAGTTTGCCGCTGTTGGGCAAAGTCACGGTCTGCATCTGGTCGCGTGCTCCACATTTAGAACATACGCTGCGTTCACCTAAAAACGTTGCGCCGCAATTGCCACATTTGTGGCCTTCCAGATACGGGTCGCCGCCTTCTGGTATTTTCAGAAAAGGCACTGCGGGTAATGGCTGTTCGCTCAAGGTCTCCCCCTTTATACGTGGTTGGAATCAACCGCTGGCTGATCTGTCTTTTGTCAAATCAAACTATCGAAGTTGATTGGAATGGTCAGTTTACCGGTACACAGAGCTTACTATTGCGTGGGGTTCCACGCTACTGTGTTGGGATGTGCACATCTGGTTTTGAAAGAGGTCGTTTTAATAGCTCTTGGTTCTACCAATAAAGATTTACACAGTCTTCAGGGTTGTGCAGGGTGAAGCTGACAGCACTTGAAGTTTAAGGGGATTGAGTGAGATCGCTGAAAGTAAAAGAATATATGTCCACGCGTCTGATTACGTTCAAAGCAGACACCAATGTTGTTGCTGCTATGGCCGTGCTGTTGAAGGAAAAAATTTCCGGGGCACCGGTTGTTGATGATGACGGTAACCTTCTCGGTGTGCTTTCTGAGGTGGATATCATGCAGGTCATTGTGCAGGACAGCTATTACGATGAAGCCACCGGCATTGTCGGCGATTACATGCATTCACCCGCGGAAGTGGTTGCTCCGGATACGGATATCTATACCCTGGCGGAACGCTTCATTCAGGAAGGCCGCAGACGGTACCCTGTCGTCAGCAATGGCCGGCTGGTAGGACAGATCAGTCGTCGGGACGTGCTGCGGGCAGTGGAAAATATGCTACAGCACAAGACTTAGTTGACGCTGTCGGTCAGAGTTTACCGCGGATAATATCGTTAACCTGCTGTGGGTTTGCTTTGCCCTGTGTCAGCTTCATGACCTGACCGACAAAAAACCCTAACAATTTTTCTTTGCCGCCGCGCAGCTGCTCAAGCTGCGCAGGATTGTCTGCCATCACCTGCTCGACAATGGCTTCCAGTTCACCGCTGTCGCTCATTTGTTTCAGGTTCAACGTGTCTATCAGCTCATCAACATCGGTATCAGCTGTACGCAAGGCGTCAAAGAGTGTTTTAGCGGTCTTCGAAGATAAGGTGCCATCGTCCAGGCGCGCGATAAGTTGACCCAGCTGCTGGGGTGACACGGGGCTCTGCGTGATGTCGAGATCCGCTTTGTTCAACACAGCCGCCAGCTCCCCCATTATCCAGTTGGCGCTCTGTTTTGCGTTGCCACAGATGGTGACTGTCTGATCGAAAAAGTTGGCGACGTCGGGGTCGTTGCTCAGCCATGCAGCATCATAGGGAGACAGCTCCAGCGCCTCGCAATACCGTTGTTGTCGCGCCTCAGGTAGTTCAGGAAGCTGTGTCCGGATGTCTTCAACAAAAGCTTCGCTGAAAACCAGCGGCAACAGATCTGGATCCGGGAAGTAGCGGTAATCAGCGCTGAGCTCTTTGCCACGCATTGATCGTGTTTCGTCTTTGTCCGGATCATACAGGCGTGTTTCGCGTTCAATCTTTCCGCCGTTTTCTAACACCTCGATCTGACGTTGGATTTCGTAATTGATCGCTCGCTCGACGAAGCGGAAGGAGTTGATGTTTTTGATTTCCGTACGCTCGCCAAAACTGTCCTGGCCTACCGGTCTGATGGACACGTTTGCATCACAGCGCATGCTGCCCTCGGCCAGATTGCCATCGCAGATTTTCAGATAGCGTGCCAGCGCGTGGATTTTTTTGAAGTAAGCGACAGCCTCTGCGGCACTGCGCATGTCCGGTTCCGACACAACCTCCAGCAGAGGTGTCCCGGTGCGGTTCAGGTCGATGCCGGTCTGTCCTGGAAACAGGTCGTGGACGGATTTACCGGCGTCTTCTTCAAGGTGCGCGCGGGTGACGCCAACGCGACGCTGCTGGCCATCGTCAAGCAGCAGTTCAACTTCGCCAAATCCAACAATGGGTGTTTCGAACTGGCTGATCTGATAACCCTTAGGCAGATCGGGATAAAAATAGTTTTTGCGATCGAAAACCGAGTGCAGGTTAATCTGCGCGCCGATGGCCAGGCCGAATTTGACTGCCATGGCAACGGCGGCTTCGTTGAGTACAGGCAACACACCAGGTAAACCGAGGTCGATGGCACACGCTTGCGCGTTGGGCTCGGCTCCAAACTCAGTGGATGCACCAGAAAAAATTTTGCTTTTTGTTGCGAGCTGGACGTGAATCTCCAGGCCGATGACCGCTTCCCAGTTCATCTTGTGCGGCCTCCTTGAGCAGCAGCTGGCGTTTGTTCATGCCAGTCGGTGGCCTGCTGAAAGTCTCTTGCCAGGCCCAGAACCAGATCTTCTCGATATGCGGGTCCGATGAGCTGCGCACCGAGCGGCAGACCCTGTTTGAATCCGCAGGGCATGGACAGCGCAGGCAGCCCTGCGAGGCTGGCCGGCACTGTGAATTTATCCTGCTGATACATGGCAACCGGGTCTTGTTTCAGCGCCCCGGCGGCAAACGCGGGCCCCGGCGCCGTTGGTGTCAGCAGCAGGTCTACCTGCCTGAAGACGTTGCTGAAGTCGTTAGATATCAGGCGACGAATTTTCTGCGCCTGCAGATAGTAGGCGTCAAAGTAACCGACTGACAGAGCATAGGTTCCGGTCAGGATGCGGCGTTTGACTTCCTCGCCAAATCCTTCACTGCGCGAGCGCTGATACAGGTCTTCAAGGGATTCCGGGTTTTCACAGCGATGGCCAAAACGCACGCCGTCGTAGCGCGACAAGTTGGTCGACGCTTCGGCACCGGCAACCACGTAGTAGGCGGGAATAGCCATCTGCGTATTAGGTAGTGCCACGTCGATACATGTGTGTCCCAGTTGTTGCAGAATTCTGCGCACCTCATCCAGGTGATCGGTATCTGTCATGGCTTGAAAATATTCAGTTGGCAGACCAATTTTGAGGTTGGGCGCCAGTTGCGGAATACCCTGCTGGGCAATTTGTGTAAGCCACTCGTCGTTACGCGGAGTGCTGGTTGAGTCTTTTGGATCGAATCCGGCCATGCTGCCTAACACCAGGGCAATATCCTGTGCCGTGTGTGCAAACAGCCCGCCCTGATCCAGGCTTGATGCAAAGGCCACCATGCCATAGCGGGAAACCCGCCCATAAGTTGGTTTTAACCCTGTTATGCCGCAGAAAGCGGCAGGCTGACGAATAGAACCACCGGTATCGGTGCCCGTTGCAACGGGTATCTGTCCACTGCCCACCGCAGCAGCTGATCCGCCAGAAGAGCCGCCGGGTACGTGATCCGGATGCCAGGGATTGGCGACCGGACCAAAGGCGCTGTTTTCGTTGGACGAGCCCATCGCAAACTCGTCCATGTTGGTCTTACCTAAACAAACCATGCCGGCTGTTTGAAGATTGTGGACAACGGTGGCGTCGTAAGGGGCGACAAAGTTCTCCAACATGCGCGAGCCACAGGTGGTCAGCACGTTGTTGGTACAGAACACGTCTTTGTGTGCCATGGGGATGCCGGTCAGCGCGCCGCCCTGGTCGTTGGCAATCTGTGCATCAGCCGCGGCGGCGGCGTTCAGGCTGCCTTGTTCATCCACCGTAATAAAAGCGTTGCTGGTGGGCTGCTGGCGTTTAATTTCAGTCAGGAAATACTGGGTCAGCTCAACGGCACTGTACTCGCCGGAAGCGAGTCCGCGACTGAGTTCGGTGACGGTGACAAATGGATGCAGGCTCATTCCACAACCCTCGGCACCAGATAGTAGCCCTCGGCGGTGGCCGGTGCGTTGCGTTGAAAACGCTCGCGATCGACATGTTCGGTGACCTGGTCACTGCGTAAACGTTGCTGAGCATCCATTGGGTGGGCCATGGGTATGACACCGGTGGTATCCACTGCCTGCATCTGGTCGATCATGGTGATGATGTTGTGCAGCTCCTGTTCCGCACGCCTGATGGCGGCGTCGTCCAGGGACAGACGGGCAAGCATAGCCAGGTGTGGAATATTGATTTTGTCCTCGTCATCCATGCTCTTGTCTCACTCGTTAAACTCAGGATTCGGCGATCATCGGAAGTGTAAAACTTCGCGGCGCGAACCTTATGTCACGCATCTCGATATTTCCAGGCTTGAGGCCGTGCTTTTCTAGTTGGGAATGCATAGAATTGCGCTTTCAGGTTGAGTCCAACTATAGATGTTCAAGAATATTCGCGGTCTGTTTTCCCGCGACCTGTCTATTGACCTCGGTACAGCTAACACACTCATTTACGTGCGCGATCAGGGCATTGTACTGAACGAGCCGTCGGTGGTGGCCATCCGTACCCAGGGTAACCAGAAGAGTGTTGCTGCGGTAGGCCTCGATGCAAAACGCATGCTGGGGCGTACGCCGGGTAATATAACCGCGATCCGGCCCCTCAAAGACGGGGTGATTGCAGATTTTCTGGTGACGGAAAAAATGCTCAAGTACTTCATCAACAAGGTCCACGAAAATTCCTTCATCCGCCCAAGTCCGCGGGTGCTGGTCTGTGTGCCTTGTAAATCTACCGAAGTTGAACGCCGTGCTATCCGTGAAAGTGCTTTATCTGCCGGTGCGCGGGATGTGCGGCTGGTAGAAGAACCCATGGCTGCGGCCATCGGCGCTGGTTTGCCGGTTCAGGAGGCTGTCGGCACTATGGTTGTTGATATCGGTGGTGGTACCACTGAAATTGCGATTATCTCGCTGAATGGTGTGGTCTTGTCCGATACCGTGCGAGTTGGCGGTGATCGCTTTGACGAAGCAATTGTTGCCTATGTGCGGCGCACTCAGGGTAGCCTGATTGGCGAAGCCACAGCTGAGCGCATCAAGCAGGAAATTGGTGCAGCTTACCCCCAGAAGGATATCCGTGAAATTGATGTGCGTGGCCGCAACCTTGCGGAAGGTGTGCCGCGCAGCTTTACGTTGAACAGCAATGAAATTCTTGAAGCGCTGCAGGAGCCGCTGTCGATGATTGTGCAGGCGGTTAAAAGCGCGCTGGAACAATGTCCTCCGGAGCTCGCTTCAGACATTGCCGAAACCGGCATGGTATTGACCGGCGGCGGCGCGCTGCTGCGCGATCTGGATATTCTGCTGGCCGAGGAAACCGGGCTGCCGGTCATCATTGCAGAAGATCCTCTGACCTGTGTTGCCCGTGGTGGTGGCAAAGCGCTGGAGCTCATGGATGCTGCAGGCAACGCCGACTTACTGTCTACGGCGTAATCCTCACATCAGCGTCGTACGACCAACAGTCGTGTGGGCAATGAGAGGGCCGTACCATTAAGGCGCTGTTTGTTCGTAATTCTGCCGCAGGGTATCTCCTGTTTGGCCTGGGCCTGGTGTCGGCACTGCTCATTGTGATTGAATCCTCTACCCGCGTGCTCGACCCGGTGCGCGGCTTTATTTCCAGTCTGGTCAGTCCTGTATACCTGCTTGCGGAATCACCCTACATGATCAGCGGGGTGGTCAGTGATGTGGTCTCCACCCAGGATCAGCTGCTGGTTCGAAATCAGCAGCTTGAACGTCAGATTCTGGAGCTCTCACAGATATCTCAACAATATGTGGCTCTGAAGGCCGAAAATGATCGGCTGCGTGGCTTGCTGGGTTCCCAGGGCCGTCTGCCCTACGAAGTCCTGATCGCAGAATTAGTGGGGATTGTGCCTGACACCGACACCTTTCAGATCATTATCGACAAAGGCTTGAATGCTGGCGTTAAACCCGGCCTGGCAGTGTTGGACGCGCAAGGACTGTTCGGTCAGGTGATTGAAGTGGGTCGCTTTACCAGTCGCGTGTTGCTGGTCACCGATGCTGACCATGCCGTGCCGGTGCGTGTGAATCGTAATGGTGTGCGCGGCATTGCAGGTGGTACGGGCGAAGTAGATGCATTGGTGTTGGAAAATGTCTCTGTGACCGCGGATATTGTTGAAGGGGATCTTTTGGAAACCTCCGGTCTGGGAGGCCGATTCCCGCCTGGGTACCCGGTAGGTACCGTAGTGTCTGTCGTGGTTCAAGCAACTTCTGCATACGCCCAGGTGCGTCTGCGCCCAACGGCAGCGCTGGATCGCTCCCACCATGTGCTGGTGGTGTTTGGGCCGGATCAGGTCAAGCAGCAATCCCCGCAACAGGTTGTGGAACAGGAGCCCTCGCCATGAACCCCGGCAATGGTGGTTGGGTGATTGGTTTGAGCCTGTTGGCTGCGATGATTCTGGGCGTGTTCCACCTGCCGGAATGGGCGCCTGCCTGGCTGGGTTGGTTGCGTCCGAACTGGTTGCTTCTGGTGCTGTTCTTCTGGGCGATCGAGCTACCCCATCGAGTCGGACTCATTGCTGTCTGGATGCTGGGTCTGATGGTTGACGTGCTGTATGCAGAACCCCTTGGTCTGAATGGTTTTGTGCTGGCTGGGGTGACCTATGTGGCCTGGCGATTTTTTGAACGGCTGCGTATGTATTCAGTCCTGCAGCAGGCCATGCTGGTCTTTGCGCTGGCCCTGAGTGCTGAATTTCTACGTGTTTTTGCCATCGGGCTGTCCAGCGACCGTGCCTGGGGCTGGTCGGTGCTGACCTCGCCGCTTGTGACCATGTGCCTGTGGCCTTTTATATTCCTGCTGCTGCTGCGCATCCGTACCGGCATCCGTGTGGAATAGGTGTGAGCGCTGAATCAACCAAGCCGTTAATCCTGGCGTCCGCCTCCCCGCGTCGCGCGCAACTGCTTGAACAGATGGGGCTGGTATTCAGTGTTCGGGTCACCAATGTGGATGAAACACCTCTTCCAGGTGAGTCACCTGCTGCTTATGTCGCGCGGTTAGCGCAAGCCAAGGCGCAGGCTGGCTTTGAGCCCGGCGCCATAAGCATTGGTGCAGATACAACAGTGACCATTGATGATGAAATTCTTGGCAAACCCTGTGGTCTAACCGAAGGTGTAGATATGCTTCTGCGTCTGGCTGGGCGTCGCCATGAGGTGTTAACTGGTGTCGCCGTCAGTGATGGTGTGAAAACGCTGTGCGAGGTGGTTGGTGCCGTAGTTCACTTTGGTGAAATCAGTACCGCCACCGCCGAGCGCTACTGGTATACCGGAGAACCTGCAGATAAAGCGGGTGGTTATGGTATTCAGGGGATTGGGGGTATATTTGTGCAGCGTTTGGAAGGCAGCTACACCGCAGTGGTGGGTTTGCCCGTAGAGCGCACAGAGCATCTGTTGCGAGCGTTCAACATCGATACCTGGAGTACGCGGAAAGATGGCAGAAGAATTACTGATTAATGTCAGCCCGTTTGAAACAAGGGTAGCGCTGGTTGCACATGGCTTGCTCCAGGAGATCCATATCGCCCGGTCGGCGGGCTACAGCGTCACAGGCAACATCTATCTGGGCAAGGTGGAGCGTATTGTCCCAGGGATGCAGGCGGCGTTTGTTGATGTCGGGCTGGCGCGCCCAGGGTTTCTGCACGCTCGAGACATAGACAGCCCTCGTATTTTTACCGCGCAGAATGAGGAGCCGTCTGCCAAACCGGATATTCGTGACCTGCTGCATGAAGGCCAGTCGGTGCTGGTGCAGGTTGAAAAAGATCCAATCGCAAATAAAGGCGCCAGGTTATCAACGCAATTGGCCCTGGCTTCCAAATATCTGGTGCTGATGCCAAATGAAAATCACATCGGCATCTCCCAGCGCATCGATGATGAAAACGAACGCGAGCGCCTCAAAGACATAATACTGGGTGTAAAAAACACCTACACGATCGGCGGTGGTGTCATTGCGCGCACCGCAGCGGACGCGGCAGATGAGGCCCAGCTCACCTCGGATCTGCGTCTGCTGCAGCGGATCTGGCAACGTATCAGCGAACGCATCAAAGGTGCACAGGTACCTTCTCTGGCTTACGAAGAGTTGCCGCTGCACACACGCATGATTCGCGACCTCGCCAGTGCGCAAACCGAAAGCATTCTGATTGATGATGCGCATACCTTTGCCCGTATCCGAAGTTATGTTGATGAATTCATACCGGGTTATGCGGAGCGGTTGCACTGTTACGCTGAAAAGCGACCGCTGTTTGAACGTCATGGCATTGAGGACGAACTCACCAGAGCGCTTGAACCAAAACACTGCCTCAAATCCGGCGGCAGCATTGTCATTGAACAAACCGAGGCGATGATCAGTGTTGACGTGAACACCGGTGGTTTCCTGGGTGGGCACAGTCTCGAAGAAACGGTGTTCCGAGCGAATCTCGAAGCGGCTGCAGCGATTCCGAGGCAACTGCGTCTGCGTAATCTTGGCGGCATTATTGTTATCGACTTCATTGATATGGAAGATGAAGAGCATAAGCGCCAGGTACTGCGGACTTTGGAAAAAGCCGTTGAAGCTGATCCGGCACGCACACGAATTGAAGGCTTTTCTTCGCTCGGGCTGGTGCAGATGAGTCGCAAACGCACCCGCGAATCTCTGGCGCAGAGCATGTGTGCGCCTTGCAGCCAGTGTGAAGGTTATGGTCTGGTCCGAACCCCTGAATCCACCTGCGTGGAAGTGTTGCGGGCGCTGTCGCAGGATTATCAGGCGCGGTGTCGTAACAAGACGCCGGAAGGGGATTATCTGATTCGCGCAACAGAAGCAGTTGTCGACCGATTATTGGATGAAGATGCGCAATATCTGGCAACACTGTCAGAAAACATTCAGCGCGAGATCCGTATTCAGGTTGAGCCCAGCTATCCGGAAGGACAATTTGATATCGTGCTGGTGCAGAACGTCGCCCGTTAAATACAGTCGCGTAGCGTTATAAATGTCCCCCCAACCTCAATTTTCGCTCGCCCAACGTTTTTCTCGTGTGGTGCTGCGGCCGTTGTTTGTGTTTTTTACATTTACCCTGGTACTTATGGCGATCCTGCAGGCGGGCGGACGCTTCAGTATGGCTGTGCTGCATCTGTTTGAAGACGAGCTGAATGCGGTGCTGCAAACACAGAACATATCAGTGGCCGGGTTACGCGGAGATTGGCGTGGTCTTAATCCCCGGGTATCCGTCGAAAGCGTTGTTTTTCCGGCTGGTCAGATTGCTCGCATGGAACTTGAGCTTGATGTTCTGGAGAGCATTTTTCGTAGTGCCTGGGTGCCACATACGCTGGTTGTTGCGGGCGCTGAGGTGCATCTCGAGCAGGCTGCGCAAGGCTGGCGTTTGCGCGGTATGGGCGCACAGCCGTTGCAACTCAGCCTGGATGGGTTGCTCCGCCATTCGGATCATCTTGCAGGGCGCTTAGACGTCTTGTTGCATTCGCGGGCGGGAGAAATGGCGCGCATGCAGGCAGATCTCAAAATGATCAATCGCAACCGAACTCACTTTGCGCAGTTGGGTTTGTGGAACGCAGCGACTGCCGGTCAGCGTCTGCAACTGGCTTTCTGGCAGACTGAGACGGTCCTGTCGCGAGGCAGCATGACCGCGACCATGAGCGGCTCACTCACGCTGCCAGTTGCACTAACCGGCCTGTCAGATGTCACTATTGAGGTGACGGAAGGCGTGTGGTCCGAGCAGCTAGGCAAAGGCGATGGTGCCCTGGCGCTGGCGTTTGAGGGTTTGTCCATGTCCGCTGAAGGGCAGAGCCTTGCCGGCAGCATTCAACTGGCAGCAGGTCGAGATGCTCAACGGGTTAGATTCAGCAGTTCTCCGCTGTCTCTGCGGGCGGGTGCGGATGAACTGCTGCTGAGGCCTGTTTTCGGTCAGAGTACATTGCCCGGGAAGGACGATACTGCCTTTGCAGTGGCCACAGAACTCCTGAAGCCTAAAGACAATCAACCACTTTTCCAGGTTTGGATTGATCAGTTGGATTTAGGTGAAATCAGCAGTTTTGTTGTCTCCCACTTTGCTGGCTTCGAACGCTTGGTTACCTGGATTGACGGCCTCGCAGTGCAAGGCGAAGCTAACAATATACATCTGTTTTATACCGCTGACGTCGGTCTGGGTTATGGCGCTTCGTTGAATAAACTTGCTGTGCAGGGTTTCAAAGGTGTGCCGACACTGCGAAATGCTCAAGCGAGATTGTGGGGATACAGCAATGGTCATGCGATTCAGGTCAGTGGTGACGATGTGTACCTGCAATTTCCTGACCTTTACGCTTCGGGTTGGAATCTGGCGTCTGCCCAGGGCATCGTCAAAATCTGGTTGGGTCAAGGCTACCTGGGTGTGCAAGGCACGCATATAAAAACCCGCCTGGGGGACACGGTTGCAGCAGGGAGTTTTGCGATAACCCGGCCACAGACGGTATCGGAACAGCGGCTGAGTTTGCAGATATCGGCTGATCAGACCTCAGTCAGACTGGCTAGAACGTTTGTGCCAGGTAACATTCCACCAGCGTTAGATGACTGGCTGCAGACGGGATTGCAGGCCGGGCAGTTGTCTGAGGCTCAGTATGCTTATCACGGGCAGTTGCGTGTTGAGCCCGGTGAGCTTGCGCGCCGTAATGAGCTTACCGCGAATTTCAGTGGTTTGCGTGTTCAGTATGAACCCAGCTGGCCTGTTGTTTACGACGCAATCGGTAGTGTTTATGTCGCCGGCACCAATGTACATATCAATCTGCAACAGGGCGCCAGCGAAAGTCTGCGGATACGTGCGGCTGCAGTAACATTGCACGATAATGCAACCTACGTTTCCGGCACAGTGGATGCAACCGGTGACGCAACAAATATGCTGGAGTTTGTACGTAGCAGTCCTTTGCAGACAAATCTGGCGTTTGTTACACCTGCCTGGCAGGGCAGTGGCCGTGTTGATTTAACGGCGACCCTGGTGGTGCCCATCAGAATTGAGCAGGCTCCGCCGCTGGCTGTGGATCTTAAGTTTGAATTGGGACAGGTTGACCTGGCTATGCCTGAGTATCGGCTGGTGCTGCGTGAGCTGCAGGGGCAAGGCGAATTTTCTCTGCCACACAACCTAACGGGAGATTTCCGCGGCTCCTTATTCAGGCAGCCTGCCAGCTTTGCCGTTCGACATACGCCGCAATGGCTGTCCTTTGATGTCTCTGGCAAGGCAACCCCTGTTGATGTTTACAACATCCTTGCAGCTGATGTGACGCTGCCTCTGGAAGGTGATTTCTCTTTTTCAAGCACACTGAATCTGCCGATGGATGGCGGTGTCACACAGCTTCTGGTGACGAGCGATCTGCAGGGTTTAGGCGTTGGTTTGCCCGCTGAATTTGGCAAGTTAGCACAGGACATTGCACCCATTGATATCGATGTGCAGTTCCTGGCGGAATACCAGAGTGTCAGTTTGCGATACAAAACCGTGGATGGCTGGTTCCACTATGGTGATGCCATTGAACGAGGCGCAATTGGTATTAATGCTGACCCGCCAATGACAGCGGTGGATCAACGCGCCATAGCGATTTCAGGGGTTATGCCTCGTTTGATGTTGAGTGACTGGGTGTCTACCGAAGGAGACTCCGCCGTGGTGCTGCCACTGGATTGGTCTATCTCAAAGCTTACGGTGCAGGAATTTTTCATCGATGAAATGATGTTTGCTGATGTCTTACTGGATGGGCAGCAGCAGGGCAATGAAGTTTCTTTTGCCTTTAATGCGCCCGCGGTGCGCGGCAAACTGAATCTGCCCGCTGGGGATGTTTTGAATCTGGATTTGGAGTTCCTGCAGATTCCGCAGGCGAATATACAAACGGCTGAACACATCGGTGCACCTCAGGTTGATCCGATAAGTGTCGCTGTTGGTGAAGTTTTGCCAGAGGCCAAGATTAACATTGCTCAATTGATGCTCGGTGACGAGCCGTTTGGGCGCTGGCAATTTGAAATCCAGCCTCAGGCTGGGGAGCGCGTTGAATTTCTCAATCTGGACGCCTCGGTCAACGGGGTTCACATTGAAAATGGTGCGCTCAGTTGGGATCTGCAAACGGATCGATCAGTTTTCACCGGTAAGCTGAAACTCGATGATCTGGCACAGACGTTACCTAAGTGGGACTACGCGCCCAGTCTGAGTACAACTACAGCTGCGGCCAGAGCAGATGTTTCGTGGTCAGGCTCTCCACTGAACGTCAGCCTGCTGGGGACTGATGGTGAGATTGAATTTGACGCGCGTGACGGTCGTTTTATGGAAGTGGAAGGCGGTTCTGGTGGATTACGGATTCTGAGCCTGCTGAATTTTACGCAGTTGGCGAAACGTATCAGTCTGGATTTTTCAGATGTCGTGGGCGAGGGCATGAGCTTCGATCGAATAGATGCCACCGTCGGCCTGCAGGGGGGCGAACTGACATTTCCCAAGCGCTTAACGGTTGAGAGTTCCTCGGGTGATTTTCAACTTGGAGGCCGTGTTGACTTAGCCAGCGGGCAACTGAACAATGAGTTGATCGTGACTTTGCCAGTCAGCAAAAGCATCCCCTGGTACGGTCTTTACCTGGGGCTGGCAAACCCAATTGTTGGCGCCACGGTGGTACTCGGCGAGCGCATGTTACGTAAGCCCATTGAACAATTCAGCACTGCGAAGTTTGAAGTCACGGGTACCCTTGATGATCCCGAAGTGAAATTCGTCAGCCTGTGGGATCGTTCAATGAAACAGCCACAGAGCAAAGAACAGGCGCAGCAGCCTGATAAATCAGAATAAATAAGAGAAACCTAACCATGCAAGATGTAGTTGAGCAGGCTTCACAAAATATCCTCGGCCACAGCGATATCAGCCAACAGGATATCGAACGGACGCTGGAAGATATGATGGGTAACCGCATCGATTATGCAGAAGTTTATCTGCAGAGCGTGCGATCTGAATCCTGGGGTCTTGAAGACGGCATTGTCAAAGATGGCAGCTTCAGTGTTGATGCGGGCATTGGCGTGCGCGCGTTGAGTGGCGAGAAAACAGGTTTTGCCTATGCGGAAGACATCCTGCGTGATGGCCTTAATAGCGCGGCGAGCGCTGCAAAATCTATTGCTGACAAAGGCACCCCACGTGCCGCCCCTGCTTTTCAATCGCCAACGGCCAGCGCGCTGTACCCTGGTGCAGATCCTATCAGCCTGTTAGATGAAGTTGCAAAAGTGCAACTGTTACAACGGATCGATCGAGCGGCGCGTGCGGCGGATCCGCGCATCAAAGAGGTTAATGTGCGGATTTCAGCCAACCATGACGTGATGCTGGTGATGGCGAGCGACGGTACCCTGGGTGCTGATTTACGCCCTCTTGTCAGGCTTGATGTCTCCGTGATCGCCGAGGCAGGGGGGCGACGCGAAAGGGGTAATGCTGGTGGCGGTGGACGCCGTGGACTGGATGAGCTGCAGCAGGGTAGCTGGGCGGAAGATCTGGCTGCTGAGGCAGTGCGGATGGCAATGGTTAATCTTGATGCGCGAGATGCCCCCGCGGGACCGATGCAGGTGGTGCTTGGACCGGGTTGGCCCGGTGTTTTACTGCATGAAGCTGTGGGCCACGGTCTGGAAGGTGATTTCAATCGTAAAGGCAGTTCGACTTTCGCTAACCGCGTGGGTCAACAGGTAGCATCCACGTTATGCACAGTGGTTGATGATGGCACCATGGCGGGCCGGCGCGGCTCGCTGACGGTGGATGACGAAGGCACCCCGACGCAATCTACTGTATTGATAGAGAACGGTATTTTGCGCGGGTATATGCAGGACAAATTGAATGCCCGGTTAATGAACGTAGCTTCTACCGGCAACGGTCGGCGTCAGTCTTATGCCCACCTGCCGATGCCACGTATGACCAATACCTTTATGCAACCCGGAGACCATGATCCTGCTGAAATCATTGCCTCTGTAGACAAGGGCGTCTATGCAGTGAATTTTGGTGGTGGGTCAGTTGATATCACGTCCGGGCGTTTTGTGTTTTCTGCAACCGAAGCTTACTTGATCGAAAACGGCAAGGTAACGGCTCCGATTCGTGGTGCGACGTTGATTGGCAATGGGCCCGATGTGATGAACAAAGTATCTATGGTGGGTAACGATTTAAAACTCGATACCGGTGTAGGCGTGTGCGGTAAAGATGGCCAGTCGGTGCCGGTAGGCGTTGGCCAGCCGACGTTGAAAGTTGATGAGATCGTGGTGGGCGGCACCCAGGCGTAAAACTACGCTGACAACTCGCTGGTTTCCCTTAAAAAGCGGAACAGTCTGCGCGAGGCAGCCTTCTGTTCGGGTTCATTACGCGCGCTGTGTACTTTCTTGACCAGCTGGCGCAGTTGTTGGCGATCAACCTGTGGGTATGTCGCGATGAAGTCCGTTAAGCTGGCAGGTTCTGCAAGCAAGACTTCGCGCCACTGCTCAAGTTGGTTGAACTGATATTGCGCTTCGGCAGATTTCCCGTCCAGATCTGCAAGATGGGCTTCGATGGCGCTAGTGTCTACTTTGCGCATCAGTTTGCCGACAAATTGGAGCTGACGTTTTTTTGCGCCATGACTGGTAAACCGCTGGTACTCCTCAATCGCATGCGCCAGTTGTGGGGGCAGATTGAGCGAGGCAAACTGTTCGGCATTGAGCTGGCCAAGGCGGCGGCCCAGTTCCAACAGACGTTGCGCTTCCCGCTTGCGGGCGGTTTTGGAAGGCAGTTCCTCTGTGGATTCCGAGGGGTTGTCGTTTTGATTTATTTCGTCAGACACGGCGATGGTTACAATTTAGCTTAGGATATGTGGTGGATTTAAGAGAACAAGAACACAAGCTTACAGCGTTAGTGCAGGATATTCTGACCGAAGCACGACAACAAGGCGCTGATCAGGCAGAAGTCTCAGTAAGTGTCGATTCCGGGTTGTCCGTCAGCGTGCGCAAAGGCGAACTGGAGAATGTGGAATTCAACCAGGACCGGGGTTTCGGAATTACCCTCTATTACGGTCAACGCAAGGGTTCAGCCAGTACAACGGACAGCAGCGAACGCGCAATAGCGGACACTGTTGCCGCAGCTAAAAACATCGCTTCTCATACTGAAGACGACCCCTGTAACGGTCTGGCCGATGCAGACCTGTCGCCGACAACATTGCCGGATCTGGACCTGTTCCATCCCTGGGAGGTACAACCGCAGCAGGCTGCAGAGCTGGCAAAAGCGTGTGAGGCGGCTGGCCTTGCAGTAGATGCCCGCTTGTCGAATTCTGACGGCGCGCAGGTGAATACCCAGCAGTCGCTGCGCCTTTATGGCAACAGCCATGGCTTTATCGGTGCGTATGCCGGCACCCGCCACGGCTTGAGTTGTGTTGTGATCGGTGAAGATGAGAATGGGATGCAGCGGGATTACTGGTATACGGTGGCGCGAAACGCGACCGAGCTTGATTCTGCTGAAACGGTAGGTCGTCTGGCGGGTGAGCGTACCGTGGCGCGCTTGTCTCCACAAAATGCGCCCACCGGCAGCTACCCGGTGATGTTTGCACCCAATATGGCAGGTGGCCTGTTCGGGCATTTAATTGGCGCGATCAGCGGTGGTGCTTTGTATCGACGGGCATCTTTCCTGCTCGACTCAATGGGCCAGCAGGTATTGCCTGACTGGTTGTCGCTTACCGAACGGCCGCATTTACTCAACAGTCTTGGTAGTGCAAATTTTGATGGGGATGGAGTGGCTACCCGCAGTAAAAGCTTTGTTGCTGACGGCTGCGTATCGAGCTACGTCTTATCCTGTTACTCGGCACGCAAACTGAAACTGGCACCTACCGGCAACGCCGGAGGCGTGTATAACCTGGATGTGGATGGTCCGCAGACACCGCTGGCTGATCTGCTCAAGCAGATGGGTACAGGGCTGTTGGTCACGGAGCTTATGGGTCAGGGTATCAATGGTGTGACGGGCGATTATTCACGCGGCGCCGCTGGCTTCTGGGTGGAAAACGGCGAGATTACCTACCCGGTTGCCGAGGTGACCATTGCCGGCAACTTAAAAGATATCTATCGCGCCATCGTCGGCATTGGCGACGATGTTGATTATCGTGGCAATGTGCGCGCTCCCAGCGTCCTGATTGAATCGATGACGATAGCTGGCTCAGCCTGACACTGTTCTGAAAAGTGCAGCTTGATGGGGTCTGCTAAGCGTAGACCCAGGTTGCCAGCCCCAGAAACACAAAAAAACCGGTGACGTCGGTAATCGTGGTCAGCACCACGCCACCAGCGATGGCGGGGTCAATTTTCAAATAACGTAAGATGCCGGGTAACAGACTGCCGGATACGGCTGCAACGACCATTGTAATGATCAACGCGACTGCAATAACCAGTCCCAGCTCGAGATCATTAAAGGCCACAGCAGCGGTGACGGCCACCAGGCTTGCCCACAACAAACCGTTCAATACAGCCACCACAAATTCTCTGTTCAGCAGCCATAAAAGGTTGCTGCGGCTCAGGTGGCCCAAGGCTTCGCCGCGAATCACCAGTGTCAGGGTTTGAGTGCCGGCAATTCCGCCCATGCTGGCCACGATAGGCATGAGTACGGCAAGGGCAACCACCTTCACGATAGTTTCCTCGAACAAGTTGATGACTGCGGCGGCGATAAAGGCGGTGATCAGATTGATGCCGAGCCAGATGGCACGGCGCCGCAGGGATTTACCAATGGGCGCAAAAGTATCTTCATCGATATCCAGGCCGGCTCTGGCCAACACAGCCTCATCGGCGTCTTCGATGATGACGTCAACCACGTCGTCAATCGTTATTCGGCCAAGCAAGCGTCCTTCTGCGTCTATGACTGGCGCTGAGATCAAGTCCTGTTCGGAGAATATTTTCGCAACTTCGGTGTCGAGGGTGTCGACGTCAATCGCCGTCGCTGCGCTGTTCATCACTTCGCGTACGGTGACTGTTGGATCTGAAGTTAACAGTTTGCCAAACGGTAACATGCCTACGTATTCGTCCCGGGAGTTCACCACGATAAGCGCGTCGGTGGCTTCGGGTAGATCTTTGCGCATGCGCAGATAACGGAACACCAACTCCAGCGCGTGTCTTGGCCGCACCGTGATAGTGTCGGTGTTCATCAGGCCGCCAGCGCTGTCTTCTGCGTAGGACAACACGGCTTCAACTCTGGCGCGGTCGATGGCGTCCAGAGATTCAAGCACCTGATCGGTGATGGTCTGCGGTAGTTGCTGCAGGATGTCTGCAAAATCATCGGTATCGAGTTCGTCCGCCACCGCCACCAGTTGGGCGGTATCCATATCAACGAGAAACTCTGCGCGCATATCTTCAGACAGATGTTGCAGTGTCTGATTGCGTACCTCTTCGTCTAACAGTTCCCATAAAACCTGGCGAACCTTAGGCGTTTTTGAGGCGAGCAGGTTACTCACTTCTGCCGGACGCAGAGAGCTCAGTAAGATTCGGGTTTCTTCGGCGCTGCCAAATTCAGTGCTGGGTGGAGGCGCACTGCTGAGTTCAACATTGGGTTCGTTGTCTGCTGGCATATCAGGGTCGACTAAGTGGGGTCATCCAACTCGTGGAATCCAGCCTGCACCAGATTACTCAAGCCATCAGTTGCAGCGTCTTCATCTTCACCTTCGACGATCAGCTCAAGCGCGCTGCCTACGGGTGCGCCCAGCAACAGCAGACTCATGATGCTTTTGCCGTCTACAGCTTTGCCTTCCTTAACCAGGGTGATTTTGCTGCCATAGCCTTTTGCAGTGTCGACAAATTTTGACGCCGCACGTGCATGTAAGCCCAGGGGATTAATGAGGGTTAACTGTGTTGTGCGCATAGCCCGGTCACACTATCAAATAGGTGTTGGAGTGTAGCGATCACCGCGCTTGAAGCAACTGACATTTCTTTGTGCTAAGGGTGCAAAAGTTACTTTTGCAGTTCGCGATGACGAATCAAAACGTTATTGATGCTCTGTTTAAAATGATTGCCAAGCCGTTCGCTTAAATACACGCTGCGATGCTGTCCGCCAGTGCAGCCTAACGCTACTGTCATGTAGACTCGGGCATTGGCTTCAAATCTGGGAATCCAGGTATCAAGGTATTGGGCGATGTCCTCGAACATCTCGGTAACCATGGGTTCCGCCTGAAGATAGTTAGCGACCGCGGGGTCCCGGCCGGTCAGAGGGCGCAGGTTCTCTACCCAGTGAGGGTTGGGCAGACAGCGCAGATCAAAAACCATGTCTGCATCTACGGGCACCCCATATTTAAACCCGAATGATCTGAACAACAAGCTGAGCTCGCGACTGCTGCGGGCAACCACCCGGCTGCTGACCAGTTCGCGCAATGCCTGGCTGGACAGCTGCGTGCTGTCGATATTGAGATCTGCAAGGTCAGCAATGCTTTCCAGGACTTCCGCTTCTGCATCAATAGCCTGGCGCAAGTCGGTGTTTGCGTTGGTTAAGGGGTGTCGGCGTCGTGTTTCACTGAAGCGTTTAACCAGCGTTGGGCTGCGTGCATCGAGGTATATAACCTCGCAATCTACATCCATACGATCAATCGAAAGCAGAATCTCAGGAAAGCGTTCGAGGTCTCGACTGCGGGCGTCGATACAAACGGCTAAAGGTATATTTTTTTGGGTTTTATCCCGCAGCGTGTTGTGTACCAGTGACTGCAGCAACATGACCGGAAAATTGTCGATGCAATTGAACCCGGCGTCTTCCAGGGCGTTGAGTACAGTGGATTTGCCGGAGCCTGAACGGCCACTGATGATGATAAGTTTCACGCTGTTTTGGTATCGGGTACCTGATTTGCGAGGCAAGTCCGCATTTGTTGTAGCAACGCAGCATCTGTTGTACAGGCACGCAGGTCGCTGCGGTTCTGCGCATTAGAAAAAACTTCAGCCAACTGAGCGAGTGCGTGCAAATGCGCATGTTGTTCGTCTTCCGGCACAACCAGTACAAACAGCAGATCGACGCCCTCACCATCGCCGGCTTCGTAATCGATCGGGTTAGCCAACGAAATAAAACCGACGCGCATGGTGTCACAATCGCTGCGGCAATGTGGAATTGCGATACCATCGCCAAGTCCGGTGCTGCCGAGTCTTTCACGTGCCATCAGGCTGTCGAACAAAGTGTCCGCCGGCACTGCTGAGTCACTGATCAACTCCGCTGCGAGCTGTAACACTCGTTTTCGACTGCTTGCGTTAACATGGCAGTGAACGTTGCTTGCGTTGATTAACGCGCTGATATCGGACATCTAATTTAAAGTTGCTCGTGGTGCGAGCTGCGGTCATGACTGCCTTTATGGTGGGCAGTGGTTTTTTCTTTGTGTTTGATTACCTGGCGATCGAGCTTGTCCACCAGCTGATCAATAGCAGCATACATGTCTTCTGAGTCCGCATTGGCAAACAACTCAGCGCCGGGAACATGGGCGGTGGCTTCCGCCTGTTGCAGGTGTTTTTCAACGTTCAGAACGACATGAACCTGAGTGATCTGGTCGTTATGTCGGTTGAGCTTCTCAAATTTCGATTCCACATAGGAGTGTAAAGATTCGGTAAGGTCGACGTGATGTCCGGTAATGCTCAGCTGCATGATGACTCCTTGTGAAAACTCAGCTTATGGTCAGCGTAAGAAAAATAAGCGAGTTTGTATATCGGTGATTGTGTCTAATGCGCCCGGTGCACAGGCTCAGACCAGTTGCTTACGCTCATTTGAGGGTGGTATCGACATCGATTCACGATATTTTGCCACTGTGCGTCTGGCAACGTTGATGTTCTGGTCTTTCAGTATTGCCGCTATTTTACTATCGCTCAATGGTTTTTTCGGGTCCTCATCGCCGGTGAGTTTCTCAATCAACGCACGGATGGCTGTGCTGGAGACTTCGCCGCCGCTGCTGGTGCCTACGTGAGAGGAAAAGAAATATTTCAGCTCGTATACGCCACGTGGCGTGGACATGTATTTGCGGCTGGTCACCCTTGAAATTGTTGACTCGTGCAGGTCAACGGCTTCCGCGATATCTGCAAGAATAAGCGGCTTCATGGCTTCCGCACCGTACTCGAGGAAGCCGCGCTGAACTTCGACAATCTTGCTGGCGACCCGCAGCAGAGTATCGTGACGGGTTTGCAGGCTTTTCAAAAACCAGCGTGCCTCCTGCAGGTTGTCACGGATATAGGTTTTGTCGTTACTGCTGGCGACCTGCTTGGCGAGATTTTCATAGACCGGATTGATACGAATTTGTGGCGTCGCCTCGCCGTTTAACTCTACCAGCCAGCGACCTTCAAATTTTCTCACGACCACATCCGGCACAATATAGTCCGCGCTCTCTTCTGCAATTGCAGTACCCGGACGTGGATTCAACGTACGGATTAAGGTCATCGCTGCTGCGAGCTCACTGTCGGCCAGTCGGGACTTTCGTTTTAACGTTGTGAAATCTTTGCTGCCCAGCAGATCGAGATATTCGGTGATCAGCAGATTGGCTTCGGTCAGCCAGGGTGTCTGCGCGGGAAGCTGGGCAAGCTGCAGCAGCAGGCACTCCTTGAGGTCTCGGGCGCCAACACCGACAGGGTCGAAATCCTGAATGCGCTCTAGAACGGCGCACACGTCATCATGTTCAATCTCGTCCTGGTCTGTTTCACGCTGGCTGTTTAACGCCTCGCAAAGATCTTGCGTAGTGGTGGTCAACATGCCATTGGCATCGATGGAATCGATTATTGCTGCGGCGATGGTTCGATCTGAGGCCGCCATCGGCGTGAGATTAAGCTGCCAGAGCAAATGGTCGGTAAGCGTCTGATCTGCGCTGCGGTTGGCCATTGGATCATAGTCGCTATCGCTTGCCGGCAGGCTGCTGCCGGTTGGATATACATCCTCCCAACTTGAGTCCACGGGCATCTCTTCGCCTATGGGTGCATCAAACTCCTGATTGACGTCGGCGACATCTCTTTCCGCCCCAACGGTGGTGTCCATCGCGTTGTCGGATGCAATCTGAGACTCATGTTCTGCCGACTCGAGGGTTGATTCCAGGGACTGGTCATTGTCGTTGGTTTCGCCGCCGTCCTGGGCGTCTTCGGACAGCTCCAGCATTGGATTTTCTTCCAACGTATTCTGGATTTCCTGCTGCAGGTCCAGCGCGGACAGCTGCAACAAGCGGATAGCCTGTTGCAGTTGTGGCGTCATGGTGAGCTGCTGACCCAGCTTCAGGGAAAGTGTCTGTTTCATCCAATCCTTCGGAATGAGTAAATTTCTTTATTCTCGTCCAGGGTTTTTGTCTTTTAGCTCAAGGCTGTTCTGTTTCAGCTCAAGGCTGTTTTATCTTCGCTCAAGGCTGTTTGAGTCTAGCCTAAGGCAAATGTTAAAAACCGTGCCAATTTAACACGGCATTAATCTAGATAGCTCTTTTTTTGATTCTTTGGTGCTGCGAAAATCGTAATTTAGGCCGTTGAGGCGGGGCTAGATGGAAAATCCTTCACCCAGATAGACATCGCGTACCGTCTGATTGGCCAGGATGCTGGCCGCATCACCGTCTGCAATGATATGTCCCTGGTGGACGATGTATGCGCGGTCGCAGATATCCAGGGTTTCTTTGACGTTGTGATCTGTGATCAGCACGCCGATACCCCGCCGCCGAAGATCACTGATTTCCTTTTTAATATCACCTACTGAGATTGGGTCTACACCGGCAAAGGGCTCATCCAGCAGCATAAAACGGGGTTCACTGGCCAGTGCTCGGGCTATCTCCAGGCGACGGCGCTCGCCGCCAGACAGGCTTTGCCCCAGGGATGTCGCAACACCCTGTAGATTAAATTCATTCAGCAGTTGCTCGAGCAGAGTATTGCGCTCAGTGCGATTCAGATCTTTGCGCAGTTCTAAAATTGCGCGAATATTGTCCGTGGTGCTGAGCGTGCGAAAAACGCTGGCTTCCTGTGGCAGGTAACCGATGCCTGCTTTGGCGCGTTCGTGAACGGGCGCACGGGTCAGGTCGGTTTCGTTCAGAAATATACCCCCACTATCGGCTTTGATGAGCCCAACCACCATATAAAAACAGGTGGTTTTGCCCGCACCATTCGGCCCCAGGAGACCCACTATTTCTCCACTGGCGACACGGATGGAAACATCTTCCACAGCGATTTTTGTGCGGTACTCTTTACGCAGACCGTCAGCACGCAGAATGGCGGAAAGGGGTATTTGGCTCAAAACTTAAGCGTCGCAGTCAGTGGAATTATTGATTAGCAGGGCGGGTGGCAGGTTGTACTGTCATTTTCACGCGCCCGGAGTTTTCTCCGGCACTCGCATCAACTTTGCCTTTAACAATGTCGTAACGTATCGATTCACCCTGTAGCTCGTTGCCCTGTTGTGCGAGCGTGGCGCTGCCATTGAGATATACGCGCTCTTGCGCGGTATGGTAGATGATACTGTCTGCGTGGGCGTTCACTTCGCCTTTGTCGTCTTCCAGCTGTTGCCGATAGCGGGCTGGGGAGCCTACAGTGGTGATTTGCTGGACCTGATCACCGCTGATTTTAACCACCATTTTGTCGCCCTGCACACGCAAGGTACCCTGCACCACTTCAACCGAGCCAATGTAGGTTATGGTTTCATTAGCCTGATCAATCTGGGCGTCATCACCTTCAATATGTATAGGCTGGTCTGCGTCTGATGCCAGACCCCAGACGACAGGTGTGATGAGCAGTCCCGCGCATAACATAACGGTCTGCCACAGCCTGTTGGCCACCGCGGGTCTAACCTGCCGATTTTTTGAATTGTTCTGGTAAAACAATGGTGTGTACTCGCTGGGTTTCATTCGACATTAGTTTCAGTAAACCTGTATCCAGATAAGCCTGCATGCCTGCTGCGCGGGTGCGGCCAACCTGGGTATCGATCATAACACCTTGGTCGGTTTCAGCGTATTGCCGGTCCGGATAGAAGTACATGGCTTCGCTGCGCATGGTGATAAATCCGCGCTCGGGGTCATTCTGTTCCAGCACCACTTCTTCACGCAGGTAAACAGCTTCTTCTTTGTTTTCTCCGCCAGTCTCTGCACCTCGAATGTAACCGTGGTTAGAGCGAATATCCCATGGTGGCTGTTGCGGGTTGTGCAGTTTCAGCGCAGGGCTGACCATGCTGGTCAGGTTGTTATCCTGGAACTGACGGATGGCGCTGGCGGTGAGTTGATATTGCAGGCTGCCATCGTCTCGCAACTGGGTGAAGGTAACGCCGTGACCGTATATATCTGGCTCACTCTCTATCAGAGTATCTGCTGGGCTTGCGCCGTCTGCGCGGTCCTGGTCGCTTTGACCAAATAACTGCCACAATAATCCCAGCACCAGAACAACGCCGAGGGTGATGCCAGTCCTGCGCCACATACTAGAAAGGCCAGGCGCCCTGTGCCTTAAGCAGTAACTCGGCAATCTCTACTGCCACGCCATTGCCACCACTGCGTTGAGTGATCCATTGCGCTTGACTGCGGGCGACGGGATGGCCGTTCGGCACGCTGATTGCGAAGGCGACACTGGGGTGGTCAAACACGCCAATATCCTGAATGTCGTCTCCCACTGCGGCATTGCCCGCACCAGGAAAGCCTTGTGCGATGAGCGTATCTACAGCCTCGGCTTTGGAGTCAGCACCCTGGACCAGATATTTAATGTCTAATTCCCTGGCGCGACGCGCAACGGTTGGCGAACGGCGTCCGGTAATAATCCCCACCGTGATGTTGTTCTGTTGCAGGAGTTTGATGCTGGCGCCGTCCTGGACATGAAATGTTTTGTATTCATGTCCATCGTCACTGTACGTGATCTGGCCGTTGGTGAGCACGCCATCAACATCAAAAATAATACCTCGTACGTTGCTGGCGAGTTGGGTTAAAGCGGGATTGAGGTCCATGCGTTAGGCCTGCTGTACCAGTAGAAGGTTGTAGCCGACCCACGCCGCAAGCATCACCATGCCTTCAAATCGAGTGATCACAGGGCGCGAATTGATGCCGTAAGCAAACAGCGCCAGCATCACGGTCAGTGCGAGCATCATGCCGCCGTCCCGCCACAACGCGCCAGGTTCGATTACTGCCCCGCTGACCAGGCCCGGGACGGCCAGCACCGCCAGAATATTAAGGATGTTTGAGCCGACGACGTTGCCTATAGCGATGTCAGGGTGACCTTTGACGGCTGAACCAATGGTCGCGGCGAGCTCCGGCAGACTCGTACCCACAGCAACGATGGTTAAACCGATGATCATGTCGCTGACGCCCAGAAGCTTGGCGATGGTGGTGGCAGAATGCACCAGCACCTGCGCAGACACCAGGAGCACCAGCAGGCCGACCACCAGCCAGGCGATGGCCTGCAGATTAGTCATGTCCGGTAGCTCGTCGAGCTCTTCGGTAATGGAGGAAGAAATTTCCTGGTTGGGATTGTTTTGATTGACAACCAGTCGCCAGAGGATGGCGGCCAGAGCCAGCAACAACATTACCCCGTCGAAGAAAGACAGTTCCCGATCGAACAGTAGCACCATCGCCAGCAGGGTGGCGCCCAGCAACCATGGTAATTCGGTTTGTCGGACCTGCTTGGAAAAAGGTAGCGGTGCAATCATGGCAGTAATGCCAAGGACCAGGCCGATATTGGCGATGTTAGAGCCGATGGCGTTGCCCACCGCAAGCAATGGATTGCCGTCAATAGCAGCGAATATGGCAACCAGGATTTCAGGTGCCGACGTGCCGACAGACACCACGGTCAAACCTATGAGCATCTTGGATACACCCATGTTGCGGGCGCAGGCAGCCGCACCAGACAGAAAACGGTCGGCGCTCCAGACGAGGGCAATGAAGCCTAGGATCAGTAGTAGAAGGGGAACCCACATAGGTTTGCGATGGTCTGATTGCAACAGTAAATGATCAAGGTACCGCACTTTAGTCGTATCGCGGCCTGGTTCCAACAACTGTTACGTATGCTGCTCTGTTTCTATCTCGCTGAATAATCAATATTTGGTCTGACCAAATTGGGTAGATTTGGTAGAAACGGTCTTAAGGGTTCGTTCAGTTGCAGTGTTATAATCTCGCGCCGCCGGGTTGGGCCTGGGAATTGAGGTACCTGGGAATTGAGGTAATTGTTTGTAGCCGCCTGTTAGCGGGTGTGGGTCATGACAGTGGAATGTGTGAAGGAATGATGGACAATCTGATTGAAATCAAAAATCTGACGTTTTTTCGTGGCGAGCGCATGATTTTCGACAACATGTCCCTGGATGTGCCCCGCGGTAAAGTGACTGCGATTATGGGACCAAGCGGCACGGGTAAAACCACATTGCTGCGCATCATTGGCGGCCAGTTGAAACCTGATGATGGGGTGGTGCTGGTCAATGGTAAAGACCTCTGTCAGATGAGCCGTGATGAACTGTTGGCGTTTCGTCGTAATCTCGGCATGTTGTTTCAGAGTTCAGCGTTGTTCACTGACTTGTCAGTTTTTGAGAACGTGGCGTTTCCCATGCGCGTTCACACGAACTTATCGGAAGAATTGATTCGTGATCTGGTGTTGATGAAACTTAACGCCGTAGGTTTGCGGGGTGCACGAGATCTTGCGCCATCAGAGTTGTCCGGTGGTATGGCCAGACGCGTCGCGCTGGCGCGAGCCATCGCTCTGGACCCGGACCTGATGATGTACGACGAACCGTTTACCGGTCAGGACCCCATAGCCATGGGTATGCTGGTCGATTTGATTCGCCAGCTAAACGTGGCGTTAGGTATTACCAGTTTGCTGGTTTCCCACGACATACACGAAACAGTCAGTATTGCCGACCAGATCTACATTATCGCGGAAGGTAAAGTTATTGGTGCGGGTTCGCCCGAAGAATTGAGGGACGGCTCGACGCCAATGGTGAAACAGTTCATGCATGGGGATAAAGAAGGTCCGGTTCCATTTCACTATCCTGCTGATGATCTTGCATTTGATCTGCTAGGTGAAGGTTAAGCTGTGACTGATCTGCTCCGTTCCTTAGGTGTGCGCTTTCTGGATTTTCTCAGTTCGTTGGGCCGTGCCAGTATTTTGTGGTTTCGCGCAATGGCGGGTCTGCCGAGGTGGGGCGACGTCGCCCTGGTAGTCAAACAGATCTACAATGTCGGCTTCATGTCGCTGATCATCATTGTGCTTTCAGCCTTTTCTATCGGCGCGGTTCTGTCTCTGCAGTTTTATACGCAACTCGCTCGCTTTGGGGCGCAGGATGCAACTGGGGTGGGCTTAGCTCTGGTGTTGCTTCGTGAGCTGGGTCCGGTGGTCACCGCACTACTTTTTGCGGGTCGCGCAGGCTCGGCCTTAACCGCAGAAATCGGTTTGATGAAAACCACTGAACAGCTGTCCATTATGGAGATGATGGGCGTTGATCCGCTGCGACGCATCGTTGCGCCTCGGATATGGGCGGGATTATTAAGTTTGCCGCTGCTGACCGCCATTTTCAGTATGGTTGCCGTTTATGGTGGGGTTGTGGTTGCAGTTAACTGGTTAGGCGCCGACCCAGGAGGCTTCTGGTCTGGCATGCAGGACGGCGTTGAGCTCTGGGAGGACCTTGGAAAAGGTATGGTAAAAAGTCTGGTTTTTGCTTTGCTGGTGACCTGGGTAGCAGTGTTTCAGGGTTATGATGCGCCGCCCACGGCGGAAGGCATGTCCATGGCCACCACGCAAACGGTTGTGATTTCGTCGGTACTGGTACTGGCGACGGATTTTCTTTTAACCCTGGTATTTTACGGAGACTTCTAATGCGCATGAGAACCATTGAAATCAGTGTTGGTGGCTTTGTGCTTGCTGGGGTGATCGGGCTCGTGTTTTTAGCCGTTCAAGTTAGTGGTGTTGGAGAGTTGGGTGAGCGAGACAGCTATATGATTCAGGCCCGATTTGATGACGTAGCCGGGCTGCGTCAAAGGGCAAGGGTCAGTATGGCGGGTGTGACCGTGGGTCGGGTGAAAGAAATTGATGTGGATATGCAGTGGGGTGATGCCATTGTCACCCTGGAAATCATGGGTGAGCCGGGCAACCTCACCATCGACACCGGCGCAAAAATTCTGACCGATGGTGTTGTCGGAGCGCGCTATATAGGTTTGCTGCCAGGTTCGGACGAAGAAACACTGGGTCCGGGGGATGAAATCACAGAAACCCAGGGTGCACTTGTGCTGGAGAATCTGATCGGTGAATTTTTGACTAATATTGGAAAGTAATCATGATTAAACAGATCGCGCTTGTAGTTTTGTTGTTGGGTTTGTCGGTTTCAATCCCAGCGCAACAGGTAGAAACAGAAGCTATGTCGACACAGGCAGATGCCGGCTTGCTGGCCATTACCCAAGCGCTTGCCTCAGAAACTGCGGAGCAGGCAGTGGAGCTTGCAACGGTTGAGGTATTGGCTTTTGTTGAACGAGGGCGGGACTACGCGGAAGAGGATGCCGAACGGTTCTATAAAGAAGGCGAAGCATTATTGCGCCCGATGATCGATTTCAAACGATTTTCCCGCAACGTGATGGGCCCTTATGCGCGCAAAGCCACCGCGGAACAATTGGAAACGTTTTCCGAATCGTTTAAGTGGAGTCTGGTCCGCACATATGCGCTGGCCATGCTTGAATTTGGCGACGGTGAGGCCACAGTCCTGCCGCCGCGTAAACCCAGCAGTAATCCTGACCTTGCCAACGTAACCCAGGAAATTAACTATGAAGGTAAAACCTATGTGGTTGTCTACCGCATGCGCAGAGGTAAAGAGGATCGTCTCTGGAGCGTCCAGAATCTGGTTGTGGAAGGGGTGAACATCGGCCTGAACTACAAATCACAATTCACTTCGGCCATGAAGGATCCAAAGTTCAATGGTGATCTGGATGCGGTTATTGCGTCCTGGAGTGAATTTGTTGAGGCTGAGCAGCCTGCTGAAAGTGCAGCGGAATAGCTGAAACGGTGCGTAAAGATGGCAGTTAATTTGTCCCCGGAATTTCAGTTGTCAGGTGATGAGGTTGACCTGAACGATGCTGAACGTCTGAAACTACTGGGGCTGGATATCATCAACAGCCAGGACGGTCCGTTCAACGTAGAATTCAGCGGCCTGGAACAGGCAAACAGCATTCTTGTTGCGCTTATGATTTGCTGGCATCGGCATGCTACGCTTGCGGGCAAGCAGATTGAATTTTCTAGCCTTTCCAAAGACTTGCAAAACATCATCGCTTTTTCCGGTTTAAACCGGGTGTTAAAAACCAGTTAAGAATTATCACCATGCAAGAAGAAATCAGAGCGCTGCTCGCTGGCGCCTTCAGCGACGCCGAAATCGACCTGAACCTGGACGGCAATCGTGCCCTGATTGAAATTGTCAGCAGCCACTTTGATGGCATGAGTCGAGTGCAGCGACAGCAGGCGGTTTATGCGGTAATTGCCGACTATATAGCCGATGGGCGTCTGCACGCAGTCACCATCAAAGCGCAAAGCCTGAAGCCCTAAAAAACTACGGATCCAAAATGGATAAACTCAGCATAACTGGTGGGCGCACGCTGCACGGACGTCTTCGTGTGTCAGGTGCTAAAAACTCCACTCTGCCCATTCTGGCCGGCACCCTCCTGACTGATGAGCCCGTGCTGGTTCGTAATGCGCCTCACCTCCACGATGTAACAACCATGATCGAGCTGCTCGGCACGCTGGGTGCGCAGGTTGTGATTGATGAGAAGTTGAATGTGGAGGTCTGTGCCAACAACCTAACTCAGCTTTGTGCGCCTTACGAGCTGGTCAAGACGATGCGTGCATCTTTCCTTGTGCTGGGCCCTCTGCTGGCAAAACATGGCCGGGCACAGGTTTCGCTGCCTGGTGGCTGTGCGATTGGTTCGCGGCCGGTAGACCAACACTTGAAAGGCCTTGAGGTATTGGGTGCTAAGGTTTCGGTATCAGATGGCTATGTCTATGCCGATGCACCGGACGGTCTAGTCGGCGCTGACGTCTATATGGACCTGGTCACTGTCGGCGGTACCGAGAACCTCATGATGGCGGCCTGCCTTGCCAGCGGAACAACGCGGCTGCAAAACGCAGCCCGAGAACCGGAAATAGTGGATCTTGGCAACTTTCTCAACACGCTGGGCGCTCGAGTTAAGGGTCATGGTACATCAACGATTGAGATACAGGGCGTTGCTAAATTACACGGTGGCGAACACCGGGTGATGGCTGATCGAGTAGAGGCTGGAACCTATCTTATTGCGGCGGCTGCAACTCGTGGCTCGATAAAACTTGTTGATGTAGAGCCTGATACCCTCGGTGCGGTGCTGGAAAAACTGCAGCAGGCAGGTGCGAGCCTGACAATTGGCGATAATTGGATTGAGCTGGATATGCAGGGTAAACGCCCGCTTGCGGTAGACATCGAGACCACGCCTTATCCTGGTTTTCCAACGGACATGCAGGCACAGTTCATGGCGCTGAATGCTGTTGCGCAAGGGACGTCAGCGATTCGAGAAAATATATTTGAAAATCGCTTCATGCACGTGCAGGAAATGAATCGGCTTGGCGCTGACATTGAACTGCACGGCCACTCGATGGCTGTGGTTCATGGCACCGATAAGTTGCGCGCCGCGCCGGTCATGGCGACGGATTTGCGGGCGTCTTCCAGTTTAGTGATTGCCGCTCTTGTGGCCGAAGGCACAACGATCATCGATCGGATTTATCACATCGATCGTGGCTACGAAACCATTGAAGAAAAACTACAGCAACTCGGCGGTAGTGTTCAGCGGGTCAGCTAAAAGCGCTACAAGCTGGTAGGATGCTCGCGCAAAATTTGAGGCCGTTATGGGATTAATCATTGCGCTTAATAAAGGGCGTATTTTTAAAGAATGCCTGCCACTGCTGGCGGCATGTGATATTGCGCCGGATGAAGATCCGGATGCATCACGCAAGCTCATCTTCGAAACACGCACTGGTGGGCACCAGATTATTGTCGCGCGCAGTGCAGACGTACCTACCTATGTGGAATATGGTGTTGCGGACATCGGTATCACTGGTAAAGACACTATCCTGGAATACGGTGGTGCTATGGGTTTCTATGAGATGCTTGACCTTGGCATCGGTAAATGTCGCATGATGACCGCCGGCCCAGTCGGTGTACCGGAACCTTCAGGGGTGCTCCGGGTTGCTACAAAATTCATTAACATCACCAAAGATTATTACCGCCAGCAAGGTCGGCAGGTATCGCTGATCAAATTGTCCGGGGCGATGGAAATCGCGCCGTTACTGAACCTGTCAGACACCATTGTGGACATTGTTGATACTGGAAATACGCTGGTTGCCAACGGTCTCGAAGCGCGTGCAACTATTTGTGATATCAGTACCCGCCTGATTGTTAATCGCGCCTCGATGAAAACCAAGTTTGATGAGGTGAACGCGTTGATTGGCCAGCTCGAAACCGTTGTTAATCCATGAACATTGCACGCCTGGATACAGCAGACACAGAGTTTTCGGGACAGCTGGATCTTTTACTGCAGTGGGATCTGAGCACTGAAGATGGCGTTGAACAGACTGTGAAAGACATTCTGCAGGCTATCCGTACGCAGGGTGATCAGGCGCTGTTGGCGCTGAGCAATAAATTCGATCAGCTGGCGTTTTTGAATGCCGAGCAACTTCGGGTGAGCCATGATGAGTTGCAGGCTGCCAAAGCGAGGGTGGCACCTGCGGATCTGCGCGCCCTGCAACAAGCTGCACAACGCATTGCCAGTTATCATCAACATCAGATCGAACAATCCTGGTCCTATGTTGATGATCTCGGCAATCGGCTTGGGCAGAAAATCACCCCCCTGGAACGGGTTGGTGTATATGTCCCGGGTGGTAAGGCAAGTTATCCATCGAGTGTTCTGATGACGCTGATCCCCGCAAAAGTTGCCGGTGTTGGCGAATTGATTGTTACGGTGCCGACGCCTCAGGGTGAGCGCAATGACCTGGTGCTGGCGGCGCTTGCTGAAGCGGGCGCCGATCAGGTGTTTACCGTAGGAGGGGCTCAGGCGATTGGTGCGCTTGCCTATGGTACCGATATGGTGCCAAAGGTAGACAAGATTGTTGGGCCGGGAAACGCGTATGTAGCGGAGGCTAAACGGCAGGTGTTTGGGCATGTCGGTATTGATGTGATTGCCGGGCCAAGCGAAGTGCTGGTCATCGCTGACGGGTCGACCGACCCACAATGGGCGGCATTGGATCTATTTTCCCAGGCTGAACACGATGCCGCTGCTCAGAGTATTCTGCTGTCGCCAGACAGTGAGTACATCGATGCAGTTGCTGCGGCTATGATGCAACTGCTACCAAAAATGCAGCGACGCGAAATAATTGCTGCCAGCTTGCAGCAGCGTGGCGCGCTGATAAAAACGGCAGATATGGATGAAGCCATTAAGTTGGCCAACCGGATTGCCCCGGAACACCTCGAGCTTCTGGTGGCTGATCCTGAACCCATGGTTGACCGCCTGACCCATGCCGGTGCCATTTTCTGTGGCGCGTATACTGCAGAAACCTTTGGAGATTATGTCGCAGGACCTTCCCATGTGTTGCCGACGTTTGGCACCGCGCGTTTTGCATCCCCGCTGGGTGTGTATGATTTTGTTAAACGCAGTTCGGTCATCCATATGTCTGCTGAGGGTGCGGCTCAGCTTGCTGATATAGCGGTGCCACTGGCTACCGGTGAAGGCTTGCAGGCGCATGCTATGGCGGCGGCTGCACGAGCGGGTAACAGCTGGTCAGACGACAGCGCTGCCAGTTAAATCGAGTCGGGTAGTTCACCTGCGATTGCGGTAGCACGGAACCGTTGTTGTTCACGCATGACTTCAATATTCAACTCGCTGCCGGGTTTCGCATTGGCGATGACATCCGTCACTGTGTACAGGTTGGTTGCCGGAATCTGGTTGATGGACAGCACATGGTCACCGGGTCGCACTCCAGCAGTAAACGCGGGGCCACCCGGATTAACGCCAATAACCAGTAAACCCGTCGGCCCGCCAGGCATGGGTTGGGGGCGTAAATTCACACCCAGCCAGCCACGGATTACACGCCCGGATTCTACAATCTGCTCCATGACTGACAGCGCAATATTGGCCGGGATCGCAAAGCCGATTCCTTCAGAGCCGCCTGACTGGGAATAGATCATCGTGTTAATGCCCAGCAGTCGTCCTTCGTGGTCGACCAGTGCGCCGCCGGAGTTACCCGGGCTGATCGCAGCATCCGTTTGAATGAAATCATCGTAGGGGCTGTTGGTGATCAGAGTGCGGGAAAAGGCGCTGATGATACCTTGCGAGACGCTGTGTCCGAGGCCGAAAGGGTTACCGATGGCCAGGGCAACGTCGCCGACCCGGGGCTGGTCGTCACCCAGTTCTGCGATGACCGGCAAGCCGCTTGCAGCCACTTTGATCACCGCCAGATCCGTATGGCTGTCGGTGCCTATGACCTGGGCGGTGGTTGTCTGGTTATTTGCAAACATGACGATAATTTCATCGGCACCCTCCACCACATGTTGATTGGTGAGAACGTAGCCGTCTGCTCGAACGATGACGCCAGAGCCCAGTGAATTCTGCAGTTGCTGCTGTCCGGGAAAGGCCTCACACAGGGCTCGATAAGCTGGAATTCGACATAGGGGGCTGCGCTGCGTAATTTTGGTTGAAAAAATGTTCACAACGGCAGGCGCTGCCCGGGAGACGGCATTGGCATAGCCGGGGCGGTCGTTGTCAGCGGTGCTGTTCAGGACAATGATGGCCAGACCTACGAGCGCGCCAATGACGGCGGGTACAAAAATGAATCTCGTTAACTGGGTCATGGCTCCTCTATCTATTGTCTTACTTAAATGCCGATACCGCGCGACCTGTATTGCGTCTGCTGGTGCCTGTCGTTAACCTGCGCCGCGCGCTGTCAAAGCGGTTTAACGTTGAGTTGAGGTATGGACACATATTCGCCGCTATCAAAATATGAAAAAGCTATAGCGAACGGGGAGTTTCAAGAAGACGCCGCCCAAGCGCAAGTTGTGCGGCTGCTTGATGAACTTTTTCATCGCCTGATGGCTAATCCACCATCGAGCCGCGCTGGTTGGTTATCCCGTTGGCGCAAGAAAACTGTCGATCCCCAGCAGGGTTTGTATGTGTGGGGTGGGGTTGGACGGGGTAAAACCATGCTGATGGATCTGTTTTACGACTGTCTGCCTCCGCAGCGGCGTATGCGGATGCACTTCCATCGATTTATGCGGCGGGTTCACCAGGGTTTGGCTCAATGGACGGGAACCTCAGATCCGTTACGTAAGGTTGCGGCGGATATCGCTGCGGAAGGCGACGTTCTCTGTTTCGATGAGTTTTTTGTTTCAGATATTGGCGACGCCATGATCCTCGCTGAGGTTCTGGATGCATTACTCGAACACGGCGTAACGCTTGTAGCGACGTCTAATGTGGAACCCAGCCATCTGTATGAGAATGGCCTGCAGCGTAGACGCTTTCTGCCTGCCATTGATCTGCTCTATGCGCATACCCGGGTGGAACATATGCCCGATGGCATAGACTTCCGCCTGCGCGCGCTGGAGCAGGCGGAAATTTATCACTTTCCGCTCGATACAGCTGCAGAGCGCGGGTTGGCTCAAAGCTTCGCAGCGCTGGCGCCGGATACCGTGGAGCCGGATGTGGATCTGCAGATTGAAGGCAGGGTGTTGCGAGCGCGTTTTGTGGCTGATGATGTCGTCTGGTTTGACTTCCCAGACCTGTGCGAAGGTCCGCGCAGCCAGAATGACTACATTGAGCTGGCGATGGTTTATCACGCTGTACTGCTCAGCAACGTACCCCAGCTTGCGGGCCACCAGGAAAGTGCGGCGCGAAGGTTCATCAGCCTGGTGGATGAGTTTTATGACCACGGTGTGAAGCTGATTATCAGCGCTGCGGTGCCTATTACAGAGTTGTACCAGGGTGAGCGGCTACGCTTCGAATTTGAGCGGACACAGAGTCGCCTGTTGGAAATGCAGTCCCATGACTACCTTGCGGGTTCGCATCGGGCTGGCGTCGCATCAGCGGGTTAGCTAAAAGGCAGTTGTAAACCCACAGTGGCTCCTCTATGATTCGCGTCCCAAAATTAGGGCCCCTGCACGCGCAGTGTTGTTTTGACACGCCAGCCAGACGCAGGCGAAATGAACAGAAGCAGGCGAAATTAAGCTGCTCGGTAGCGCGAAGAAAGCGGACAGTTAAAAGAGGCTAGAAATGACAACGGTAAGCATGCGTGAGCAGGATGTGCAGCGCTCATGGTGGGTAATTGACGCAGAAAACAAGACCTTAGGGCGACTGGCAACAGAAGTTGCGCGTCGTTTGCGAGGCAAGCACAAGCCTGAATACACGCCCCATGTGGACACTGGCGATTTCATCATCGTCATCAATGCAGCGAAAGTGCATGTCACAGGGAATAAAGAGCAGGATAAAGTATATTGGCGTCACAGCGGTTACCCTGGTGGTATTCGCGGCACAACTGTCGCTGATATGCGCGCAACTCACCCGGAGCGGATCATTGAGAAAGCGGTAAAAGGCATGTTGCCCCGCAATCCTCTGGGCCGTGCGATGTACAGAAAATTGAAAGTATATGCTGGCGCTGAGCACCCCCATGCAGCTCAACAGCCCGCAGTTCTAGAGCTTAATTAGTTGGAGCGCAGATGATGGCTAACACAAACTACGGTACAGGTCGTCGCAAGACTGCGGCTGCACGCGTTTTCATCGGTTCCGGCACCGGCAACATTACAGTCAATGCCAAATCGCTGGATGAGTTTTTTGGCCGCGAAACTTCGCGCATGGTGGTTCGCCAGCCGCTTGAAGTGGCATCGCTGACAGACAAGCTTGATCTGAAAATCACCGTAAGCGGTGGTGGTAGTTCCGGCCAGGCTGGTGCGATCCGCCACGGTATTGCCCGTGCGCTGGTTGATTACGATGAAACTCTGCGTGCACCGATGCGAGCAGCTGGCTTTCTGACCCGTGACGCAAGAGAAGTTGAGCGGAAGAAAGTTGGTCTGCGCAAAGCGCGTAAACGTCCTCAGTTCTCGAAACGCTAAATCGCTGGTATAGCGCCTTTTCAAGGCGCTTTTTCCGAAATTTGACGCAGAGAAAACACGCGTATCATTGAGGCGTGTGATACACTAACGAGGTTTGCAACCGGTTGTGATATCCACATCTGCCCTCGGCCTAGATGAGTAAAAACACCGGATCCAAAGACCTTTATCGTTAATACTTTTTTGGAGCACAAGCCTTGAGCAGTGACGATGTCAGTCATGATAGCTCTGCCGAGTCGGCAGGGTCAGATGAGCAAAGCAAGGTCAATTCAAGTCGGCGCTATTTCCTGATAGGAGCCACCTCAGCCGTAGCCGGTGTAGGTGTTGTTGGAGCTGCAGTCCCTTTCCTGAGTTATTGGAGCCCGAGCGCCAAAGCGCGGGCAATGGGTGCGCCGGTAAAAATTGATTTCAGTAAGTTGAAGCCTGGTGAGCTGATGAGCCCGATTGTGGCCTGGCGTGGCAAGCCGATTTTTATCGTGTATCGAACGCCGGAGTCTATTTCCGCGTTAGAAAATCAGGGTCAGGATCTTGCCGATCCGGAATCTGAAAATCCTGAGCAGCAGCCGGATTTTGCAAAAAACCCAACACGCTCCATGCGCCCTGAGATTGGTATTTACGTCGGTATCTGTACTCACCTGGGTTGTTCTCCAAAGTATGTGGAGTCGGAAGTGTTTGCCGAAAATGACAGCCAGGGTGGGTTTTTCTGCCCTTGTCATGGTTCGACCTTTGATCTGGCGGGGCGCGTCGCGACCGGTGTGCCGGCACCTGATAATCTGCCGGTACCGCCCTACCGATTTGAGTCCGATACCAGCGTTGTGATTGGCGAAGAAGGTGCTGCGTAATGGCTGAATCAAAAAATCAAAATAACTGGTTCACCAGTTCTATGGAATGGATCGATGCTCGCTTCCCGGCGACGGAAACGTTCGAGTACCACATGTCGCGTTACTACGCGCCGAAAAACTTCAATGTTTTTTATATTTTCGGTGTGCTGTCGATTGTCATGCTGGCCAATCAGATTGTCACCGGTATCTGGCTGACCATGAATTATGTGCCTTCCGGCACCGGGGCTTTTGCTTCGGTGGAGTACATCATGCGTGATGTTGAGTACGGTTGGTTAATGCGGTATCTGCATTCAACCGGTGCGTCGTTCTTCTTTATTGTTGTTTATCTGCATATGTATCGGGCCCTGATGTATGGCTCCTATCGCGGGCCGCGGGAATTACTGTGGCTGATCGGAATGGCGATATTCATTGCGCTGATGGCTGAAGGTTTCTTCGGCTATCTGCTGCCCTGGGGCAACATGTCTTACTGGGGAGCGCAGGTGATAGTCTCTCTGGTCGGTGCTATACCCTACGTCGGCCCCGATCTGATGGAGTGGGTGCGCGGTGACTTCCTGATGTCAGAAGCTACCCTGAACCGCTTCTTTGCATTACACGTTATTGCGTTGCCGCTGGTGCTGGTGATTCTGGTATTTGTACATCTGGTTGCCTTGCACCACGTGGGTTCAAATAATCCTGACGGAATTGAAATCAAGAAAAAGAAGGATGAGAAAGGCATTCCACTGGATGGTATTGCATTCCACCCTTATTACACCGTGCATGATATTCACGCCATCGTGATTTTCTTCATCTTCTTCCTGGGTTTTGTCTTTTTTGCACCAGAAGGGTGGGGTTATTTCCTCGAGAAGCCCAACTTTGAGATGGCTGATCCACTGAAAACGCCGGCACACATCGCACCTGTCTGGTATTACACGCCATTTTACTCAATGCTTCGAGCGGCAACTTATCCGTTATTCGGCTTGCCGGCTAAGTTCTGGGGTTTTGTGGTCATGGCGGGCGCAATTATTATTCCAGCGGTCCTGCCTTGGCTGGATCGCAGTCCGGTTAAATCTATCCGTTACAAAGGGCTCTGGTCGAAATTCATGCTGGGACTCCTGGTTGTCAGTTTCTTTGTGCTGGGGTACCTCGGCACAAAAGGTCCAACCGAAGGCCGTACGATTGCCGCTCAGGTCTTCACCATTACGTACTTCCTGTACTTCATGTTGATGCCCTGGTACACGAGGGCTGAAAAGACCAAGCCGGAACCGGATAGGGTGACGCTCTGATGAGAAAATTATTTTTGGCATTGCTCCTGTGTCTGCCGAGTGCTGTATGGAGTGCAACCGAGATTAATTGGGACATGCAGCCCTTCGATCCGGACCTGGAAAATAAGCCGTCGCTGCAGAATGGCATGCGCCTGTATATGAATTACTGTATCGGCTGTCATAGCCTGAAGTTCCAACGCTACCAGAGAACCGTTGATTTTCTTGGTATCCCGCATGAACTGGCGCTGGAAAAACTGGTTTTTACCGATCAGAAGATTGGCGAATTGATGACCACAGCGATGGATCCAGAAAAGGCCAAAGCCTGGTTCGGTGCGGCACCACCTGATCTGACGATGGTTGCTAAGGTTCGCGGTCCTGAATGGTTGTTCAACTATCTGGGTACCTTCTATCAGGACGACAGTCGCCCAATGGGTGCAAACAACAAGGTGTTTCCAAATGTGGGTATGCCCAATGTGCTTGCAGATCTTCAGGGTGTCGTCACCGAGGGCTGCGTACAGGTTCCCAAGATTGCTGCAAACGGCGGTGAAATGAGAGATCCGCTGGTACCAGGTAAAGCCATTACTGAAGAAAAGTGTGGCGAACTTGTGCACGAAGCAGGCAGTGGTCTCTATACGCCTGAAGAATTTGATGCGGCCATTTATGACTTGAGTAACTTTCTCTACTACGTGGGTGAACCTACCCGATTGGAAAGACATCGGCTGGGCATTTTTGTGATGCTCTTTCTGGTGATCCTGGGCTGCTTTACCTACTTGCTCAATCGTGAATATTGGAAAGACATACACTGATCATCTCTATAGGTGATGCGAACAGAGCATCACCAGTCTATGGGCGCCAGCTTGATTTGCTGGCGCTTCCTTATGTATAAAACCCGCCGAGGCGAAAATCCCTAATGAGCATTGTTACCAAACGATCGTCTATGACTCTTTTTTCTGATGCCCGTGACCAATACTCGCATCGCGTACGCATGGTGCTGGCCGAAAAAGGTGTGACCTGCGATATCGTTGATATCGATCCAGGTAAGAAACCTGAAGATCTGGCGGAGATTAACCCTTATAACAGTCTGCCGACCCTTCTAGACAGAGATCTGGTTTTGTATGAAGCAAACGTGATCATGGAATATCTGGATGAGCGCTTTCCTCACCCGCCGTTATTGCCGGTTTATCCTGTGCAGCGTGCTTTGTCACGATTGTGGATCACCCGAGTTGAGAAAGAGTGGAGTGCAAAATTAGATTTGCTGATGGCAGGCAAAGGTCGTGAAACGCTGTTATCAAAAGCGCGCAAGGAACTGCGCGAGAGCATCATTGCTATAGCACCCATTTTCGGTGAAAAACCCTATTTCATGAATGAAGAATTCTCGCTGGTCGATTGTTGTGTTGCGCCGATTCTGTGGCGTCTGAAAGAAGTGGACATCACCCTGCCTGAAAAATCCACGCGTCCGTTGCATAAATATATGCAAACGATGTTTGAAAGGGATGCGTTTCGGGCAAGCTTGACCGAAACCGAAATTGAGATGCAGGAGTGAAACCCCAGCGCCCTTATTTATTGCGGGCGCTGTACGAGTGGATCATCGACAGTGATGAGACGCCTTATCTGCTGGTGGACGCGACGGTTACCGGCGTCAGCGTGCCGGAAGCCCATGTTCAGGACGGCCAGATTGTTCTTAACATGAGCCCGAACGCAGTGCGCGATCTGGTTATGGATGATCAGTTTGTGATGTGTGGTGGTCGCTTCAACGGGCAGCACTTTGAGCTCTACCTGCCGATGAATTCGATCCGGGCGATTTATGCAAAAGATACCCGCGAAGGGATGGTCTTCCCGGAAGAGGAAGCGTTGATGCCGGATGCGCCAGAGGCAACGGACAAACAGAAAGGCCCTGACCCTGATGCCTCGCCGGACAACAAGCCCGGCTTAAGGCTAGTCTAAGTATTCGAATACTTTCACGATTTTCTGAACCCCGTAGACGTTTGCTGTCACGTTAACCACAGCGTCGGCATGCCTTCTATTCAGAAGCCCCATTAAGTACACCACACCGTTTTCTGTAACAACTTTAACCTTCAAACCTTTTGCTTCAGAAGATCCAACCAGGCGAGACTTCACCTTGGCTGTGAGCCACGTATCGTTGGTTCGCGCAACAAGTGATATGGGGCCGCCGATACTCAATTCGTTGTGGACTTTACGGACACGGTTGACCTCTTGAGCAACTGTCGCGGCCTGTTCCTTGAGCTCAGCTGTTGCCACCTGTCCGGCCAGCAGAACCAGCCCGTTGTAAGAGACCACAACAATATGTGAGCCCTTGAAATCAGGGTTGGACTTGAAGATTTCATTTTTAATGAGCGGCTCTAAGACCGCATCGTCGATAAATGTGCCCGTTGTTCTCTTACTGGGGTCATTTACACAACCCATTAGGGTGAAGAGGGAAACCAGCAGCAGGGTTATTTGAACAGTTTTAGCCATATCAACGTGTTTTAGTTGGAAAGGGTTAGTGTGGCGGTGTGACCGGTCCTGCGTCAATGCGTGGTCTTGTTCTTATTAGCGAAATTGCTATGCCTGAAAGGCCTGCTTGATCCAACGCAGGTCCGGTTCCGCAGGTTTGCCGCTCAGCGCGATGACGTCAAACCTTGCAGGCAGCTTGCGTAATTTCGGGTGAGTTTTCAGAAAGTGGTGGGCTGTACGGATGAGCTTTTTCTGCTTGACTGCATCGACGCTTGCTGCAGCTCCCCCAAATTGTTGGGTGTTGCGGTACCGCACCTCAAAAAACACAAGGGTCTCAGCCAGCGCGGATTGATCGGTCATGATCAGGTCAACCTCACCAAGTTTGCAGCTGTAGTTGCGTTCAATCAGGGTGAGCCCTGCTCCGAGCAGGTGGTCCAAGGCCGTCTGCTCGCCGAGTGGTCCTTTGTCCTTGCGTTGCACTGTGGGTTATTCAGCGCGTGTCCTGTCTCCGCTGGCGCTGATTTTGTTCAGCGCCAGGTCCCGGCGGAATCTGCCGCCGGGCTCTAACCATAAATTGCCGCTGGCACCAGGCAGTGCGATCTGACTTTGCAGGTTGAGTAGGGGCAACCAGGTCGCAACTCTGAATGCATCAAAGCCCAGTGCGTAGAGCTCTGCCAGCGGATTGTTCTGCAGAGCGTAAGCTTCTATCAGATGACCCTGGGCAACATTGGGAGTGGCAAACAGTGGCATTTCGGTCAGCTCAAAACCATCCAGGACGCTGAATTTATCACCCCTTGCAGTTTGCGAGGTGGCAAATACAGGTAGGTCGTCGGCGAAGTGAAACCGCAGTGCGGGCACCAATGCCTGGGCTTCCACCTGGCTGGTAAAGGCAACAATGGCGTCCAGATCGCCTCTGGCGCGGGGTAGAAATTCAAGCTGCTTGCCGAGAATATTGGCAATGTTGGTGCGGCGGGACTCGCTGGCTGCAACCTGCATGGCTTCGCCCACCGCGCTGGTGAGGTTCTGGATGTCGGTGAAAGATGCCTGGCTCATCTCATGTGGCCAGCTGTCAATGTAGGCGTTGAGCGCGCGACGCGCCCATCGTTCATTACTGTGGATAACCAGGGTGTTTTCGTAGCCGGCCAGCAGAATGTGATTTACCAGAGTTTCTGCTTCGTCTTCAATGGCGATGCCCAGCTGAAATAGTGGCGAACTTGTATTCGATGGCCGCATAGGGGTGCCGGGTGGCGTCAGGTAATTCAGCACAAGCCGTGGAATTTGGGATGTCGCTGTGGCGTTGGCAAATTCTGCTACTTCTTCACGTAGCAGCGGTCCAACCAATACTTCCGCCCCGTCTGACAGGGCATCTTCATACAACTGTGCGGCAGGCTTTGCGCCGGTGTCGTAAAAACGAATGGTGGGTTTGCTGCTGCCTTTTTCTCCCAGATAAGCGGCAATCAGTCCGTCCCTCACCGCTTGTCCTGCACTGCCGAACTGCCCGGAAAGGGGCAGCAGAAATGCGATCTTCGGGAGTCGATAGTTGCTCAGTTGTGCCAGCGCGCTGGGTGGTTGCAGATTAGCCGGGTGGCTTGGATAGCGTTCCTGCCAACTTTGCCAGGCCTGCATTTGTCCGGTGATTGAGCCGGCGTCACGAATGCTTTGTTGCAGTAACCACCAACCATGATGATAGCGATGAGTAAAGGCGCCTGGCGCGCTCTGAGCGCGACTCAGCATCTGCCAGATCCTATCGTGAATGTCAGCAGGTAGTTCCGGGGCGCCCAGGCCCAGAGCAATTGATGCCTGAATATAACCATCAGCTGCGCAGCGGAAACTGCTCAGGTTTTCGCAGATTTCCGCAAGAATCAGTTGATCTTCGGGCTGCCAGTTGGACAGGCCCCCCAGGGCGGATTCTGCAGCCTGCAAGTCTCCCAGCTTGAGCCAGGCCTCTGCCCGTAAGCGCCGCACCTGATCGGCGTCTTCGGCATCAAGCAGGCCCAGGTTCACAGGCGTGAGCGCATCAATGACACGACTGTGAGTTTTCTGATAGGCAAAAGCTTCAGCAGCCTGGATGCGATATATAGCCGCCTGTGCAGGATTTTTGCTGCCTATCGCCCGGGCCAGCAGGCTTGAACCGTTACGGTCGGCTAAATTTCCCGTCGACTGTGTCGGGTTTGTGGTGCTTTGACACCCAGAGATTGTCAGAATGAGGGCGAAAACGGCGATTAAACGGATATACATGACTGCGCTACCTGAAGCTGGCGTCCTTTACGTTGTGGCTACACCCATTGGACATCTTGGAGATCTCACCCGTCGAGCAGAAAAAGTGCTCAAATCTGTGCAGATTGTGGCTGCAGAGGATACCAGACGTACGCGCGGGCTGTTAGATCACATCGACCATCATGTGCCGGAGCTGGTGAGCCTGCACGAGCATAATGAAGAGCAGATGCTGCCCAAACTGATCTCGCGTCTGCAGGACGGAGCGGACATAGCCATGGTGTCTGATGCAGGTACACCGCTGGTCAACGATCCCGGCTTTCTGCTGGTTGGTGCCGCTCATGCGGCAGGCATAAAAATTGTGCCTGTGCCTGGCGCCTGTTCAATCACCACTGCTTTGTCCGTGTGTCCGTTACCTTGTCAGCCATTCCTTTATGTGGGGTTTTTACCCGCGAAATCCAGCAATCGTCAGCGCGCATTACAGGGTTTCCTGGCTCAATCCCACGCGCTGGTGTTTCTCGAAGCTCCGCATCGCATTCTTGCCTCCTTGCGGGATATTGCGCTGGTGTGCAATCGTCGAGTGATGGTTGGCCGCGAGCTGACAAAACAGTATGAAACGATACTGGTGGGTAAACCTGATGAAATTATTCAGGCCTTAGGCGAGCATCCAAAAGGCGAATTTACCTGTGTTATTGAATCCGTTGCGGACGTTGAGCAGAATTATGATCACGTGAAAGTGTTGACTGCTTTGTTAGGCGAGTTGCCTGCAGCTAAGGCGGCGAAGGTTGCGGCAGGTATCTGCGGCGTGCGCAAAAGTGAGATGTACGATCTGGCGCTGACGCTGGCAGCAAAAACGTCTGTTGAGAGAAGCTGAATGTACTGTCTGGCTCATCGGTCGGCAATTGCTTGTGCAGCGCAGTGGGAAGCATTAAGGTGCGCGGGAGAGTTGGCCGAACAGTCGCCGATCGGGGGTTAAAGCCTGATGGGAGGAAAGTCCGGGCTCCATAGGACGAGGTGCCAGGTAACGCCTGGGGGGCGTAAGCCTACGGATAGTGCAGCAGAGAGTAGACCGCCTCATCTGGCAACAACTGTTGCCCGAAGAGGTAAGGGTGAAAGGGTGCGGTAAGAGCGCACCGCGCGGGTGGTAACACTTCGTGGCAAGGTAAACCCCACCTGGAGCAAGGCCAAATAGGAATCCGTTGATGTGGTCCGCATTGGATTCGGGTAGGCCGCTGGAGGCTGCTGGCGACGGTAGCCCTAGATGAATGACTGTTGATAACAGAACCCGGCTTATAGGCCGACTCTCAGTTATTAAAAGCTGAATTTTTATTCTCAAAAACTCAGTAACTTAATGTAGATTCGAGATAGCCGCGCTAGGTGTCAGTACTAGCTCTAAAAGCTGCCTATCCATGGGTCTTATTTCCCAAAAATCCTTTATTTTTCCTACAGTTACGCTAAATCCACGGCTTGACTCTCTTTTCTGCGCGCCTATAGTGTCGCTAGTTGGGAAAAAGTGGAGAAAAGTGGGTTTCACCCTCTTAAAATTTCAGTGTTTCGCGGTATCAACAATGCAACGCTCGATAACAAGGGCCGGATGGCGCTTCCGTCAAGGAATCGCGAAACCGTTGTGCTCGCCTGCGGTGGCAAAGTTGTGGTCACCATTGATATGCGTGAATCCTGTCTCCTCCTCTATCCCCTTCCTGAATGGGAAGTTGTGCAGCGCAAGCTTGAAGATCTTTCCAATATCAATCCGCAAGCGCGCTTACTGCAGCGTTTACTGATTGGTCATGCAACAGATCTGGAACTTGATGCCAATGGCCGGATATTGCTGCCTGCCATGTTGCGCGATTATGCGGGCTTAAGCAAAAAGTTAGTACTGGTTGGCCAGGGTAATAAGATCGAAATCTGGTCTGAAGACCAATGGAAGGAAAGTATGCAGGGCTGGCTGGCCGAAGATAGCGCAGACCTGATTAAAGACGGAGATGCATTCACCGGGTTGTCGGTTTAGTGGCTGCCGACATTTCGGATTTTGCGGGTGCGGCGTCAGACCATATACCTGTATTGCTGGACGAAGTTCTGAAGACTTTGATATCACCTGAAGCCGATCTGCACGGCGCCAAATTTGTTGACGCAACCTTCGGTAGAGGCGGACATAGCCGTGCGCTGTTAGCGCGCTTACCCAGTGATGCACGCCTGTTAGTGATTGACCGGGATCCCGACGCCGTTGCGGTTGCTGAACAGCTTGAGCGGGAAGACTCGCGCGTGTCGGTTTGCCATACCCGGTTCTCAGAGCTCACTGCCGCGCTGGAGCAGGAAGGTTTTACCTCAGTGCAAGGCATATTGATGGATCTGGGCGTGTCCTCGCCACAGCTCGATGAAGGCGCCCGGGGATTTAGCTTCCGTCACGATGGACCGCTGGATATGCGCATGGATTCGAGCACCGGCGACACTGCGGCGCAGTGGCTCAACCAGGCCGAAGAACGCGAAATTGTTACGGTACTGAGAAATTACGGAGAAGAGCGGTTTGCCGGTCGAATTGCACGGGCGATCATCAAGGCCCGTCCGCTGACAACCACCCAGGCGCTGGCTGACACCGTTGCCCAGGCTGTGCCTCAGCGAGGCCCGGTGAAGAAACATCCCGCTACCCAGACATTCCAGGCTGTGCGTATTCATGTTAACCAGGAGTTTGCTGAGCTGGAGGCCGGATTGACGGCGGCCTTTGCGTTGCTGGCTGAAGGCGGTCGTCTTGCGGTGATCAGTTTTCATTCTCTTGAGGATCGTGTGGTTAAGCACACCTTCAGAACCTGGACGCGACCGCCAGTCATGCCGCGGCGAGTGCCTTTGCGTCACGCGCAGATGACCACCGCAGCGACAGATATTGCAGGTCCGGTGCGTGCTGGGGCGCTTGAATTGAAAAACAATCCACGCGCGCGCAGTGCCACCCTGCGGGTCATTGAAAAGAAGGCGCAACATGTCTAGAAGTCGCGCCACTTCCAAACCACAGCCGCTCAATCTGGTTGCCCTGGGTTGGTGTGCGGTATTCGCTTTGCTGCTCGGTGTGATCGTTTACAGCGGTCTGCGCACTGTCGCAGCTGCCCATGATATGCGTGGCCTCTACGGCAGCCTGACGCAGGTGCAGCGGGAGCAGGACAGACTGCTGGAAGAGCATAGCCGGCTGATGTTGGAACGCGGCACCCTTGGCAGCATGCAGAACATTGAAGTTGTGGCGCAGACACAGTTGGGTATGGAATTCCCTGAGCAGCTGGGGGAAATTCTCGAATGAGTGCCTGGCGCCACTACACATTGCTGGTGTTGTTTCTTGCCGCGGTAATCGGGCTCTGTGTCCGGGTTGTCTACCTGGGCGTCAGTGATCGAGATTTTCTGCAGGAGCAGGGTGACGCCCGTTCTATTCGAACAGAAGTCATCCCAGCTATGCGCGGTGTGATCTACGATCGGCAAGGTGAGCCGCTTGCGGTGAGTACCCCGGTTTTTGCCGTGTGGACTGATCCCAGTAAAGCGCAGTTAGGCAGTGATGCGCTGGCGCAGCTCGCAGGTCTGATCGATGTGCCCGCAAAGCGCCTGACAGAACGTATGCAGACCCATCGTGACAAAGAGTTTGTCTATCTGAAGCGGCGGGTTTCCTGGGCAGTTGCGGAGCAGGTCCGCAAAGCACGCCTCAGCCATGTTTATCTGCAGCCGGAATACAGGCGTTATTATCCTGCCGCAGAAACCACCGCGCACATTGTTGGCGTCACCAATATTGATGACGAAGGCATAGAAGGCAGCGAATATGCCTTTCAAGAGGTGCTCAAAGGTGAACACGGCAGCAAGGTGGTCCTGCGAGATCGTCAGGGCACCAACATCAGAGATCTGTCTTATAACGGTGCGCCGGAATATGGCCAGGACCTGAATTTAAGTATCGATCTGCGCCTGCAGTTTCTGGCCTACAGGGAGCTGAAGTCTGCGGTTACCAGTCACCAGGCTAAATCCGGTTCACTGGTGATGCTGGATGTAGCCAGCGGTGAGATTCTTGCCATTGTGAATCAGCCTTCGTACAACCCAAACGATATTCGTGAGCAGCTTTCGGGCATGCGCAACCGCGCGATTACAGACGCCTACGAACCCGGCTCGACCATGAAGCCCTTTACGGCGTTGGCCGCATTGGAAACAGGTCGCTATAGTGGTCGTACCGAGATTGAAACAGCGCCAGGTTTTTTCCACATTGGTAAAAAGCTGGTACAGGACCCGGTTAATCGCGGCTTGATAACCCTGGCGGAGTCACTGCAGAAATCCAGTCAGGTGGCCTTTGCAAAAATTGCCTTGGATCTGGAAGAGCAGGCCGTTTTTGATGTTATCCGTCGAGCCGGGGTAGGTGATTTTCTGGGTACTGGCTTGCCTGGTGAAACCATGGGATATCTGGCCAGCGCGCAACTGCGTTATCCGGTGGTTCGGGCCAGTCTGGCGTATGGTTATGGCTTGTCCGTCACGCCTCTGCAGCTGGCGCATGCCTATCTTACGCTTGCGACTCTTGGCGAAAAGCTACCTCTTTCAGTTATCGCACGGTCCGATCGGAGCAGGCGCTTGATGCGCGAACGTGTCTTTGACCGTCGTATTGCAAGCGAAGTACTGGCGATGATGGAAGGCGTTACAACTGAAGGCGGTACGGCGACCACAGCGGCGGTTAGTGGCTATCGCGTGGCCGGCAAAACCGGCACGGCCAGGATCGTGGGCCCTCAGGGCTATAACGATGAGCGGCACGTGGCTTGGTTTGCAGGTGTTGTGCCTGTCAGTGATCCCAAGCTGGTAATGGTAGTTGTGGTCAATGAGCCTAAAGCCGGAGTCTCCGGAGGCGGTGCGGTAGCTGCGCCGGTGTTCGCGCGCGTTGCTTCCAGATCATTGCGTTTACTTGGTGTTTTACCTGATCAACAGATGGCTGCACGTGACCCGGGTCGCGTTAAGGCGGCCGGGTGAATTTACGAGCCTTGCTTGATGACGAGTCTGTACCTGCCCTTGAGCTTACCGGGCTGGCTGAGCACAGCCAACAGGTACAACCTGGATTTGGCTATATTGCCGTGGCAGCCAACGATGATGATCTGCTTCGACATTGCCGTGATGCCCTTGCCCGCGGCGCGCAGGCCCTGCTGATAGATTCCGCTGCAGCGAGTCAGGCCAAGCTCAGTCGGGCTGCACCAGATTCGTGTGTTTGCGAGGTTGTTGATCTGGCCAAACGGCGCGGTGAACTGGCTGCCCGGTTTTATCGTCACCCCAGTGCACATATGACCTGTATCGGTGTCACCGGTACCAATGGGAAAACTTCTGTTGCCTACCACATTGCTGATCTGGCAAAGCGGTTGGGCCATCCGATGGGTTACAGCGGCACCTTGGGGTGGGGGGCTTTAGATCACCTGGTTGATGAAGGTATGACTACGGGTAACGCGGTTGCCTTGCAGCGTCAGTTGGCAGATATGCTTGGCGCGGGGCTCGAAGGTGTGTCTATGGAGGTCAGCTCCCACGCATTGCATCAGAATCGGGCGTCAGAGATTGAATTTGATGTCGCTTTGTTTACCAACCTGAGTCGTGACCATCTGGATTACCACGGCACCATGGACGCGTATGGTGAGGCTAAGGCCAAGCTGTTTACCCAGTGGCCGTTGCGCGCCGCGATCATCAACGTCGACGATGAATTTGGTGATGCGCTTGCGCAGCGCTGTTCGTGCCCGGTGGTACGAGTAGGTCAAACGGGTGATTGGCGCTGGCGATATCGGCGCCATGCCAACGGCTTGCTGGTGAGCTGGCAGACACCTGATGGTGAATGTGAAGCGGTATTGCCTGTACTTGCAGACTTTGCTGTGGCTAACGTCACCCTGGCTATGGCTGCGCTTGTGACCCTGGGTTATCCACTCTCCAGAATTGTCGACGCGCTTGCTGATATGGCCGGTGTTCCGGGTCGGATGGAAGTTGTTGCGGGACGGGACGACCAGCCTACTGTGGTTGTTGACTATGCGCACACGCCAGATGCGTTGATTAAAGTTTTACGCGCCCTGAGACAAACCTGTCAGGCGCAATTGTATTGTGTTGTTGGCTGTGGTGGTGACCGCGATAGCGGTAAGCGTTCGATGATGGGCGCGGCTGCTGCGGATGCCGCTGATCACAGCTGGTTCACCGCTGACAATCCGCGGAGTGAAGCCGCTCAGCAGATTATTGCGGATATGATGGCGGGCGTGTCTGCGGACAGGCGCGATACGATTATCTCTGAACCCGATCGGCGCCGTGCGATATATGCAGCTGTTGCAATGGCAGGGGGCGGCGACACGGTTCTTATCGCCGGTAAAGGCCACGAGACTGTGCAGGAAATCGCGGGTACTAAATACGCTTTTGATGATCGGGTTGTCGCTGCTGATGCGCTGTCCAAATCCGCGGGGGGAAGCTGATGCTGTTGTGGCTGACCGACTATCTTTCAGAGTTTGTTCGCGCTTTTGCGGTTTTCCAGTATCTGACGTTCCGCACCATGGTCAGCGTGATGACCGCTCTATTTACATCATTGCTGATTGGCCCCTACGTGATTGCCAAGCTAGCGGATCTGCAGATGGGCCAGACCGTGCGTGAAGACGGACCCCAGTCGCATCTCAGTAAAGCCGGCACGCCAACCATGGGGGGTGCGCTGATTCTGATTGTTATTCTTGTAACGACATTATTGTGGGGAGATCTGACGTCCCGTCATATCTGGGTGGTGCTCAGCGTGACCGCTGCATTTGGCATTATCGGCTGGGCAGATGATTACTTGAAAATTGCCCGCAAGAACAGTGCGGGTCTGGTCGCGCGTTGGAAATACTTCTGGCAGTCCTTAGTTGGTTTATCTGCCGCAGTTTTTCTGTTTACCGCCGCAGAACTTCCCGCTGAGACAGCTTTGATTGTGCCATTTTTCAAAGAGGTGGCTATTCCGCTGGGTACCGGTTTTGTGCTTCTGAGCTATCTGATGATTGTCGGCATGAGTAATGCTGTGAATCTAACAGATGGTCTTGATGGTCTGGCTATATTGCCTACGGTCATGGTCGGTGCTGCGCTGGGTCTGATTGCCTACGTCGCGGGCAACACTGAATTTTCCGCTTATCTGCAGATTCCCTATATACCGGGAGCTGGTGAGCTGGCAGTTTTCTGTGGTGCTTTGATCGGTGCAGGTCTCGGATTTCTCTGGTTCAACACTTACCCCGCGCAGATTTTTATGGGTGACGTAGGTGCGCTTGCGCTGGGTGCTGCACTTGGCGTAGTTGCAATCATCGTCAGGCACGAAATAGTGTTGTTAATTATGGGTGGGTTGTTTGTGCTCGAAACGGCCAGCGTCATTATCCAGGTTGCGTCTTTCCGACTAACCGGGAAGCGCATTTTTCGCATGGCACCCATTCACCATCACTTTGAGTTGAAAGGATGGCCGGAACCCAAGGTTATTGTCAGGTTCTGGATTGTCACGTTAGTGCTGGTCACCATCGGTCTGTCGACGTTGAAGCTGAGATGATCAGTACCTCACCCTTAAATATCGATCAACTGTCGTCTGTAGCCGTGCTCGGCTACGGGGTGACCGGCGAGTCCGTAGTCCGGTTTCTTTTGGATCGAAATATAAATGTCTCGGTTTATGACACACGCGCATCTCGAGAAATTGATAGCTGCCCGGTAGAGATTCATTGGCAGACTTCACGATGGCCCAATACCACAGACCATGGCGAGCCGGTTGATTGTGCAATTGTCAGTCCGGGCCTGAATATGGACGCCTGTTTGTTACAAAGCGCCCGTGCAGCGGGTGTGCCGCTATACAGCGATATTGACCTGTTTTTCGCTGCTGTAGCGGCGCCGGTAATTGGTATCACCGGCACAAATGGGAAAAGCACGGTGACTTCACTGGTAGGCCACCTGATAAATGCTGTTGGTCACTCCTGCGGTGTGGGCGGCAATCTTGGCGTGGCCGCGCTCGACATTATTGATTCCGAGCATGATTGTTATGTGCTGGAACTTTCCAGTTTTCAACTCGAACGTAGCCTGCTCCACCCATACGCCGCGTCTTCCGTATTGAACCTCAGCGAAGATCATCTTGATAAACATCAAGATATGCAGGCATACGCCGCAAGTAAACATCGCATTTATGCGAATTCAGGTACCCGTGTGTTCAACCGTGCTGATCCGCTGACGCTTCCTCACACAGATGGCCGAACGGTGAGCTTTGGTTTGGATGAGCCGCCTGGCCCAGATGACTGGGGTATCCGACTGTCAGCTGATGAACGCTTCATTGCTAGAGGCGAAGAGATTATCTGCCCTGTTTCCCAGTTGCCGTTGGCGGGTGAACATAATGAGCAGAACGTGCTGGCGGCTTGTGCCCTGACTCAGGGGTGGGTGGACTTAGACAGGCTCACTCAGGCGCTGTCTTCTTTTCAGGGGCTGGCGCATCGTTTTGAGCAGGTTGCTGAGGTTGGTGGCGTAAATTTCATAAACGACTCCAAAGCGACAAATCTGGGTGCCACCATGGCTGCGTTGGCAGGCATGTCTGCCGATAAACAGGTGGTCCTGATTGCTGGTGGTGATGCCAAAGGCGTTGATCTTGCGCCTCTGTCAGCGTTGTTGGCGTCCAGAGTGCATCATCTGGTTGCGCTGGGTCAGGACGGCCCGCAGCTTATGCAGCTGGCTGAGTCTGTTGGTGTTGCCGCTACTCTGGTTGCGTCGATGGAAGAGGCGGTAGACGTCTCTCAAAGAGTGGCACGACAGGGCAACACGGTCTTATTGTCTCCTGCCTGCGCCAGTCTGGATATGTTTGTCAGTTATGCTGATCGAGGCGAGCAATTTGTGCGCGCGGTTCGCAAGCTTGAAACAGCGGGGACGATATAGTGCCGGTCCTGCAGCCGGAAATTCGTTTGGCTCCCGTGGTGATTCCCTGGGTGGCGTTGCTTGTTATTGGCACGATTATGGTAGGTTCAGCCGCTGTCGCCCTGGGCGGCGGACACCTGAGTAAACACATGGTTTTCCTGGCGGTTGCTGCTGTCAGTTCTGTAGTTGTTTTTGCAGTGCCCCCTTCGATCTGGAATAAGCTCTATCTGTTAGGTTGGGTTGCGTCTGTTGCGATTGCGGTCCTCGTGCTGGTGCCCGGAATAGGTACCGAGGTTAACGGTGCTCAGCGTTGGATAAGGTTGGGTGGCTTCTCTATTCAAGCATCAGAGGTCGCGAAATTCGGCCTGTGTGTATACATGGCGGGCTATCTCAGTCGACATCATCAGAAACTCAGCGAAGATCCGCGTGTATTATTTGTACCATTGCTGATGGTTGGTGTGGTCTGTGCCTTACTGGTTGTCGAGCCTGACCTGGGTTCAGCGGTAGTGATTGTTGGCGCCAGTGTTGCTGTGCTGTTTCTGGCTGGCGCCAAGTTGCGTTATTTTCTGCTGATTCTGTTGGCCGGTGCTGGACTTCTTGCCTTACTGGTCTGGGACGAACCCTACCGCATGGAACGTCTCGTTGCGTTTCTTGATCCCTGGTCGGTAGCTTTTGGCAGTGGTTATCAATTGACACAGGCACTTATTGGTTTTGGGCGCGGTGAACTGTTTGGTCTGGGTTTGGGTGAAGGTGTGCAGAAACTGTACTACCTGCCAGAAGCGCACAACGACTTTATTTTCAGCGTCGTGGCTGAAGAGCTTGGCGCCGTTGGCGCGATTCTGCTCGCACTTCTATTGACGTATCTGGTGTTCCAGCTGCTTAAAGTCTCGCGTGCAAATATAGCCCGGCAGGCCATATTTGCCGGCATGGCAGGCTATTTTGTGGCCTTTATTATCGGCATTCAGTTTCTTGTGAACCTTGGGGTTAACACGGGTGTGCTGCCGACCAAGGGGTTAACCCTGCCTTTTGTCAGCTATGGTGGTAACAGTCTGATTGTCTGTTGCGCGATGCTGGCGCTGGTATTGCGCTGCACTTTAGATCGGGAGCCGCAACGTGGCTGAGCAAGCAGTTTACCAGGTACCGGAAATGGGGCGCATTCGCTGCATCCATTTTGTTGGCATTGGCGGTGCCGGCATGTGTGGTATTGCGGAAGTCATGTTGAATCAGGGTTACCAGGTAACCGGCTCAGATGTGAAAGCTTCTGAGAACACCGCACGCCTCGAAAACAAAGGCGCCACCATACACATAGGGCACAGCGCGGACTGGGTTGCCGATGTTGATGTGGTTGTAGTGTCGAGTGCCATCGATGAAGAAAACCCTGAGGTGCAAGCTGCACACCAGGCCCGTACGCCGGTGGTGCCGAGAGCTGAAATGCTTGGTGAGCTGATGCGTTATCGTCATGGTATTGCCGTAGCCGGCACACACGGAAAAACCACAACCACGAGTTTGCTGACAGAAATTTTTCGCTGTGCCGGACTATCACCCACGTTTGTGATTGGCGGCCTGCTGAACAGTGCCGGTACTAATGCAGAGCTCGGTCTGGGTCGATATCTTATTGCAGAAGCGGATGAGTCAGACGGTTCTTTTCTGCGGTTGCAGCCCATGTCGGCGGTCATTACCAATATTGATCGTGATCATATGGCCACTTACGGTAACGACTTTAATGTGCTCAAAGAGACCTTTGTTGAGTTTGTTCATCGCTTGCCGTTTTATGGAGCCGTGGCGGTCTGTGTTGATGATGCTGAGGTGGTAGATATTCTGCCGCATCTATCCAGGCCGGTATTGACCTATGGTTTGTCTGCTGAGGCTCAGTTCCGAGCGCATAATATTCAACCCGACGGCAAAACGTGGCAGTTCGATGTCGATCGAGGCAGTTTTGGCGGGCCGTTACAGATCAGTTTGTCGATCCCTGGAACACATAACGTTCTCAATGCGCTGGCGGCGATAGCGATCGCAACTGAAGAAGGTATAGACGACCGCCATATCGTTGAGGGGCTGCTTGGATTTGCTGGTGTCGACAGACGCTTTCAGGTGACGGACAACGTTCATGTTGGCGACCAGCTTCTGTCGATGGTTGACGACTATGGACATCACCCAACCGAGGTTGCAGCGGTGATTGCGACCGCGCGTAAGGTCTGGCCGGACGCCACGATTGCAATGGTTTACCAACCGCATCGTTATTCCCGCACCCGCGATCTGTTTGATGATTTTGTGCGTGTTCTGTCCGAACTCGATGCGGTCATGCTGGTCGAGGTTTACGCCGCCGGTGAAGGGCCCATTGCTGGAGCCGACAGTAAGTCATTGTGCCAGGCTATTCGTCAGCGCGGCGGTGTCAGCCCCGTTTATGCGCAAGACCCCGAGGAAGCTTTGCAGCTGTTGCCTGCCTTTTGTGCTCAAGCTGACGTATTGGTTGTGCAGGGCGCTGGAAATGTGAATCTGATTTCTAATCACTTAAGGCAGGCTCATGTTTAATCGCCTGTTGTTTGCTGTGGTTGTGTTATCCATTGTTGTGGTGGCTGCTGGTCTCTGGCATACCCTGGATAAGCCTGTGCAGGGGTTTGTTATTGAAGGCGACCTGTCTGGTATGGAGCGTGCTGAATTGCAGGCAGCACTCAGTGACACTGCGTTGCAGGGCATCCTTTCAACCAGACTGGATGCCATTGTATCCCGGGTTCAGAGTTTGCACTGGGCGAAAGACATCAGCATCCGCCGGGCCTGGCCTGACCGCTTTGTTGTGACACTACACAAAGCCGCACCTGTTGCGCGTTGGGGGGATAGTCAATATGTGTCTGCGTATGGCGATCTGCTTGAGTTACCAGATGTCTACCCCGGGCTGCCGCATTTCATGGTAGAGGTCAGTAATCCTCAGGAAGCAATGCAGACTTATCGCCTGCTGGACCAGATTGCGGCTCGGGAATCCCTTGCCATCAGCCGTCTTGCTCAGAATAGCCAGGGTGAATGGAGCGTAGAATTATCGAAGGGGCCGCGAGTGTTGCTTGGCGCGCAGCAGATAAACGAGCGCATGCACCGATTTTTACTGGTATATCGCCGAGTGCTCAGCGCTGGGGATAAGCCCGCGGAATATGTTGATGCCCGTTACGCCAATGGCGTAGCCGTGCGCTATGTCCCGGAACAGCAAACAAATAATGAATCTCTGTTGGTTGCGGATGCAGATGCTGCAGCTTATGTCGAAGGAATAAATGATGGCCGCTGATACGCAGCTACAAAGAATTGTCGGGCTTGATATAGGCACCAATAAGGTTGCCGCAATAGTCGCTGAAGTTAACCGTGATGGTGAGCTGGAGATTATCGGGATCGGCACGCACAACTCGCGCGGTCTAAAGAAAGGCGTGGTCGTCAATATTGAATCCACAGTTCAGTCGATTCAGCGCGCCATCGAAGAAGCAGAGCTTATGGCGGGTTGCACCATCGAAAGTGTCTATGCCGGAATTGCTGGCAGTCATATCCGGTCTTTGAATTCCCATGGCATTGTCGCGATTCGTGATCGGGAAGTGTATGCCCAGGATGTTGAACGCGTGATAGATGCAGCACAGGCCATGGCCATTCCTGCAGATCAGAAAATACTGCATGTGCTGCCACAGGAATACGTCATAGATACTCAGGAAGGCGTAAAAGAGCCGTTAGGTATGTCAGGGGTGCGTCTGGAAGCAAAAGTGCACATGGTCACCTGTGCGGTAAATGCTGCGCAGAATATAGAAAAATGTATTGAGCGTTGCGGCCTAAGCGTTAACGACATCATTCTGGAGCAGCTTGCGTCCAGTTATTCAATTCTGACCGATGACGAGCGTGAGCTGGGTGTCTGTCTGGTAGACATTGGTGGCGGTACAACTGATATCGCGGTGTTTACTGGAGGTGCTATCCGTCATACCGCCGTTATTCCTATTGCCGGCGATCAGGTAACCAATGACATTGCGATGGCTCTGCGCACACCTACGCAGAACGCGGAAGATATAAAAATAAAGTATGCCTGTGCGTTAACCCAGTTGGCTCGTGCTGATGAAGTTATCAACGTGCCTGGGGTGGGGGACAAGCCCTCCAGGGAGTTGTCCAGGCAGGCTCTTGCGGAGGTGGTCGAGCCACGCTATGACGAATTGTTTACGTTGATTCAGGCAGAGCTGCGGCGCAGCGGCTTTGAGGATTTGATTGCGGCAGGCATTGTCCTGACAGGCGGTGCTGCAAAAATGGAAGGTGTGATTGAGCTTGCGGAAGAGATATTCCACATGCCGGTCAGTCTGGGGTCGCCACGTAATGTGGCTGGTTTAAAGGACATCGTACGTAACCCTGTTTATGCCACGGGCGTAGGTTTGTTGCTGTACGGTCTGGAGCGAGAAAAAGAAATGCCGGCTCGCGGGAGCGCCCACAAGGGTGGTCTGTTCGGGCGGTTAAAGACTTGGGTAAGAGAAAATTTCTAGCTGGAGATAAGGTAATGTTTGAATTAGTAGATAGCGCACCACAAAGTGCGGTGATAAAAGTGATTGGTGTTGGAGGCGGCGGCGGTAATGCTGTGCAGCATATGGTCAGCAGATGTGTAGACGGTGTTGATTTTATTGCTGCCAATACGGATGCGCAGGCGCTTAAAAATCTGGATGCGCAGACTACACTGCAGATCGGTAGCGGTATAACAAAAGGGTTGGGTGCAGGCGCCAACCCTGATATCGGTCGTGCCGCGGCAATAGAGGATCGCGAGCGGATCAGTGAAGTGCTTTCCGGTGCAGATATGGTATTCATAACCGCAGGCATGGGTGGCGGAACGGGTACTGGTGCCGCGCCGATAGTGGCTGAAATTGCGCGTGAAATGGATATTCTGACCGTCGCTGTGGTTACCCGACCTTTCAATTTTGAAAAGCGCGTGGACGTTGCGGATAACGGTATTCGCGAGTTGTCTCAACACGTTGACTCGTTGATTACTATCCCCAATGAAAAGCTGTTAGCCGTTTTGGGTGAGCGAACCAGTATGCTGGACGCGTTCAGTGCAGCGAATGACGTTCTGCTGGGTGCCGTGCAGGGTATTGCAGATTTGATTATTCGTCCCGGCATGATCAACGTGGATTTTGCAGACGTACGTACGGTGATGTCTGAGATGGGTATGGCCATGATGGGAACCGGTCGAGCGTCTGGGGATAATCGTGCAAGAGATGCGGCGGAAGCTGCGATTCGTTCGCCTCTGCTTGAAGATGTTGATCTGCATGGCGCGCGCGGCATTCTGGTTAACGTGACTGCCGGCCCGGATCTGAATATCGGTGAGTTCACGGAAGTGGGTAGTATTGTTGAGGACTTTGCATCCTCCGGTGCTACCGTAGTAGTCGGCACCGTGATTGATCCAAGCATGGGTGAAGAGCTTAAAGTGACCGTTGTAGCGACGGGTCTGGGTGAAGCTGAAGCGCCCAGTGTTGTCATCGATAATACGGTTGCCCCAGCGGCGCTGGACGGTGAACTGAATTACGACGATTTTGAACGACCTGCTTATTCTCGTCATCAGGGCGCAACCGCACGCGATCAGCGGACTGAAACTCCGGACAGTCAGAGTATGGATTATCTGGATATCCCCGCGTTTTTGCGGCGCCAGGCTGACTGAGCGTCATTCTCCTTTCTCCAGCTGAAAGGGTGCGACGATGTCAAAGTGACGTCGTCGCACACCTTTTCAAGTTTTGCGTTCACGTCGCGTTCAGTCTCGTGTCATATGATACAAAATGAAACAAAAAGTGAGGATTGGTGCGTAGAGTGACCACCCATAGGTTGATACTATGCGCGCCGTTATGTCTGTGACAAATTCATTACAACAGCGCACGCTGAACAATACGATCCGAGCTACAGGTGTTGGCTTGCATACTGGTGAAAAAGTGTATGTAACCCTCAAACCTGCTCCGGTTGACACGGGCATTGTGTTCATCCGCAGCGATCTGGATAGCCCGGTGCACCTCAGGGCCCACGCGTTGAATGTTGGCGCCACAACAATGGCGACATCCCTCACAGACGGTCAGCACGAAATATCGACAATCGAACATCTCATGTCCGCATTTGCCGGGCTTGGAATCGATAATGCTTTTGTTGAAGTCAGTGCGCCAGAGTTACCCATTATGGATGGCAGCGCTGCCCCGTTTGTGTTTCTGCTGCAGTCCGCAGGCATTGCCGAGCAGACAGCCGCAAAGAAATTTGTGCGCATTCTCAAGACCGTACGTGTTGAGCAGGGTGATGTTGTTGCCGAATTGAGCCCCTACGACGGGTTTCAACTCAATTACACTTTGAAATACGATCATCCGGTCTTCAAGAAACATGAACATACCGTGTGCGTTGATTTTTCCAGTATGGCTTATGTAAAAGAGGTCAGCCGGGCCAGAACGTTTGGCTTTCTGGCGGACTATGAAAAATTGCGAGCGATGAATCTGGCAAAAGGCGGCAGTCTGGACAATGCAGTAGTCGTAGACGATTACCGGATATTGAACGAAGAAGGGTTACGCCTCGAAGATGAGTTTGTGAAACACAAAATTCTTGATGCCATCGGAGATTTGTATCTTCTTGGTCATAGCCTGATTGGCCGGTTTAACGGACACAAGTCTGGCCATGGCCCTAATAACGCTTTGCTGCGCAAGTTACTTGCAACTGAAGGTGCATACGACATCGTGACGTTTGATGACGTAGCCAACGCACCTATTGCCTACGTGAAACCACTGCTGGCGAGCGCCTAGTATCGCGACTTTGGTGTGACCTTTCCGTTGCTTGAGAGGTTTATGTATGCGGCGCTGTTCGCATTAAGTTCACGTAGAACAAGCCATAATCAGCTGCTGGAGTTGGCCACTGTGACTTTCAGCGCAGTGACTTGTTTGAAGCTGGCCAGAGTCTGTAACTGCGGTAGCAGATCAGGCATTAGAAATCGCAGGCGCGTGGCAGCCGCGGCACTACGACATAAAACGTAGGCCGTTGGACCGCGAATATCGGTGATACCTACCTCGTGTTTTAGAGGTGCGTCGATAAAAGCCCTGAATTCTGCTGTCCATTGCTTCTGGTTGGAAGATGTTTTCAGCAGACGTTGTAACGGAGTAAATCGGCTGTGGCTTTCATTAAGCAGATCATCTATTTTGTGTGTGGACACAGCGATGAGGTTCCCTGTTCGGTCGGACACGCCGGTCAGTATCGCATTATAAAAACAATAATCTACAGGCTTATGCCTGCGGATCTTTACCTCCAGACAAAGCAAATGTTCTCATGAAGATTATTGTGCTCCGTGACAAGGGGTCACATCTTTCAGTTCGGTTCAGCCGTCGTCGCCTTGCTGTTGCTGCAACCGCTATGGCAACGCTGTGTATATCTGCCGTGATCTGGGTCAGCCTGAATATTCAACCGAATGAAGTTGATTCACAGGTTGTTGCGCAGTGGCGCGCAAAGCTGGACAGCCAGCGCGAAGCGATGCAGATCATCGAACAAAAAAGTCTGGCACAGAGCGCGGCGGTTGGTCGTCAATTGGCTCAGATGCAGGCTCGTCTGCTGCGCATGGAGGCGATTGGCGCCCATATGGCTGAAGCGGCGGAATTGCAGGACGGTGAATTTGATTTCAGTGCATTGCCGGCTCAGGGTGGTCCTGTTGAAGGTGGGCAAACGGCGCTGCAGTTTGATGACCTCGCGGTAGAGCTCGATCGACTGTCGTCAGCAATTAAACGTCGTGAGTTCGAGCTCGATGTGCTTGATGATGTGTTGGTCAATGAAGAAATTCAGACCACGTCAGTCGTCCGGGGCCGCCCCGTGAAGTGGGGATGGTTATCTTCACAGTTTGGACAGCGTGTCGACCCCATCACCGGTAAAACTGCCTGGCATTCAGGTGTCGATTTTGCAGGTAAAGATGGATCTGATGTGATTGCAGTCGCCAGTGGCGTTGTCACCTTTGCGGGCAAACGATCAGGCTACGGCAAGCTGGTAGAAATCAGCCACGCCAACGGCTATGTTACGCGCTATGCTCACCACAAAGAACTCACTGTTGAAACGGGTGAAGTGGTCAAGAAAGGCGAAGCGATCGGAAAAATGGGCAGCAGTGGTCGCTCCACTGGTCCTCATGTGCACTTCGAAGTGCTGAAAAACGGCCGCACTGTTGATCCCGCCAGTTATGTTACCCGGCGCTCCTGATAAGCGCTAAATCCTTTTTCCCCTTAGGCACCAGTGTCGGTACAATGCCGCCACTCGAAAATCGGTCAACCTGTTGCTATGGCTAACATTTTCACATCCATGTTTGGATCCAAGAATAATCGCGAACTCAAGCGCATGGGCAAAATTGTTGCTCGAATCAATGCGATTGAGGATGACTTCGACAGCGCCAGCGATCTGGTGGCAAAAAGTGAAGAATTCAAGCAGAGGCTTGCCGGCGGTGAGGCGCTCGATGCTCTGTTGCCGGAAGCTTTTGCCGCTGTGCGGGAAGCGGCGAAACGAACCAAAGGTATGCGCCATTTTGACGCGCAGCTGATTGGCGGTATTACCCTGCACGAAGGTCGCATCGCGGAGATGCGCACTGGTGAGGGTAAAACTCTGATGGCAACTCTCCCTGCATACTTAAATGCGCTGAGTGGTAAGGGTGTGCATGTCATTACTGTGAACGACTATCTCGCTCGTCGAGATGCAACCTGGATGGGTGATATTTACGCCGAATTGGGTATGTCCGTCGGAGTTGTGCAATCCGGTCAGGATCCCATATCAAAACGTGCGGCTTATGCAGCTGACATTACCTATGGTACCAACAACGAATTCGGTTTCGATTATTTGCGCGATAACATGGCCTTTACGCTGGACGATCGTTTTCAGCGCGGCCTCAATTTTGCGATCATTGATGAAGTGGACTCTATCCTCATTGATGAAGCGCGTACTCCGCTCATCATTTCCGGTGCTGCAGAAGAAAACACCAAGCTTTATGTGATCATTAATAAGCTTGCACCCAAGCTGACTCAGCAGGAATTTGTCGATCAGGTTCGTATGTTTGGCGAAGAAGAAGCGGAGCCCACCGGCGACTTCATGGTCGACGAGAAGAATCGTCAGGTTGAATTAACTGAACTTGGTCATCAGAAAGTTGAAGAGGAACTCATTCGTCTTGAGCTGCTCGACGAAGGTGACAGTTTATATTCGGCGACTAACCTGAATCTGCTGCATCATGTCCACGCGGCGCTCAAAGCGCACGCGCTGTTCAAACGTGATGTGGATTACATGGTGTCGAATGGCGAGATTGTCATTGTTGACGAACACACTGGCCGTGCCATGCCTGGCCGTCGCTGGTCAGAAGGTATTCATCAGGCGATTGAAGCCAAAGAAGGTCTGTCGATTCAGAATGAAAGCCAGACACTGGCGTCCACCACGTTCCAGAACTATTTTCGCCTGTATAACAAGCTGTCGGGTATGACGGGTACGGCTGATACCGAAGCTTTCGAATTTCATCAGATTTATGGTTTAGACGTTGTGGTTATTCCGACGCACAAGCCGATGATCCGAGACGATCAGAACGACCTTATCTTTCTGACGATGGCAGATAAATTTGACGCTATTGTCGAGGATATCAATGAGCGGATCGAGAAAGGACAGCCGGTGCTTGTCGGCACTGCATCCATTGAGTCCTCTGAAATCATATCGAACGAATTAGATAAGCGGGGCATCAAGCACAGTGTGCTGAATGCTAAACAACACGAGCGTGAAGCTGACATTATCGCGGATGCAGGTCGACCTGGTGTGGTCACTATCGCAACCAATATGGCTGGGCGGGGTACGGATATTGTGCTCGGTGGTAGTCTGGAGGCGGAGCTGGAGCGAGAGTCTGACCTCAGCGATGCAAAGAAAGAAGAGCTGACTCGGGAGTGGCAAAAGCGCCACGACCAGGTGATTGAGGCTGGTGGTCTCCACATCATAGGCACGGAAAGGCACGAGTCGCGTCGCATAGACAACCAGCTGCGTGGTCGCTCAGGCAGGCAGGGTGATCCGGGTTCCAGTCGCTTCTATCTCTCCATGGAAGACAATCTGATGCGTATTTTTGCATCAGAGCGTGTTCGCGGAATGATGAAGTCGTTGGGTATGGAGAAGGGAGAAGCGATAGAGCATCGGATTGTTAACCGTTCGATAGAAAACGCGCAGCGCAAAGTCGAAGGCCACAACTTCGATATTCGTAAGAATCTGTTGGAATATGACGATGTTTCCAACGATCAGCGACAGATAATCTATCAGCAACGACGCGATCTGATGGCTGCGGATGACATCTCAGAAACCATCGAGGGTTTACGCGAAGAGGTTGTTTACGATGTGTTTTCCCAGTACATACCGCCTCAGAGTCTTGAAGAGCAGTGGGATATACAGGGTCTTACGGAAGCGTTACAGACAGAATTTGGCTCTACCCAACCTATCCAGCAATGGCTTGATGACGATGACAATCTTGACGAAGAGAAACTTCGTGAGCGGGTTATAGAGCAGATCGAAGCGGAATATGCAGGAAAAGAAAGTGAGTGGCAGGCTGTAGATGTTGACATGCGGCTGGTTGAAAAGCAGGTGATGTTGCAGATTCTGGATCAACGTTGGAAAGAACACCTGGCTACCATGGACTATCTCCGTCAGGGTATTCATTTGCGTGCTTATGCGCAGAAACAGCCCAAGCAGGAGTACAAACGTGAGTCATTCGAGTTGTTCCAGGAGCTTTTATTCAACATCAAGCTAGACGTCGTGCGGATGTTATCGCGTATTCAGATTGAACGACCCGAAGAAGTAGAGGCGCAGGAACGTAAGCGCCGCGCTGAAGCCGCCGAGCGAATGAATTTCACCCACGACGATTCTTCCGCACTTGGTGGTCCGGCCGCACCTGCGGGTGTTGCGCCTAATGGCGATGCTGAGTCGCCGGAACGAGTTGAAACGTTTGTGCGCGATGAGCGCAAGGTTGGGCGCAATGAGCCCTGTCCTTGTGGTTCGGGTAAAAAGTACAAGCAGTGTCACGGCAAAGTGGCCTAGTTCGGAGCTGCATAGTATGGCTGTAAACTTAAGTGCGCCGGAGCAGCTGCTGGCTGTGCCAGGTGTGCGGCTTGGCACAGCCTGTGCCGGGATCAAACAAACCCAGCGTGATGATGTGGCAGTGTTTGAACTCGCTGAAGGTAGTGAAACAGGTGGCGTGTTTACCCAGTCACATTTTTCTGCTGCACCTGTACTTCTGGCGCGCCAGCGTCAGAAAAAAGTTCGCGCCTGGGTGGTGAACAGTGGCAATGCAAATGCCGCAACCGGTGAACCTGGCGTTCATGATGCAGAAGAAGTCTGCTCTCATGCAGGACGTCTGTTACAGATATCCGCAGACGAGATCCAGCCTTTTTCTACCGGTGTGATCGGTGAGCGGCTACCAGTCGGTAAGTTGAAAACAGCACTCGACACCGCATCTGCTCAACTCAGCGAACAGGGTTGGTTGGCTGCAGCCCATGCCATTATGACTACTGACACCTGCGCTAAAGGGCTCTCCCGGCAAATTGATATTGATGGTCATCAGGTAACGGTAACCGGAATTGCCAAAGGTTCCGGTATGATCAAGCCAAATATGGCGACCATGCTGGCCTACTTAGCCTGTGACGCAGGTGTGGCGCCGGGACTTGCGCAGAAACTGGTAAACACCGCTGTCGGGAAAAGTTTTAATCGAGTAACGGTAGATGGAGACACCTCTACCAACGATAGTTTTGTGTTGGCTTGTACAGGTAAAAGCAGTCTGCCGATAATTAGTTCTGAAAGCGATTCCGCTTATCAGTTGCTGAGCGCGGCGATTAACGAAGTGGCTACCTACCTGGCACAGGCGCTGGTGCGCGATGGCGAAGGTGCCACCAAGTTTGTGACGGTTTGTGTTAAAGGCGGGCGGACCTCGTCAGACTGTCTGAGTGTTGCGTATACGGTTGCGGAATCGCCGCTGGTTAAAACCGCAATGTTTGCCGGTGACGCCAATTGGGGCCGCTTCTGTATGGCAATTGGACGATCGCCAGTAGAAGGTTTATTACCCGAACGGGTGCAGCTTTGGCTTGATGACGTGCGGGTTGCGCAAGATGGGTTGATGGCGCAGAGCTACTCGGAAAGCCTTGGAGCCGCGGTTCTGGCGCAGGATGAATTTACTGTGACCATTGATCTGGGACTGGGTACAGCTGAAGAAACGGTATGGACCACGGACCTGTCTTACGAATATGTGCGTATTAACGCGGAATATCGAACCTAACGGTCCAGGTCTTCGCTGTTTATGTCCTGGTTTTCTGCATCGCCGGGAATGACGTGCTCTTCCGATGCCCAGGCGCCAAGATCAATGAGTTTGCATCGTTCAGAACAGAATGGACGACTGGGGTTCTGTGGTGTCCATTTAACCGTTGCTTTGCAGGTCGGACAGGAAACTATTCGGGCTGGGTTCGACATATCTCTTGGTACCTTCGATGCAGTTCATCAACCTGAGTATGCAGATGTTCAAGATCGGCGTCATTAGTGATGATGTCATCAGCTGCTTCGAGGCGCGCATCCCGAGCCAGCTGAGCCCGCATGATATTTTCAACTTGAGCGGCTGTATTGTTGTCGCGCGCCATGGTGCGGGCCACCTGCTCTGACTCAGGCGTGTCGATAACAAGCACGCGGTTACACCAGGCAGCTTGTTTTGATTCAATCAGTAGGGGGTTGACCAGGATGACATATTCGGATGTGGCCTGCTCAATGTGTTGGCGCAGATAGTTAGATATCAGGGGGTGCAGCAGACCCTGCAGCCATCGCCGTTGCGCCTCATCAGCAAAAACAATATGCCGCAGTCGGGTGCGATCCAGGGATCCATCAGACAAAAGAATCGACTGGCCAAATCGCTCAGCGATGCGTGTTAAAGCTCCCTCTCCGGGTGCGACCACGGCTCGGCTGGCCAGGTCTGCATCAACTGTAGTGATGCCATGACAGGCAAAACGATCTGCGGCGGCGGTTTTGCCGCTGCCGATACCTCCGGTGAGGCCTACCAGCCAGTTCTTCATGATTTAAATAGCTTTACGGCAGAAAAACGGCCAGCACGGTATCACGAAAGATGAGGGTGACCCAACCGGCAGTTGCCAGAAAAGGTCCAAACGGGATCGGTTGGGCTGCGGTCTGTTTCGAAAGCACAATCTGCATTAACGCATACAACAAACCGACGGTTGCAGATATCAGAATAATACTGGGCAGAGCCTGCCAACCAAGCCAGGCGCCAAAAGCCCCAAAAAGTTTGAAATCGCCGTAGCCCATACCTTCTTTGCCGGTAGCAAGTTTGAATCCCCAGTAGATCAACCACAGTGATAGATAGCCCGCGATGGCCCCGACAATTGCATCCTGCGGACTGACAATGCCGATAAAAAAAGTGTTCAAAATCAGACCTAGCCACAGTAAAGGGTAGGTAATCTGGTCTGGCAGTAATTTGGTGTCATAGTCGATGAACGTGAGGGCTATCATCATCCAGGTGAACAGGCAGGTAAACAGACCCAGCCAGGTGAACCCAAATGTTGAAATGACAGCAACCGAAGCTATAGCCGTGAGCAATTCGATACCCGGATAGCGCCATGGGATTGGGTTTTTACAGCTGGAACATCGCCGGCCTAAGAACAGCCAGCTTAATACCGGGATGTTTTCCATTGCCGTGATCTGATGCTGGCAATTGGGGCAGCGTGATCGGGGCACCATCAAATTGAAGGGTTCTGATGAGGTCTCTTCCGGCGGCTCCATGTCCAGGATCTCTCTGGCCTGGGCTTCCCATTCGCGGTTCAGCATGACAGGCAGGCGGTAAATAACCACATTAAGGAAGCTGCCGATACTCAGCGCTACCCAGATGAATAGCGCAGCACCGGTCCAGCCGTAGGTGGTCAGGAGTTCAAGAGACACGCCTAAGGACTTTCTGGACTAGGCACCAACAACCGCACCCAGCTGGAAGATCGGCAGATACATTGCGATGATCAAACCACCAACCAGCACGCCAAGTACCGACATGATCATCGGTTCCATCAGGCTGGTGAGGTTGTCGACTGCATTGTCGACCTGCTCTTCGTAATAGGTAGCCGATTTGTCCAGCATGTCGTCCAAAGCGCCTGCTTCTTCACCAATGGCGACCATCTGTATAACCATGTTGGGAAAAACGCCGGTGTTACGCATGGAGAAATTGAGCTGCTGTCCTGTGGAGACATCGTCGCGAACCTTATAAACCGCTTCTACGTAAACGTTGTTACCCGTAGATCCGGCCACAGAGTTGAGCGCTTCGACCAGCGGCACACCTGCTGCGAAGGTTGTCGACAGTGTTCTTGCGTAACGTGCAATAGATGACTTTTCAATGATATCGCCTGCAATGGGCAACTTGAGACTCAAGCGGTCTAATGCGTTGCTGAAGCTTTTTGAACGTTTGCGTGCTTCGCTGAACAGTAAACCTGCCGCGATAATGCCAAACAGAATCATGTACCAGTAACTTTGTGCAAATTCAGAAAACCCAATGACCATTTGTGTAAAGGCGGGAAGTTCTGCACCGAAGCCATCAAACACCTGCTCGAATTGAGGCACTACTTTAATGAGCAGGATGCCGGATACGATTACCGCAACAACTAATACCGCGATAGGGTAGGTCATTGCTTTGCGAACTTTAGCTTTCAGGGATTCTGTTTTTTCTTTGTAGGTAGCAATACGGTCAAGCATGGTTTCAAGTGCACCTGACTGCTCACCTGCATCTACAAGGTTGCAGAAAAGGTCGTCAAATTGGTCGGGGTGACGTCGGATAGACGCAGCAAAAGAGTTACCGCCAGCTACGTCATTGCGGACTTCGCGAATGAGTGCTGCTAGTTTGGGTTTATCCACGCCATCTGCAACAATATCGAAAGCCTGCACGAGGGGTACCCCCGCGCGCATCATAGTCGCCATCTGACGGGTAAAAAGAGCGACGTCAGCGGGTTTAACCCCAGCGCCGCCACCAAAACTGATACCTGCGCTTTTCTTTTTAACTTTTTGCGCAACAATACCCTGCCGTCGCAGTTCTGCCTTAGCTATGGCCGGTGTAGACGATTTTATTTCGCCTTTGGTCTTTCGACCCTGTTTGTCTTTGCCTTCCCAGAGGAATGTTGCGCTTTCGGCCATGTTCTACTACTACCCGTGGTTGTCGTCACACTCAGATTGAGCGTTAGTGACCGGTCGTGACCCGGTTTGCCTCTGCCAAGCTCGTGACGCCTTGCATCACCTTCTCCAGACCCGATCGTCGCAGGTCATTAAAGCCGTGTCGGTTGGCCTGCTCGGCAAGATCTATGCTGTTTCCGTCTTCCATGATAATACGAGACAGCTCCGGAGTTATTTTAACTACTTCATATATTCCGACACGGCCCTTGAAACCACCGTTACATTTGTCACAGCCTGTACCACTGGCTTCATACACCTGGAATCCGCTGGCAATGTCTTCTTCAGTGAAGCCTTCCTCTTCGAGTACCTCTTTGGGTACGTCCAATGGGTTCTTGCATTCAGGGCATAAGCGTCGTGCTAGCCGCTGCGCAATAATCAGGCTGACAGATGTTGCCAGGTTAAAAGCAGGCACGCCCATGTTGCGTAAGCGAGTCAGTGTCTCAGGGGCTGAATTTGTATGTAGTGTGGACAACACCATGTGGCCTGTTTGTGCGGCCTTAATCGCAATCTCAGCGGTTTCCAGGTCGCGTATCTCGCCCACCATCACAATATCTGGATCCTGGCGCAGGAAAGAGCGCAGCGCCGAGGAAAAATCGAGCCCGACACGATGGTTGACGTTGACCTGGTTGATACCTTCGAGGTTGATTTCCACCGGGTCTTCCGCTGTAGCAATATTGCGTTCGTGTGTGTTGAGGATGTTCAAACCCGTATAAAGCGAGACGGTTTTGCCGCTACCGGTCGGGCCTGTGACGAGTACCATGCCCTGTGGTTTATGCAGTGCATCGAGAAACAGCTCTTGCTGGAGGGGTTCGAAACCCAGTGCTTCAATACCCATTTTGGCGCTGGAAGGGTCAAGTATCCGCAGGACCACCTTCTCTCCCCACAGGGTTGGCAGGGTGTTGACGCGAAAATCAATCGCCCGGGTTTTTGACAGCTTCATCTTTATACGGCCGTCCTGGGGTACACGACGTTCGGAAATATCCATTTCGGACATCACTTTCAGGCGGGCGGCAAGGCGCTGTCCTAGATTAGAGGGCGGTGTCGTGACTACGTGCAGAACGCCATCTGTGCGGAAGCGAACTCGATAAGACTTCTCATAGGGTTCAAAGTGGATGTCAGACGCACCGGTTTTGATGGCATCAAGCAACATTTTGTTAACAAACCTGACGATAGGGGTGTCGTCGGTGCCTGAACCTACATCGTCGTCTTCGCCCTTATCATTATCCTCGAACGAATCCATGTCGAGGTCTTCGAGGTCGTCTCCATCCAGGTCGCCCAGACCACTGTCTTCCTGGGCGTTAAGAAAACGATCAATTAAGGCGGCAAGTTTGTCTTCTTCAACCAGCACCGGTTCTGTATTCACACCGGTCTGGAATTTAATTTCATCCAGAGCCTGAAGATTGGTTGGATCAGATACCGCGACAAATAAGCGGACACCGCGTCGCACCAGGGGTAGTGCGTTGTGTTGTTTGATCAGCTGTTCTTTAACCAGGTCTTTCGGGACACTGTCGATGTCAAAAACGGACAGGTCCATCAGCGGGACGCCAAATTCTTCGGCGGCACTTGCGGCAATGGCTTTCGCCTCGACTAAACCATTCTGTACAAGGTAGCTGACCAGAGGTATAGCGGCCTTGCGGGCGTCATCGGTGGCTTTTAAGGCTATTTCAGCCTCTATCAGGCCTTGGTCGACGAGACGTCGAGCGAGGCCGCTAATTGGTACTGGTTCTGTGGCCATACAGCGCTTAAGATCCTTTTCAAACGGCGTGCAGCGAAGCTACATAGGGTGCTGATGTTAGTGCTTTCACTAGTTATCGACACGATACGCACCCGATGCATAGCAAGTCTATGCCTGTGTCACTAGGCTGTCGATAAGCCCATCACAAATTAGCCTGTGGGAACCTGTCCCTGGATACGTGACTCGTTCCTGCCTGTGGACTCTTTATTTTAGGCTAAGCTGAAACAGTGAGCGAGGTGCAGGTCTGGGTCACAGTGACAGTCAGCGTCAGCTAGTGACATTCTGAGTTAGTATGCGCCAGAGTATATAGCTGACGAAAAAGGCGCACAGAAATAAGAGCCATCCTCCTATTTCCCCTAACTTACTGATAAGTAACCTGTTTACAGGTAAATAGATTTATCTCGCTAAGATTGGCACACGGTTTGCTTTGTATCTCGGCAACGGGCGCGGCTTGCATGACCAACGTCTTTAGCTGCCACGTTTTTACACATTAGTAACGGAGTTTATTCTAAATGAAAAACGCAATGCAGAAGGGTTTTACCCTTATCGAATTGATGATCGTGGTAGCTATTATCGGCATTCTGGCCGCAGTGGCTCTGCCCGCTTATCAGTCTTACATCGAAACAGCCAACATGGGTAAAGTTAACAGCCACTACGAAGAGGGTGTTAAATATGTACGCGGTGAAATGTCACGTGTACGCACTGGTCTGGCGATGGGCATTTTAGACACAGCTGGTGCTGAAGCTGCGTTGGACGGTGCCGGTATCCTGGCTAGCCTGGAAAGCGAAGTTGGTTCACAGAAGTTTGACTTCGGTTCACCTACCGGCGCAGCAGCTTATGCAGCGGCAGTGGGCGACGATGCTGGTACCGTAGGAATTGCCGATAACGGTGGTTCAGTAGCTGCTGGCACGTTGAACGTAGCAGTTACTCGTCCGGCTTACATCGACTTGACCACTCTGGTTGAATCTGTGAACTGGTAGAGCGTCACCCGATTTACATCGCAAGCTGTAAATCCCATGATGCGATATACAAAAAGGGTGGCTCAGGCCGCCCTTTTTGTTGAGCAGCGTTCTCGCTGCCTTGTTTGATAACTGTGCTTTATCGAGGCCCCAAGATGAAAACACAACAAAACGGTTTTACGTTGATTGAATTGATGATTGCGATCGGCATTATTGCCATTCTTTCTGCGATCGCTTTACCTGCTTATCGAAACTACATAGATACGGCAGAGCAGGGACAATTACTGAGTAACATGAAAACAATGGAAGTGTTCCAGGAAGATTTTTTCCTGCGCACTGGCGGATATGCTGTAGATCTGGCTGATGCGGCTGCCATTGAAGCGGCTATTGGCTGGGAACCAAGAGCCGATGATGGCGTCACGTACAGTATCGCGAACACGGCAGATACTGAATATCGTGTCACTGCGGTTGGACCATCTGGTCTCACGCTTTGCAGGGTCTATCCCGCAAATACGCCTTGTCCGTAGCGGACATCTTTAATCAGGTCTGCAAACCGAGTATTCTCCGCGCTGCGCCGGGATAGCTCAGTTGGTAGAGCGACTGATTCGTAATCAGTAGGTCCGCGGTTCGATTCCGCGTTCCGGCACCATTCGAAGGTTTTGCTATCAGTTTCAATGTGACTCATGCTTTCGAAGGAGATTTCAATCAGATCCTGAAATCTCCTCTCGGCCGTTGGCAAAATATACTGCTGCTGGTCTGCTTTTTTTCCGCCTGCCATTTTTTTGGTCCTACTTATAATCCGATGTTTCTGCTTCCGGCAGTGCTGGGACCGTTGATCATTCTCAGTGCCACAGCTTCTGAACAATGGGCTCAGCTTGCGCACAACAGGCCAATTTTTTTCTGGTCCTGTTTAGCCAGCCTTGCTCTGATTGGCGGTCACTACCTTGTCTTTACGATAAGCCCTGATGCCAGCTTCATCCCCAGCTTGTTGTTAGCTTGTCTCCCATTGTGGGGGCTGAGTGTCTCGCTGTTAAAAAATCCTCGGCAGCTCTGGGTGTTCTTAACGCTTCTGGTTGCCTGTTTTGCAGTGCTTACAACGGGCGAGTTTCTCTACGACCAGCAGCGCGCGCATGCACCTCTGCGCGATCCAGGTAACTATCTGACATTACTCTATTTAGTCGGAATACCGTGGCTGTTGTTTGCTGTGAGACGGAAATGGTCAATTTTGATCAGTGTTTTAGCGGCCTCTCTGATTTTTGTGTGCACCCTGGCGATGCTGGCGACACATATGCGTTTTGGCATGCTGGTGGTGGGTGGCATGTTAGCAGTGGTGTTGCTCGCGATGCTGTTCCGATATGACCTGAAGAAGATGTCTGTACTGGTTGCATCAGTTTCCATCGCTGTGGCTCTGGTCACCTATTCTGTCCTCGACCTGCCGGGTCTAGCCTCTTCGTTCTCGGAAAATAGTGCTGCAGTGAGCGAGCAAAACCCTCGTATGTTGATTTGGGAGGCTACTTTACAGGCAGTGGTTCAGTTGGGTGGTATTAATGGCACTGGCTTGTATACGTTTTCGCTGCTTTACCCGTTGTTCCGTTCGCCTCTGGAACAGGGCACTTCCGGCATCCTCGTGCACAATGACTTGCTGCAGTTTGCCTTGGAAGGTGGCATCTGGTTGGCATTGCCGCTGCTGCTGCTTTTTGTCTGGGTATTTTTCGAACTTTTCCGCCGGGTAGTTTTTCAACGCTTGATGGACATGAATACTGGCGTCCTGATGGCACTGGCTGTGGCGATTTTGCATTCTTTTCTGAATTTCGTTTTTTACGTGTTGCCGCTTGTTATTGTATTCAGTGTGATGCTTGCGGTGGCAGCAGGGAGAAGTGCCAAGTCAGAGAACCTATCAAACCAGGTGCTGTTGAAAAAGTTGCTGCCTTTCAGGATAGGTAAAGCAGCAGTTGTTGGGTTACTGGCCGTAAACGTGTTCTTCCTGTGTTTAGATATCTTGTCGATTGGTGTTTTCTCCGGGAATAAACTTGTGCCGGGTGCCAGCGTTATCAGCTCGAATGAAGGTACTATGCAAACCTACACCCAGTGGGCGCAGTCATTGAACGCTCGACGAGGAGTGCCTGTCTTTGTAGAAGCTCGCTTGTTAGAACAAGAGCTTGCTCGATCGCCTTCACCTCTGTTGATGTCTCAGACTGACTTGGCATATCAGACGGCGATAAATAAAGACCCGTGGAATCCAGCTGTACGGATCAGCTACGTTCAGTTCAGAAGTCGATACTTTACTGACCCCGCGGACAGGGCTTTGCAGGAATCGGATCTTTATGAGGCTTTCAATTTGAACCGCACTAATTTAGATACGAATCTGATGTTGTTTCGTTGGCACGAAGCATTTGGATCAGAGGCGCAACAACGAGAGATTGCGGCAAATATTGTCTTATGGTGTGAGCTCATGGGGCGTCACCCCGCCGCTGAAGCGACTTACCGCGAAATTGAAACCTGGGCGACCAGCCGTCAATTTACTGAGCTGGCCGCTGCTTCACAAACGTGTCAGTCATGGCCTAAGCGCACCTCTGGCGGCGGGCGAAAGAAAACATGGTTCATGCGATGGATGGAATCGACCAGAGGCTCTGGCGGCTGACAACCTTCGCCTAAGACTCATTTGTGATAATGCCAACATGTTCCCGGGTGGTTCGATCGTAGATCAGGTAACCGATGACAAATCTCGTTGAGAAAGTGAAGAACGCATAGTCTTCTAGCTCGCGGTCCTGGCCTGATAGCCAAGTATTCACGCGCGCTTCCCAACCTCTACCGGCCAAAACCACTTCAATTTCTTCTGCTTCGGCAAAGAAGTCATCACCGGTTGTTTCGAAGGGTACGTACAGGTCGCTCACTGTACTGACCAGGCCGCCCGACTTGAACATGTCCCGACGGAGGGCGGCTTCTTCCTCGGCAGAATCCGGTAAATTCACCATGACCCATTTCGGACTGTCGCCAGGAAAATTCTTAAGATTCGGGGGGCGCTCATGGCCTGCGTCGATGTAGTCTTTTTTATTCATCACAGAAAAACGACCGTCGCTGAAAACCACTGCAAGCGGCCGTTCGCTGTAGACAACGTAAGTACCCGCAGTCAGGCAGACAAATTGCAACAATGCAATTGTGGTCATATCAAACTTTAAACCTGGTTTGCCTGCTTTGAACACGATCAGGGTCAGCATTGGCCCCAGCACAAGGTCCACAGCGATGATGATACGCATGCCGCGCCAGCCGCCGTCGGAATCGAAAAAGATACCCGGGTACCACTCGAAAACCACCAGATAGGTGAGTACAACAAAGATCAGGAAACTGATCCCCAGGTGAATGGCAAATGCTGAATATCTGCTCATGGTGGTTGTGTTTGCCTCGACTTTTTTGGTCCTTAAAAAAGTGGTGAACGGGTCAAATAAAGCGCATGGACAGATCCAGCGGATCAATATTTTTAGTCACCTCGCCAATTGAAATATAGTCCACGCCCGTGGCGGCGATGTCTGTGATGGTTTTCTCATCAATACCACCAGAGGCTTCCAGTTTGATTTTGCCTTTTGCCATGGCAACTGCAGTGTTGGTATCCGCCAGCGAAAAATTGTCGATCATAGCGATATCAGCACCGGCAGTGATGGCCTGTTCCAGTTCGTCGAGATTTTCGGTTTCCACCTCAAGCGCCAGTTCCGGATGTTGTGCGCGGGCTGCTGATACTGCCGCGGTGATACTGCCTGCGGCTGCAATATGATTTTCTTTTAACAGATAAGCGTCAAATAACCCCATGCGATGGTTGCTGCCGCCACCACAGGTCACCGCATATTTTTGCGCCACACGCAGTCCCGGAATGGTTTTGCGCGTGTCCAACAATACCGTATCTGTCTGGTTGATGAGGCGTACGTACTTTGCGGTTTTAGTCGACGTGCCTGACAGGAGCTGCACGAAGTTCAACATCGTGCGTTCGGCGCTCAACAAACTGCGCGCAGGTCCCCTCAACTCAAACAGAGTCTGGTTTGCAGACACCGAGTCTGCATCCTCGACATGCCAGGTGATGGTGATGTCCGGGTCTACCTGGCGTCCAGTTTCAACAACCCAGGGTGCGCCGCAGAACACGCCATCTTCGCGAGTGATGACGCGCGCGTGGGCGGATGTAGATGCCGGAATCAGCGCTGCAGAAACATCCTCTGCGCCAAGATCTTCGGCGAGTGCGGCAGCGACGTTGGCGGTCACAATATCCCGTGATGGTGGTTTTATCGACGTACCTTGAGCCATATATATAGTTATCCCGGTGGTTTTGTGTGATGCAAAGACGGACAATTGTAGCCGCTCGTTCCCGTTTAACTAAGTAGGATTTACACAGCTGTGGTAGTAGATGATCTGCACCATCTTGATGCTGCCGACTGGTTGCCCAGCCCGCACTTTGATGAGCGGCCTTTTAACCGGCAGCCCGAACTGGTGGTTTTACACTGCGTATCCCTGCCAGAAGGCCAATTCGGAACCGGGTATCCACAAGCCCTGTTTCAAGGTTGCCTGGACCTTGACGCACACCCCTCATTTCATGACCTGGCGGGAATGGAAGTGTCGCCACACCTCCTGATTGATCGCGAGGGTGGCCTGGAGCAGTTTGTTGCATTTGATCGGCGCGCCTGGCACGCAGGTATGTCATGTTGGCGCCATCGCCCTAGATGCAACGACTTTGCTATTGGTATCGAGCTAGAAGGTGCTGTCAATCAGCCGTTCAGTCTTGCTCAATACGATAGCCTGGCACGTGTGCTGCTGGCTTTGTTTTTAAAGTACCCGGCGTTAAGTATTGACGCTGTGGTTGGTCACAATGAGATTGCGCCGGGGCGTAAAGAAGACCCGGGGACATTTTTCGATTGGAAAGGACTCTATCTGGGGATACATCGTTTGATGTTGCCCCAGCTGTCCCCAAACGATGCCTGCTAGCTATACTTAAACGGCGCTAGAAAGATGACCAAGCAAAAAGGAATTTGAGAGTAGATATGGCCAAACCAGGACTAGAAGAGACAAACGCGGAAGAAACCCGCGAATGGCTGGCTTCGTTAGAGTACATCTTAGAAAACGAAGGCACCGATCGTGCGAATTTTCTCCTAGAGCGCCTCTCCGCGCGGATGACCAAAACCGGCGCCAGCCTGCCTTATACAATCAACACGGCCTACAGGAATACGATACCGTCCGCCAAAGAAGCGGTCATGCCAGGCGACCTTTTTATGGAGCGGCGGATTCGCAGTCTGATTCGCTGGAATGCCCTGGCTATGGTCGTGCGCGCGAATTCGCGCCCTGGAGAACTCGGTGGTCACATATCCAGTTTTGCTTCGTCAGCCACGCTCTATGACGTTGGCTTCAACTACTTCTTCCGCGGGCCTAATGGTGATAACCCCGGTGATCTGATTTATTTCCAGGGTCACTCGTCGCCGGGGATATATGCGCGCAGCTATCTGGAAGGTCGTCTGACCGAAGCGCAGATGGACAATTTTCGTCGCGAAGTCGACGGCGAAGGTCTGTCTTCGTACCCCCACCCCTGGTTGATGCCCGATTACTGGCAGTTTCCAACTGTTTCCATGGGCCTGGGTCCCCTGCAGGCTATTTATCAAGCTCACGTCATGAAATATCTGGACAGTCGCGGGCTGGTAGAGATGGGCGACCGCAAAGTCTGGGCTTTCCTTGGTGATGGCGAAACCGACGAGCCGGAATCCCTGGGTGCCTTGTCGCTGGCTGGCAGGGAAAAACTCGACAATCTGATTTTTGTCGTGAACTGCAACCTGCAGCGTCTTGATGGCCCCGTGCGTGGCAACGGTAAAATAATTCAGGAGCTGGAAGGTTATTTTCGCGGCGCCGGCTGGAACGTGCTCAAGGTTGTGTGGGGGCGTCTGTGGGACCCTCTTTTTGCCAAAGACGATCATGGCTTGCTGCAGCAGCGCATGAATGAAACCGTCGATGGCGAGTATCAGAGTTTTAAAGCGAAAGGTGGCGGTTACGTGCGCGAGAAACTTTTTGGGCAGGATGAAGAACTGCTCAAGATGGTTGAAAACATGTCGGACGACGACATCTATCGCCTCAATCGCGGCGGTCATGATCCCTACAAAGTCTACGCGGCTTATCACGCCGCCACGCAGCACAAAGGTCAGCCAACTGTGATCCTCGCCAAAACCATCAAAGGTTATGGTATGGGTGATGCGGGTGAGTCAGAAAACGATACTCATCAGGTCAAGAAGTTGAACTTTGAAGAGTTGAAAAGATTCCGCGATCGCTTTGATGTGCCACTCTCAGACAAGGCTCTGGAAGATATACCGTATTTCCGCCCGGCGGACGATTCGCCAGAGATGGTTTATTTCAAGAAGAAACGCGAAGCTCTGGGTGGCGCTATTCCCCAGCGTATCAAAGATCCGACCAGGTTAGAGATACCGGAATTGTCAGCATTTGAGTCCCAGCTTAAAGGCAGCGGTGACCGAAACATCAGCACAACCATGGCGTTTGTGCGCATACTCGCTACGCTGGTTCGTGATAAACAAGTAGGCAAACGTGTTGTGCCGATAGTCCCCGACGAGGCGCGCACCTTCGGCATGGAAGGTATGTTCAAGCAACTGGGGATATATTCATCCGTAGGCCAGTTGTACGAGCCTGAAGACTCTGATGAGCTCAGCTCATATGTCGAGTCAAAGGATGGTCAGGTGATGGAGGAAGGCATTAATGAAGCCGGGGCCTTTGCAGCCTGGTTGTCTGCTGCCACGTCATACAGTAATCATCAATATACCCTCATCCCGTTTTATATTTACTACTCCATGTTCGGTTTCCAGAGAATTGGTGACCTGGCCTGGGCTGCGGGCGATCTGCAGGCACGGGGTTTCCTGCTCGGCGGTACAGCCGGCCGCACAACTTTAAATGGAGAAGGTCTGCAGCATCAGGATGGCCACAGTCATCTGCTGTCCTCCACGGTGCCAAACTGCATCAGTTATGACCCCTGCTACAGCTATGAGCTTGCGGTGATCATTCACGAAGGTCTTCGCAGGATGTACGTGGAGCAGGAGCCGGTCTACTACTACGTAACGGTGATGAATGAAAACTATCAGCATCCCGCCATGCCGGAAGGGGCAGAAGAAGGCATTCTCAAAGGCATGTATCTGTTACAGACCTTGGGAGACGACACCGCCAAAAAAGTAAGGCTGCTGGGCAGCGGGACAATTCTGCGGGAAGTGGAGGCTGCGGCTGCCATGCTGCATGAAGACTATGGAGTGTCGGTTGAGGTATGGAGCGTGACCAGTTTTACGGAACTGGCTCGTGAAGCTCAGGACGTTGCGCGCTATAACCTCCTCCACCCGGAAGAGGACCAACAGGTGCCATATGTTGCGCAGTGCCTGTCGGGTGATGCGCCTGTGGTGGCGTCCTCGGACTATATGAAAGCCCTGCCGGAACAGCTCCGCAGCTGTATTGATGCGCCTTATCACGTGTTAGGGACCGATGGTTTCGGGCGCAGTGATACGCGGGAGAAGCTGCGCCATTTTTTTGAAGTGGATCGCAAATTTGTCACCTTGGCAGCACTTTCCAAACTCGCGGAGAAGCAGGTGGTCTCGACGCAGGATGTTAAACAAGCGCGCGAACAGATGGGAATAGACATCGACAAGTCTAATCCGCGCCTTAGTTAGGAAACACGATGGATGTAACGATACCCAATCTGGGTGATATCGATGAAGTAGAAGTGATAGAAATATGTGTCGCCGTGGGTGATGTCCTTGAAGAAAACGACACCATTGTGGTGATCGAATCAGACAAGGCCTCTATGGATATACCCTCACCGGCGGCGGGGACCCTTGAATCACTGAAGGTTGAACTGGGTGATCGGATCACGGAAGGCCACGTGATTGCTACGCTAGACGTTGCCGAATCCGAATCCGAATCGGAATCTGAACCAGACTCTAAATCCGAGTCTGAAGGTGAAAAAGAAGCACAGAGCGAACAAAAATCTGATTCGCAGACAAGTTCACCAGCCACGGAAGAATCAGGCTCGGAGGCGGAAGAGGAGGAAGCAAGCCAGGAAATCGAAGTTCTGGTACCGGATATCGGTGATGCCTCTGACGTTGTGGTTATTGAAATTGCGGTGCAGGCAGGTGATGTTATTGAAGCCAACGATCTTCTTGTGGTGCTGGAGTCTGATAAAGCGTCCATGGAGATTGCGGCGGAACATGCAGGTACCGTTCTGGAAGTCGCGGTCAGCGTCGATCAGGAAGTCAGCGAAGGAACGCTCATTGCGAAGTTGCGCACCAAGCGAGCCAAGGTGGCTGATAAAAGCCAAACTGCAGAACAAGAAACCAAACAGGCGGCTGAACCTGCGCCATCGGTTTCAGCCACAAAATCTAAAGAGACGTCTCAGGATTCCGGAAGCAAGGCAGATACCGTCCCAGAAGACGCTTCAGAAGATACAACCAGTGCCAGAGTTTATGCGGGGCCGGCTACTCGACGTCTTGCGCGAGAACTCGGGGTTAATTTAACTGAGGTCGAAGGTACAGGTAACCGCAAGCGAATTACCAAAGATGATGTCAAAAACTATGTGAAGCAACAGATGATATCAGGTAAGGCGGGTGGCTCTGCTGGCGGTGGTCTGCCTCAGGTTGCAAAAATTGATTTTGCTAAGTTTGGATCGGTAGAAACCGTGCCGCTGACGCGGATTCAGCAGCGTGGGGCAGATAACCTGCACCGCAGTTGGGTGAATCTCCCGCATGTCACTCAGCATGACGAAACAGATATCACGGATCTGGAAGATTTTCGCCAGTCTTTGAAACAAGAAGCTGAACGCAAAGGTATAAAGATCACACCGCTGGCGTTTATTGTCAAAGCCTGCTGCCATGCTTTGCGTGAGTACCCTAATTTCAACGCTTCCCTGCACGCAGACGGACAGCAGCTGGTGCGTAAGCACTACATCAACATAGGTATGGCCGTAGATACGCCTGAAGGCCTGGTGGTGCCGGTGATCAAAGCTGCAGACGAAAAGTCGATATGGCAGCTTTCCGCCGAGATTGCTGATCTGTCAGAAAAAGCGCGAGATAAAAAACTGGCGATGGATGATCTCCAGGGAGGCACTTTCAGTGTTTCCAGCCTGGGAGCGCTCGGTGGTACCGGGTTTACACCCATCGTTAACGCGCCGGAGGTTGCTATTCTGGGTGTCTGTAAACTGCAGACTAAACCGCTGTGGGATGGGGAGGCCTTTGTGCCTCGTAAAGTTTTACCGCTGTCCTTGTCCTATGACCATAGAGTTATAAATGGTGCGGACGGCGGACGTTTTATGAATTACCTCGGGGCTGTGCTGGCCGATATTCGGCGTTTAGCGCTCTAGGTTCTGGCGGTGGGGCCACGCCACTGGGTTTCATTGGTGATGGTCAAACTGCGTGCGAGGACAAAGAAGTAGTCGCTCAGTCGGTTCAGATACCGTGCAGCGTCACTATAACTGGCTGGAGCATCGTCAGTATCGCTAACCACTTCCCAGACAAGCGTTTCGGCGCGTCGGCAAACCGCTCGGCACACATGGGCTTGTGCCGCTGCGGGTCCACCACCAGGTAGCACAAACTCAGTGAGCGGCGGCAGGTCTTCATTCAAGGCATCTGTAGCTGCTTCCAGCAAGTCGGTTGTCGCCGCGCTGTAGTCGCCTTCCATAGCAAACACGGCGCCCAGGTCGAACAGCGCCTGTTGCACTGCGCCTAGCGTATCCTGTGCATCAGCACTGGCCAGGGTGCGCAGGACGCCGATAAAACTGTTGAGTTCGTCAATGCCGCCCATCGCTTTAACGATGGGGTGATACTTCTGTAAGCCTCGCCCCGTTGCCAGTCGAGTTTTGCCTTTGTCACCAGAACGGGTGGTGACTTTGTTGATGCGCTGTTTTTCAACCACTGGTGGTTTCCAGGTGTGGTGCAGGATCATAAGGCCGCACGGTGATGATGCCTGTGTCGAAAGAACGGGTAAGGCCGCGATAAGCAAATTCCATCAGTTCGCGTGCGCGAGGATGACCTGTGCTTGCGTCCGCAGCGGTGATGCTCACGCCGACAACCACAGGTATGTAGCCTTCGGTGGTTTTGAATGAGTGCATATAAAGACTATCGAAGATGCGTCTGAAACTTTGTGAGGTGCAGTTTTTCAGATTGTCCTGCAGTGTGGTCACTGCAAAAATGTTTGGTTCTGGACGTGTGACTATGTCCAGGGGGCGCACAAGCTGACGGATTTTAGCGCTGATGCCTGAAATCAGTTCATCAATACTGCCAGGCTCATACTGCTTCTTAATCACTTCCAGGTTGTTGACACCAACTAACAGCAGACAGGCGGCACCGCCGCGAGTATCGGATTCCTGGAGGGTTGCATCCAGGCGCTCCATGGTGAATTTCAGATTGCCCAGGCCGGTTACCGGGTCCACCAGGTCGGTGGTTTGTAATTCTTTGACTTTGCGACTTAACTGTTTGTTGGATTTCATCAGCTCGTTCTGACGCGACGTGATGCGATCCGCAGCGACTACTCTGGGCAGAAGTTGTGTGCGCAGGTGAGCTTTGTTCATAAAGTCATCCACGCCGGCAGCAAATGCTTTTTCCAGCGCTTCATAGTCGTCCCTTGCGGTCATCAGCATCACATAGCTGAAATGATCCTGGGTTTCGTCAAGTTTTTTGATCCGCCGTGCAAGCTCGACGCCATCCATTGCGGGCATCAGCCAGTCAGCGATAATGATCTGAGCTGGCCTTTTCTCAATGGAACGTAGTGCTTCCAGAGGGTTGTTGGTGAATCGCACATTGGTGAAGCCACCGGTTCGCAACACCTTTGCGATGATCGCACTGGAGAATTTGGCGTCGTCTATGACTAAGATTGGAATGTCGGAATCTGACATGTATCGTGGGTTGCGTTTTGTGCTGCGAATCAATCTTGATATGCGACCGACGGCCTTATGTCAAGGAACCATTAACCGTTATTAAACCTGAAGGGAGAAGAACCCATGCCATCGTTCGATATTGTTTCGGAAGTAGACATGCATGAAATCAACAACGCCATCGATCAGGCGGTTCGCGAGGTGGGTACGCGATTCGATTTAAAGGGTGTGGACGCAAGCATCGAACTCAGCGATGAGACCATTATGATCAGTGCGCCGGAAGAATTTCAGATTAATCAGATCGAAAGTATCGTGCGTGACAAATTAACCAGCCGCAAAGTGGATACCCGGGCGTTGGAGCCTGGTCAGGTTGAAGGCGCGGGCAAGGTGAAACGCAAAACCTACCAGCTGCGCCAGGGCATCGATCGAGATACTGCAAAAACCATTACCAAAATGACTAAAGATTCCAAGCTCAAGGTGCAGGCGCAGATAAACGGCGACAAACTGCGGGTGCAGGGAAAAAAACGTGATGACCTGCAGCAGTTGATGGCGTTGTTGCGTGAAGCAGACCTCGATACGCCTTTACAGTTCGATAACTTCCGAGACTGAAGTGGATCGCATTGTCTGAAACGCAAACACTTCAGGAGCCTGAAGATCGTACCTGGCGCACGGCGCTGCTTGCTTTCAAAAACCCTCAGGTTGTCACCATGCTGTTCCTTGGCCTGGCGGCGGGAATGCCCCTGTTGCTCATATTTTCCTCGCTGTCTTTGTGGTTGCGTGAAGCAGGGGTAGATCGGGCTACGGTCACCTTCTTCAGTTGGGCGGCACTGGGCTACTCGTTCAAGTTTGTCTGGGCGCCGCTGGTCGATCGGTTGCCATTGCCTTTCTTTACGCGGGTGCTCGGAAGAAGACGTGCCTGGATGCTGGTCTCGCAACTGATGATTATCAGCGCGATTGTCTGGATGGCGTCGACTGATCCGAGTGCAAGCGGTGATGCTTTGACGCGTATCGCACTGGCTGCTGTGCTGCTTGGGTTTTCATCCGCTACCCAGGACATAGTTATTGACGCTTTTCGTATTGAGTCAGCCAAACCGTCTCTGCAGGCAATGATGTCGTCGACGTATATCGCTGGCTACCGGATAGGCATGTTGTTGGCAGGGGCCGGTGCTTTATACCTGGCTTCTTATTTTGGCTCGGAGTTGGGCCAGTATGATTACCAGGCGTGGCGTATGACCTATCTGATTATGGGTGCCTGTATGCTGGTTGGTGTTGCGACGACCCTCATTATCAATGAACCGGCTGTTAACCGAACGGTAGAACATCAGCACTCTACGGCGGACTACGCAGGCTTTGTGCTGATGTTTATGCTGGCCATCAGCGCCTTTGTGTTCAGCTTTGTGCTTCTGGGCCAGCTTTTTGATGCCTTTTTAGGCGAAGCTTCACCGCTACAGGCGTTTGCGCTGGAAGTGAGTCGCATGTTGGTCTCGCTGGCCATTGCTGTGTGTACAGGTTTGTCAATCAGTGCAACAAGGTGGGTCAATCGCGAGATGGTTCTGGATACTTATGTCGCACCGGTCAGTGAGTTTTTCAGTCGTTATGGTTTGAAGTTGTCGTTGCTGATTCTAGCCCTGGTTGGCCTATATAGAATCTCTGACATTGTGCTTGGTGTAATTTCCAATGTTTTTTATCAGGACCTTCTGTTCACTAAAAATGAAATTGCCACTGTCGTAAAAACATTTGGTCTGTTCATGACGATTCTGGGCGGGTTTTTAGGCGGTCTTTTGTCTGTCCGTTATGGCGTGATGCGTATTCTTTTTGTTGGTGCACTGTTGACCGTGGTGACTAATCTGTTTTTTATCCTGCTGGCGGTAATAGGCAAAAACGAGTTTCTACTTTATCTGGTTATATCCGCAGATAATCTGACCGCGGGGCTTGCCAGCGCTGCGTTCATTGCCTTCCTGTCTGCCTTAACCAATGTGCGTTTTACTGCGGTCCAGTACGCGATTTTCAGTTCTCTGATGACGCTGATCCCTAAGTTGGTAGGTGGCTACTCTGGAACGGTGGTGGATAATTTTGGCTATGTGAATTTTTTCCTGTTTGCCGGGTTTATTGGGCTGCCGGTTTTGTTGCTGGTTTGGCTGGCTGGCAGGCATCTGCATTTGGAAGAGCCGCAGTTTAAGACAGATAGCAATTTATGAGCGGATAGTTGCTGTTGCGGTGCTCCAGGCGGGTCTTACGCTTTGAGCCTAACCGGCGCCGCTCCGCGGTGCCTTCGTTCTCAAAACAAGCCCTGACGCAGACGCCAGGTCTTTTTTGTTCTCTCAGCTTGGTTTTTGATGGCTCAAAGCGTAATACCCGCCTGGAGCACCTCGCGATAAACTGGCTGCAGATGCTTCTTTTTGCACACCTGCGAGAACGTTCAGATCAGGTTGATTCTGTGTCCCAGCGGTAGCCTGGCGGGATTTTTTCGCCAACAAACTCAATACCTTCCGCCTGCAGGCGTTTACGCTGTGTGGCTTCGCCTGTGCCTCGTTGGGAAATGCGTAAGCTGGCATTGACGACGCGATGCCAGGGCAACCTGGTATTTTTAGGCAACTGGCGCAATGTAGTGCCGACAAAGCGGGCATGGGAAGGTGCGCCGATCAAGTGGGCTATCTGTCCGTAGGTTGCCACCTGCCCGGCGGGAATCATGGCCACCACTTGCCAGACCCGGGCGCGCCTGTCCGGCGCCTGGTCTTGATTATCAGCCGTCTTGCCCCCAGGGTGTTTAACTGACGCCTCGTTTGGCGATACTCGCTGCGCTTGCGGTCTCTGTTTATCCGCTACCGTTGGCATCTTACGACTCAAAGGATCTGCCTGAATATGTTCTGGTTGTTGGTTTTTTTATTACACCCATTGTTGAAATGTACCTGCTCATCACCGTGGCTGGCTACATCGATGCGTGGCCAACAATCGCCCTGGTGATGCTTACCGCCGTGATTGGCGTTGCCCTGCTGAAACGTCAGGGCCTGGCAACCTTAACCCGCGGGGTGACGCGTATGAATCGAGGCGAAGTGCCTGCGCAGGAAATGGCTGAAGGGATTCTGCTGGCTGTGGCGGGTGCGTTGTTGCTGACCCCCGGTTTTGTAACTGATGTGGTGGGTTTTTTGTTGCTGTTTCCGCCGAGCCGACAGGCTCTGGTGGTGCTTCTGCTGAAGCGCGTCGAGATTCATACGGCGTCATCTCCAGGGGTGCATCCCTCCCAGCAGCCTTCGCCGGAGTCCAATCCGGTGACTATTGAAGGCGACTACGAGAAAAAATAGCCAGAAATAATAGACGCTGGCTCTTGAAACCTGAGAAACCGGCCATATTATAGCGGCCAGTCTTTTAGCACTCTCTCTATGAGAGTGCTAAATACACACTTAGGGACCCTGCTTTGTAGGGTTGATGATCCATTCCTGGAGCAACGGGAGATTTACTGAAATGAACATTCGACCTTTACACGACCGAGTTGTCGTGCGTCGGTTGGAAGAGGAAACCACCAGTGCAGGCGGCATCGTATTGCCTGATTCTGCTACTGAAAAACCCTCTCAAGGCGAAATTATTGCCGCTGGTACCGGCAAGATCACCGACAACGGTGATGTGCGTGCCCTCGACGTGAAAGTTGGCGACAAGATCATTTTTGGTCAATACGCCGGCAGCACGGTGAAGATTGATGGCGAAGAGCTGTTGATTCTGAGCGAAAGCGAAATTTTTGGTGTTCTGGAAGGCTAAATCCTGCCAGCACGATAACGATTAATAGAGGAAATTAAGCGATGAGCGCTAAAGACGTAAGATTCGGTGATGACGCACGGAGCCAGATGCTCGACGGCGTCAACACTCTAGCGAATGCCGTTAAAGTCACCCTGGGACCCAAAGGCCGAAACGTTGTTTTGGACAAATCTTTTGGTGCGCCGACGGTCACGAAAGACGGTGTATCTGTAGCCAAAGAAATTGAGCTTGAGAACAAGTTCGAAAACATGGGCGCACAGATGGTCAAAGAAGTGGCCAGCCAGACTTCTGACGAAGCAGGTGACGGTACCACTACAGCAACGGTATTGGCTCAAGCCATCCTGCAGGAAGGTTTAAAAGCGGTAGCCGCAGGCATGAACCCCATGGACCTCAAGCGTGGTATCGACAAAGCGGTAACTGCTGCTGTTGAAGCCATCAAAGGCATGGCCACGCCGTGTGAAGACTCCAAAGCCATTGCCCAGGTCGGTACAATTTCTGCGAACAGCGACAGCGCTGTGGGTGAAATCATTGCCCAGGCGATGGACAAAGTAGGTAAAGAAGGCGTGATCACCGTTGAGGAAGGTTCTGGCCTTGAGAACGAACTCGATGTGGTTGAAGGCATGCAGTTTGACCGCGGTTATCTGTCTCCTTACTTCATCAACAACCAGGAAAACATGGCTGCAGAGCAGGAAGATCCCTACATCCTGTTGTGCGACAAGAAAATCTCCAACATCCGTGATCTTCTGCCGATCCTTGAAAACGTTGCCAAAGCGGGTAAGCCGCTGATGGTGATTGCTGAAGACATCGAAGGCGAAGCGTTGGCCACCCTGGTTGTGAACAACATGCGCGGTATCGTGAAAGTTACCGCAGCTAAAGCACCTGGTTTTGGTGATCGTCGTAAAGCGATGCTGCAGGATATTGCGATTCTAACCGGTGGTACGGTGATCTCCGAAGAAGTTGGCCTCACCCTTGAAGGTGCAACATTGGATGACCTGGGTACTGCCAAGCGCATTTCCAGCACCAAAGAAAACACCACAATTGTTGACGGTGCTGGTGAGCGGGCGGACATTGAAGCACGCATCAAGCAGATTCGTGCCGAAATCGAAGATACCTCTTCTGATTACGATCGCGAGAAGCTGCAGGAACGTCTGGCCAAGCTGGCTGGTGGTGTAGCAGTGATCAAAGTGGGTGCACCCACTGAAGTCGAGATGAAAGAGAAGAAAGCACGGGTTGAAGATGCACTGCACTCTACTCGCGCAGCGGTTGAAGAAGGTGTTGTACCTGGCGGTGGTGTCACTCTGGTGCGCGCTATTGCTGCTGCAGAAGGCGTTAAGGGCGACAATGAAGACCAGAACGTGGGCATCGCTATTGCCACACGCGCAATGAGTGCGCCTCTGCGTCAGATTGCCAAGAACGCAGGTGCTGAAGGCGCGGTTGTACTGGATAAAGTAGCTTCTTTAAAAGGTAACAACGGCTACAACGCGGCAACCGGTGAATACGGCGACATGCTGGAAATGGGTATCCTTGACCCAGCTAAAGTGACCCGGACTGCGCTGCAGGCTGCGGCTTCTGTTGCAGGTCTGATGATCACTACCGAAGCGATGGTGACCGACCTACCTGAAGACAATGCAGGTGGCGGTATGCCTGGCGGCGGCATGCCAGACATGGGTGGCATGGGCGGCATGATGTAAACAGAACTTCAATTCTGTTGATCTTAAAAACCCCGGCCTTGCCGGGGTTTTTTTTAACTGCGACAAACCTCCAGGTCCTGCTGGCTCCGTGTCAGCATCACTTTTACCGCTTCAGTGCACGTTTGCAGCGGCGTGAATTTAGCCGTCCGGCCAAACATCGGAGCACCGATATATCCACGCATGTTCAATGTCCCGCTGCGATCAACGTTCATGCGGGAAGAATAGACATTGCCTGACTCCGGGTCGTAGATTTTGCCCTGCCAGCGGCCATCGTCGAAGACATAGTCCTGTAGCAGGTTCAGACCCAGCAATGGACGATCCTGCAGATTGGGGTCAGGGTTGTTGTTGTCCTTGCGTGGTGCACCCGGCTCACCAATGTCCTCTGTCTCCAGGTAGACCGGGTCGGTAAGGGCAACAATCACTGCGCTCAATTGTTGGCCCTGGCGCTGAATATGCAGGATAGAGCTCTCACCCGCCCAATATCCAACGACGTCTGTGCTGCTGTCGGCGGTGAGTGGTGGACAGAACAGAGCAAAAGCGAGTGCGATAAAGCAGTAACGCATGATCATTCCTCAAGCAGTGGTGGTGCGAACTATCGTGTTTCGATATATTCTTGCGCAACATAACAAAAAGGACGAGGGGAAAGAGATGGAAATGCTCTTTTTGGATTATCTGGCACGTTGGGGTCACTTCTTAGCCGGTATTACATGGATAGGTCTGTTGTATTACTTCAACTTTGTACAGACCGAGTACTTTAAGGAGGCGGACGGTGCAGCACGCGTAGACGCTTTCTCCAAACTTGTGCCGCGCGCGCTGTGGTGGTTCCGCTGGGGTGCCATGTTCACCTTCCTCACGGGACTGGTGATGCTGGGTACACGTGGTGCGAATCTCACCGCTGATATAACCGTTGGCGCCGTGATGGGCATTCTCATGTTCCTCAACGTCTGGCTGATTATCTGGCCTAATCAACGCATTATCATCGCCTCCAACCAGGCGGTCGCCGCCGGTGGTGAAGCTGACCCCGCTGCGGCTGCAGCTGCTCCGAAAGCCGGGCTGGCGTCGCGCACCAATACGCTGTTTTCTATTCCGATGTTGTATTTCATGGGATCCAGCGCGCATTTCTCCAGCGGTTCAGTTGGGAATAACACAACTGCCATAATTGTTGCTTTGGTGATTGTGGGCGCACTGGAACTCAATGCGATATTTGGTAAGCAAGGGCCGATCACAACAGTAAAAGGGGTGATCACTTCTGGATTTGTGCTGACGCTAGTGCTCGGTGGTCTGCTCTGGTTTGTCTGATCTGGATTAGGCGATTTGCTTTAACCGTTTGTTGAACATGAATTGTTCAACCCAGGAGGGCCTGCGTAATCGCAGGCCTTTTCTTTTGCGGCGCCACTTTTATACTGGCGCCGCGCTTGTATAGTGGCGCTGCCCAGGGGAACTCGGGCCGGTGTTAATGAATTTACGTTGGAGTCGTGGTTATGAGTGAACGTCGCGCACCTGATCTGTCTACAAAAAACGCCGGTGATGGGTATCGTCGAAGTGGAGGTGCCCGTCGCGCTGATCCCAAATCGGGCGCCGGGGGTGTAGGTAAACAAATTGGTATGAATTTGATGATGGCCGTTCTGATTGGCGGCCTGGTGCTGGCGGGGTGGTTCATTGCCAATCAGCAGCAGTTGCTGAAAGAAGAGCAGGCCAAATTGGCTGATGCAGACGCCCGGCTGTTACGTTTGGAGGCGCGTCTATCCGCCACCGATAGCGCGCTTTCCCAGGAGGGAGACGCAACCAAGGAACAGATTAACCTCTGGGAATCTGAGATTCGCAAGCTCTGGGCGGTGTCTAATGAGCGCAATAAGAAGTGGATAGAAGATAATCAGAAAGCAGTCAAAACATTGACCGGTAGTATCAATGGTATCGAATCTACCAGTCGTGATTTAAAAGCGGCTGTGGGTCGTCATGAAACGGCGTTTGCTCAGCAGCAGACCATGATTGATAACCTGGCAGGTCTTGAACTTCAGATTCAGCAGATTGCCCGTGGACAAAGAGACCTGGTGGACAAGGTCAATGCGGCCAATCAGGCTGTTGCCAGCTTGCGTGCGGGTATTGCTGCAAAAGTGGATGACAATGCTGAAGCCATTGCCAGCATGGATGCCTATCGCGTTGCGGTGAATTCAAGGTTGGCGGACATTGATCGCCGCCTCGGTGGCCCTGGCGGTCAGTAAAATAAACTGCCAACAGTGCCTCGGCGTCCAGCAACGGCTCTGATTATGTGACACAGGTCCGCCAGCATACGGCATTAGTCTGCATACTTTGCGTTCTAGTGTATTTGGACTATGCATGAGCGCACCTCGCAACATGCCCGAGTTTATCTGCGCGGCGCCTCCGCCCGATGCCCTGTTGGCGGTTACACAGGCGTTGGCGTGGAACCAGGTTGATCACGCGCCTCACACAGATTCGAATCTGAGTGTTGCCCTCGTCTGGGTTGACGACAGCGTGGACGTTATCCGTACGCGGCAACAATATCCGCTTGCCTTACTATTGTGTGATGCCCGGCAGAGCTGTGCCAGCAATGCAGATTTCGCGTTACAGCCGACACTGGATCGCGGCAATCAACGTCTGTTTATTGAAAAGCTTCTGCACCACGCGCTGAAGTTCTGGCGCAGCAATCTGAAAGTTTCAGAACTTGGACGAGATGTAGGGTTGCGACGACAGCGTATGCATCAGCTGAGTCAGATTTCCCTTGCCCTTACAGAACAGATTTCCGAGCAGGAACTCCTGCAGACATTGCTGACCGAAGCCCGCAAAATTGCTCATTGTGAAGGAGGCTCTCTGTTCCTGATAGAGCCTGATTCAGACCAGCAGGCCTCGCTGGTTTTCAAACTAGCGCAAAATGATGTTGTGGATTTTCCCTTCGTCGAGTCGCGCCTGCCATTAACGGCCACCTCAATTGCCGGCTACGTAGCAAGCACCGGTCAAGAGCTGAATATCCGCGACGTTTACAGTCTCAATAGCGATGTACCGTATCAGTTCAATCGATCCTTTGATGAACAGATGGGGTATCGCACACGCTCCATGCTGGTCATTCCCATGCGCAACCATCGTGAACGGGTGGTGGGTGTGCTGCAGTTTATTAACCGTACGGATGTGGCCACCGGCGAGGCTCTGGCCTTTGATGCTGAAATTACCGAGATGCTGCGAGCGATTGCCAGCCAGGCAGCGGTATCGATTCAGAAAAATACGCTGCTTAAAGATATTAATGAGTTGTTTGAAAGTTTTGTTCAAGCCAGTGTTAAAACGATTGAACAACGTGAC